GGCGTAAAGGGCTTGGCTTGCCTCTTTTTAAACCCTTGCAGAGGGTATTATAATTTTGTCGTGACATGTGTAAAGCATAGAAGGAGAAGACATCTCCGTCCCCATAAAGTATATATATTCTTGATAAGTATCAACAGACGAGTCGATCTATCCATGTCCATCTGTCCGTCTGCCTGTTTCTAGGCGAACTAGTCTCTCAGTTTTAAAGCTATAGTCATGAAACTTTGCAAAAGTGCCTCTTTTTGTTGCACGGATCGGACCACTATATCATATAGCTGCCATAGGATTTTGCATAAAAAGCTTTTTTGATTATCAAGATGTCTTGACCAAACTCGGCATTTATTAGTTTTACTGTGCTCCTCATATATATGCCAAATCCTATCAATATCGGAACACTATATCATATAGCTGCCATAGGAACGATCGGTCGAAAGTTAAGTTGTTGTATGGAAAACTTTTTTGTTTTCCGAGATATCATAACCATACTCGGCATTAACTATTTTCCCTCTGCTTCTTAGATACGGGCAAAGCACATGCAAGAGTATAAAATCTTCGGCTTGCCTTCTTTCCCTTAGCTCTTCTTTCTCGTTTTTTGTTTTGTTTAGTTTATTCAAGTAGCATTGCATGACTGCATGCAAGGCGAGTTAAGAAGCGGCAAGCCTTGTCCTTCGTGTGGTTGCTGCTGCTGCTTCTGCTGCTGCTGCTGCTGCTGCTGTGGCTGTCGTTGCTATTTAGAAGTGAAGGACCTGACATGCATAGCATTCCAGCATGTGTATGCCATTCCCGCACTGAGTCGAAATTCCAATTTCCATATTTCCAGGTTTGGCCCGTACACCGCACACAAAACACAATTAAACAAATGAAATACCACACAATATAGTAGTTAGTGCACGTAATTTGCATATATGCCAACAAATCGGAGTCTAGCTTCGGCCTTCAAGCCATTTAAGTGCATTTCAATGTTTCAGGGCTTTCGCTTTACCATTTGTCAATTAGCTAATAAAGATGTACGCGTTAAGGCGTTTAAGCTTTGACCCGATTTAATATTTAATTAGCACGCCTAACATTAAATATTACGGCGCAGCAGGCGAGCTTGCAAAGTGTTCGTGTGCTCGCTGGCGGAAGCACATGTCGTATACGTCATATTTGAAAAACACATGTGCATATTTCAGGCACTCACATTGGAAAACCCCAGGAAAAGCACCAGCCAAGCAGGCGGCAACAGCAGCAGCTGCCCAGCTGCATTTTAAACGCAAGGTGGCCGCATGGAAAGGGGCTGCTCTCTAGGCACCCGAATAGGGGCGTTTGCCTTGACTTCCGCTATTTAAACGATATGAAAAATGTTGTAAAATGCAGCTTTTGCTGCTGCTGCTGCTGCGTCTTTGATTTGTGCAAATAGAGTCATGCAATTAGTTTACCCAACTCTGCACAGCTGTTACTCGTTATGGCCAAATCTAAAGAGGACGTAATGACTTTTTCATGGCAAGCTGTTCTTGCTAAAACGTTTACTCTTAAGTGGCAGAAGTTTAACAAAGATGATGTGTGCAATTTTTGAAAGGTTAGCATAAAATAATCTTTACTTTGATGAAGCAATTTGACAGTGTCTCAATTATTATACTATTATAATATATGAGTACTAGGACACTTATGCAAAGAAGCTGCTGCAACTATGGAATGCTGGCTGCAGGGATGCTAAGCGCTATTCTTCTATTTGCATCTTGAAGCACTTTTAAGCCAGTTACAATATTATTTAATATTTAAAGCGAAAATCAGAAGAAAAAACCGGGCTATGAGAGTCATTCTCTTGATGAGATTACTTGCAATTACACAGTCAGAAAGCTCTGAATCTGAGAAGATTACAAATAAATAGATATTTTATTTTTCCATTTTATTTATTTAGACTCTGTCTTAAGACAATAAGTAAATTTAGTTGTGAACACATCTCAATGTCAATAAACAAACGTCTTTTAATTTTTAACGACTTATGAGTTATTTGTTAAACAAAGGTCTGGCTTAAGTTTTCATTTCACCTTGACTCTTTGCATAGTTTCAGCTTCAGATCTATCTCGATTATAAAATTTTACCAGCAATAACTTATTATTCGACTTTGGGAATTTCATAATTCGACTAGAGTTTGTCCTCAACTCAAGCTTTCGTGCTGCATTTTATGCAATACGCAATATTGCAAAAGTTTCAAAGATTCTTAATTTAAGCAATTTGAGCTGTCTGCCATATACACGACACTTTGGCTATCTATGTTAGTTATATATGTATACATATGTATGTACTTATCGAATCGATTTTGTGTGAATAGCATATAGATGCGCCTGCTTTGAGTTGATTGCTGCATTTGGAAGTACGCTGCGATACTCAATCGAAGTACAGGCTGCGGCATTGATGAATTATGTATTTGATTTGGACAACTGCTGCAACTTATTTAAATTGTAAAAGCGCTGAAAGTACAGCAAAGACTCTTGAAATGTTTATGAGTTTGTGTGCCAAAAGGAAATTAATGCGCCAAATTGGAGGGCGATGAGAGATATTTGCTTGGATCAAACTGTCAAAGTTATTTCCGCCGCACCTCTGACCTATTTGCCCATCCTTTCGTCCCAATCTGCTGGATTTATTCATTCCAACTGTGACGTCGGAAATAACTATGCTGCCTCCCAGTTTGATAACACGGCACCGTGTGTATGTATTCGAGTATAATGGAAATGGCATGGAAAAAGCACTGAAATAAACCAGAAATGGAGAAAAATAACAAAAACCTTTTGAGCTCTCAACGGCGAAACGCTATTGCATTTTGTCCAGCCAGAGAGGTCAAGTTGCTCACTCGAGTAAGCGAGAAGTGCGATCAAGTTTTTCCTGAGGATGTCTCTGAAATTTCTCAAAACTAGTTTCAATTTGCGAGCAATAAAATGTCATCAAGTACAGCACTTTGCCAAATGGCCTGCACTTTAAAGTTCACACTCAATCGAAAGCAATGCATCAAATTCACAATTTGCAGCAACCTCAATTTGCTCTTCAAATCAATATATCAAATAACCAAGCTTCCAGAAACCAATTACAATCAATTTTTTTCTTTTTTTTTGTCAATACTTCAAAGTACCGACTTGCTTGTACCTTTGGCTGAGTGTCAGCTGCATTTCATTTTCGAATTTTCAAATCCATAAAATTTTCTGTTGCCGCAAAATTCGGACTTATGATTTTTGTAGCGAATTTGTCTCTTTTCTCTGTGATTTTTTTTACTTTCATTCTGAAAGATTACTCCCCTTGTCAAACTCTTTAGGGGGTAAGTTGACAAGCTATAAAGATACATTGACTTTACTAAGAAACCCACTTATTGACCATATAGCAAAACTCTTTCGCAGTCTTTTTACTGTATGATGTCCTTTTCTGGAATCAATAAAAACTAAATATCACGAATATTATTTAAATTTGTATTCAACTCTATTCTAAAATATTGCTATTATAATACTTCTGAAAAGCAAAACGCTTAATTCCTGCAATTTATATGATTTCCATATAGATCCCAATAAATTTTATATTTTTCGATCAATTATTTTACTTTAATAAGAAGTAAACCATATTCTCCTGCAGAAGAGATTTTAAAAAATTATGTATATATTATCGGATGCTCCAAAAAAATAAGTGTACATATATACTAGCTGCATTTTTCCCCCGCTTGCGTTAAATTTTAGACAACAATTTTTAACCCATTTTCCGTTCGTAGGAATTTTCAATGTTCGTCTAAAGTTATATTTTACCTATATATTTGAAAATAATTTTAAATTCCATCGAATTAAGAACGAAAAGTTGGACTTAAAATTTTCCGCTTATTTTAGTCTCTTTGTCTAAAGCTTGTATTCGAAGAAGAAACTTTCGTTCATGCAACCATTTGACTCCAACTTTCACCCAACAAGAGTCGATTTTGCGAAAGGTGTGGCAATTATATCAAAAGAACTTTCACAGTAATCTTTGAAAATGAGTTGCATGCCAATCGGATGGTAAACAATAACTTTTATGCAACCGTTTTCCACGATTTTTTCACAATTATGGATCGAATTTTCTAAAAAACTCATCTCAACGTGCACCTTTATCACCTGAGAGCACCTGAGTAGCAGCTCTTCCAGTTCGAACTGTGCGCTGACCACCAAACAATGAGACAGTCAGTCAGTCAGTCAGTCAATCAGTCAGTCAATCAGTCAGTCAATCAGCCAGTCAATCAGTCAGTCACTCAATCAGTCAGTCAATCCGTCAGTCAGGGCAAGCATTTTTATTTATTTGGAGTTGTAATAGTTAATAGATTTATGCATGGAGCATCCATTTTAATATACCCCACTTAGCACTGCAATTAAGTGGCAACAAAATGCACACTCAATTTAACTGCATGCAAACTGCTGAGATTATTATCATCCGAGTAAGCAACTGGCAAATAGCTTCATGCAGCAGCAACTGCTAAAGAACCAACAACTGATTGCCTGCCCAACCCCAAGCCAAATCACCTTCGGGCTTAATCTCAACCCCCAACTAAAAGGGAGTGAGAAAGTAGGTGCTGCATGCGCCAAGGCGTGCGCATAACTCGATTCGCTTTGATTTATGGCACGCAATAATAATCAGCATTTCCATGTTGCCGACCGGGATGCATTTACACGAGCACACAAAAATACACAGCAAGCAGAAGCAAACACGGCGTATACTCAATGCTTATGCTATACACATACATATATATAGATACATGTATATACACTTGCTTGCTGATGGCTAGTTGGTTAGCAGCTCGACAACAACAAGTTGCACTTCCGGCAGCTGCAAGTTGGCCTTAACAAGCAGTCAGGAAGATCAGACCGCAACTTACGCTGATGACGAGCTGCGTCCTTGCTGTGGCTTCCGTCGTCCACTTGGCTCGCTGCCTGCCTGCCTGCCCGTCTGGCTCCATGATTTATGTAACTTTTTATTCTGGCCCATTGCTCATGTTGCTTTTCACTCTCTCTTTACAGCGATGCTTGCCTCATTAGCGACTTAGCGCACAAAATGCCCTCGCTGCATAGGTAAAGGAATAGGAAAAACCACGAACGCCCAAATGAGTGTGCTTGGACATATGTAAGATGCCTCAGCGCCCAGCGAATTCGGTTAATGAGTTGCCTTTTACGAGCGAATGGAAATGAAAATTGATATTATGCTGAAGCCGAAGCTATAAATAACCGCAACAAATTAAAATTAATAAGAAGCCCAAGCTTGAAGTACATAGCAACAACTAGCAGCAGGCAGCTTTCGCATTAACATTTAGATTAAACAACCATGGCCTCGCCGCCGGAAAGCCCCATCGAGGAGGTGGTCTATGAGTTGGAACACACACGCGTGCCTAAGCCCATACCGGTCGCTCTCGAAGATTTGTGCCGCCAAACCAAGTTCACCAAGCAGGAAATCCGCGTCATGTACAGAGGATTTAAAACGGTAAGTGGACACACGCTTCATATTCACAATCCATTTGCCACAGCCTCCAGTCACAAACAAAATACATAGTATACTCGTATCTCGAGATATGTATAAGCCGCACATACATATTTAAATGAATATGGAATTTCTGGCTAAGGCTAAGTACTCAAATTTATGAGCCAAGCGCGCAGCAAAGCAGCAAACCAGAGCCGGGTTGCTTTTAGGAGGGCGAGCAAATAATGTCACCCAATTTGTAGCACACGCATCTTGAATTTCATTGCAATATCATTTCGGTGGGTGTGTGGGTGTATAGACATATAGATGCATAAAACTCAAACATATGCACCCATGCGTTCACTTGTCAAGCAGCTCTTTCAAATCTGTGTCAACAATATTTCGAATCATTAGGAGCCCGAGCAGAACTAAGTAAGAGGACAAACCATTTTCAAATCATTCAAAAACCAAGGACTATTAAGGAAGGCAAATTGCAGAAATTTAAAAATTTAAAAATATAATATATATTATAGATTCTCCAAGCAAAAACATGTTCTGCATTAAACTTCCAATTGCGTAGTCCTATTGAAAATGGCTAGTATTTATTGGAGGCCTTTGCAGCACTGGCTTATTTCCGAGGTGTTATATAACGATTTAATGCCGAAAATTATGCTGACTGTACTTTACGTATTAAAGTCAACCCAAAACTTGTTCTTTATTAAACTGCCAATTGAAGGCCTTTGCAACACTAGCTTAATTCTGAGGTGTTGTATAACGAAGTAATGCTAAAGAGTTGGGTTATGTTTGAAGAGCGGTACAAAAATTACAATAAGACAAATTCTCTTCGCGCAGAAGCTATGAACGCAAGCTATACTTAATTTTTTAGATAGAGACAAGCAAGTAAATAACTTAGATTTAATAGACCTGATCAAGAGTATATGATATAAATGGCAATCAGACTAGTAAAAACATTTTAATAGAACTCGCCTACATACACGTCTCACACAGTAATAGGTTCACAAGATAGTTTCGCAAGGATTCAGAGCGCGTGTGAACTCAGCTTTTGGCCATTACATTTGCGCTCATAATTTTCAATGATATTGTGTTTTTTGTTTTGCAGGAATGTCCCGAGGGTGTGGTGCACGAGGATTGTTTTAAGGATATTTACGCCAAATTCTTTCCACATGGCAGTAAGTATTTGAGTGTGTGTGCATCTATTCAATGTCCTTGCTGGCGTTTCGCTTTTCGCTTTTTCTCTTTCGGTTTTTTTTTATTATAGCTTTTCGCCATAAAGCGGCACTTAAGCCCCCAACATTTCATTTATATACGCAAGTTTTCGGTTCAAGTAGTAAAACGTTCCCAAAATTTTCTATTTCCGCAGATTCCAGTTTATATGCTCATTATGTGTTCAAAGCCTTCGATGTTAATTGCAACGGCGCCATTAGTTTTCGGGTAACTATGCTCATTATTATAATGCTGCTGTTATTTCAATATACACTCTTATACTAACATATTATTCTTGGGTCGCATCAGGACCTACTTGTCACCTTGTCCACTCTGTTGCGCGGCTCCGTTTACGAGCGTCTGCGCTGGACCTTCAAGCTTTACGACCTCAATGGAGATGGCCGCATCAGTCGCGGCGAGCTGAGCGAAATAGTTTTGGCCATACACGAGCTTATGGGCAGGAGACCCCATCAACCCGAGGAAGATCGCAAGGCGAGAGATCAGGTGAGCTGTAACTGAAATAAGACGAATGGAAACGGAATTGTTTAAAATAAATTAAACAACAATAGTCTTCTAATATATTATTAGAATATTAGAAGTGAAATAATATAATTAAAAAAAAAATTAACACACTAGATTGTTACAAGTTCTATTGTAGCTAGCTTAAGATATCTTACCGTGCGGATAAATAAATTATACGAATTGTACAAGATAGTTATTTATAACTAGAACGTCGCTTGTGAATTATTTTATGCAAATCGTAAAGCAAATTCAAAAATTGTCTGAATTCATTCTGAAGTAATTCAACATTAAATATTCCATGTAAATTTTAGCTATGTTGCATTCTCTTTGTTGTGTTTCATGTTGCGGAATAATAAGATTTACCCAAACAATATTGCCCAATTTAATAACAATAGCAAGTTAAATAATAACATTTTTACTACATTTGTGAAAAGCGAATAGTAAAATTCATTTGAATTCCTTGATGAATGCAGTGCATTTCTGGCTTTATTTATACACAGAATCCCTTGAAACTGGGTAAAAGGGTATGATGATTGTGTGCTAACGCATGTAACAGGCAGATGGTAACATCTACCAAAAATCATCCCCATAAACCATATATATTCATGATCAACATCAATAGTCGACTCGATGCAGCCAAATCCGACTCTCTGTCCATCTCTTGGTCCGCCCTTTTGCAACGATCTCAGAGACTACAGGATCTAGGTCCGCCTAGTGTCCACGGAGTACGAGTTTTGTCGAATCAGCGATAACTTGCCTCATTTCAAAGCTATCGATAATCGATATCGATATCCTGTTTTGAGCTTTCCCTGTAGTATTTAGTGTGCATATATCAAGAATCCAGTATACCGCCTTCCCATTTCGCATAGTCTAAATCCTATTTGAATCCAATGTGGTACCCTTTACCCGTTAAATAGAAACATAAAAAAAAAAAAAAAAATTTTCTTGGCTTAAATCTGTTTCTGGTGAAGTTTTTAAGTGTGCATTTATTAATAAACATATATACAAATGCACTTAAATGAAATGCAAATAGATGAGAAATAAGCAATTTCTGAGTGCATTAGGTTGTTCCACAGCATCTTTAGCCTGCCCTTTTGCTAGGGTATCTCCTTGTCGGGCACTCCACTACATGTTTTCGCTTGTTGTGCATACATCATTTTTAATGCTGAAACCGCCATTAATATAACTTGCAGCATCGGTTGTCGTCGACGTTGACGCGCTGTCGGAGCGTCGCAACAGAACGCGGCTTACGCTGCGTATGAGTAATTATAATTGTGCACATAGCGACAGAGAGTCATGCATGAATGAAGAGTGTGTATTTGAATTCAGCTCAAGGGAAATTGATTGGCAACGCGGTGCGGCGGAATTTATTCAATGATTAAGGCTTCATTGCACAGGTGGATCACCAAGGGGCTGGTGATTGACAAATCCTCGAATGGGAATTTATGTTTAAAAATAATAGAGCATAAAGCAAGACCTATAGTATGATGAAAAGCATAGGCAAAGTTTGTTATAACGTCTTCTCCGTTTTGCAGGTGGATCGAGTTTTTCGAAAATTGGATTTAAATCAGGATGGAATCATAACGATAGAAGAGTTTCTTGAGGCATGTCTCAAGGATGATTTGGTAACACGTTCATTGCAAATGTTTGATAATGACCTTTGATGACAAGCGGAGGAGCCCGACATACGCGATACAAGGACTATAATACCGCTTATAGATCTATAAATAACTTGACATATGTTGCGACAAGTTTTAATAAACTAATTCCGAAAATCCAGACAGCTACATCAATAATTGTTCATCGTTCAGAAAACACAGTATTTCAACAATGATATAAATGAAGAAACCACATACTAGAATTTAAAGTTATTTTAGGCAACTACAAAAATAATATTGAGAGAAAAAAATATAAATAATAGACAAAAGATAAATTTAAAATTTATAAGTGTGTAATTGTACAAGATGCTAATGAAAAACGAATTAATACGATTAATAATTAATGTCAGTTTTTAAGCATATGGTATTATGAATTTAAATCCTGCCGTCAAGAGCGTATTGGTCTTATATTTACTTGATAAATGTATATGAATATAATAATAAAAAACAAACTTTATTTCATAATACTTATTAACTGAGCAAGCCACTAAACTAAACCACCAACTAAAGTGAATAACAAATAAATTTGAAACAGGAATTGGATAGAAATGCGACACGATTTACTTTACACGAAATAACATTAAAGTCAACAATTTATACACATTCAAGTATATGCAGATAAATCAATAAACGACTGCGTGTAATTTTAATTACTTGCCTCGACAAATTTGCATTTAATTTTGTGTAATTGTTAGGTTTCTTTTTTATTTATTTCCCAATATCCTAGCACTACATATGCTACATATATTAATTAAACAATTAAACGAGAAATGAAATATTCGACATATAAATAAGCAGGATTAAGTTACGTCCTTTTTTTTTGTTTCATTTGCCAAACACTTAAAAAATATTTTGAAAAAACAATTTCTGAATGCAAAGCAACCACCGATAAATTAGCAGTTGATTGAATTAAAACGACAATTATTAATTATGGAGAGCCCAATGCTCAACATGAGTTTTCCATTAAAACTTAATTACTTTAATTAATTATTCAGCACGCGTGCATAAATTAAGAACATAAACAAATACAAAACCATTAAATACACCCAAAGCTTAAAGCCTGCGCAACATTCAAATGATTGCAATGATTATATTGTTTAATTAATTAATGCACCACGTGTGCCCTACATATTAATAATTGTAAAATTTAATTTAATTATTAGCATATCAGACAGGCAGCAGGATAATACAATTGCCTGAGTTGTGGAAACATCTAACATTGCCTGAATGCACGACAGCAGAAAAAAAAAAACAAAAACAAAAAACAAAAAACCAAAGAAACAAAAGAAAAGTTCTTTTTACATTGTACCTTCCATACAATACAATTGTTGTTTCAGCGAAAGTTTTATACTTATATCTAATATGCGTCGCGTTCATTGAATGCCATCGTGCTTGGAGTCGAGACAATCAATGTGGTTTGATATTTCCTCTTAGTTATTCACATTTTGTTCTATTGTTAATTTAAACAATATCTAAACATTTATGCAACACACCTGTGTGCTTATAGAAGGACGCCAGGTGTATTGTGTCCCGTTTGGACTGGCGTATTGAATTATTTGTAAATTTCCCATTGGCTCTTAATATACTTAATAATTATTGACATGGAAAATCTTTAGTCATTAGTCGATCTAGCCATGTCCGTCCGTCCGTCCGTCTGTCCGTATGTATAAACGCAAGGATCTCAGAACCTATAAGAGCTAGAGACTTGAAATTTTGGCTGAAGGTCCTCCTAGTACCCGCGCAGATCGAGTTTGCTTCCGATATTCGATAACTTGCTCCGTTTCCAAGAAGTCGATAAAATAATCGATATTGAAATCCTGATTTTTTAGAAATATTGGTAAATAATAAGAGCTAAAATCACCAAAATTGACATGTAGCTTCTGTAATAGTATATATATATATCAAGTATCTTTCATTTTATACCTATCGCATGTTGGAAGAAGAGGGTTAAGGGTATCCCCTAGTCGGAAGCTCCCGACTAGAACCTCTTACTTGTTTTCTTAGCAATATATCTGATTTTCTGGTTAATATTTAGTAAGTGTATATCAAGAATATTATTTGGAAAATTTTATGCAAGCTTCACAGGCCATGCATCAATATTCATTATTATTAGCAAGTTCTTAATTGGGAACTTGTCAAAATAAATGGCAATACTAGCGAATGCGCTTTAATAAGTGTTTATTAACATTAAACTTGTAACTAAGTGCTGGATTTGAGTGTCATGGAAATTGCAATTCAGAACTTTGAACTTGAAAAACTAAGCGACCTACTTGATAATCCACCCCAAGATACAACCTACCTAGCATGTATGGATATCAACTTGTCCAGCAAGGAAAACTCTATTGTAACGAGATCTAAGCAAATTACCATTTAAATGTCTAACTAGTAATATACTAAATAATTGAAACGCTTAAAACTTAATTCATTAATTAAAGAATTGATCAACTTTAGGCTAAAGCCAAACATTGTCATTGTTTTTAGCAGCTGAATGTTTAGCAAGAGTAATTAGGTTTGTGTAAATGTCTACTAAGCTACTCCCAAATCAAACTACTTACAAAGATAAATTTAATTCGAGGACTTAACCTATTTTTATGATGTAAGAGCGTAGCTAGTCAGCCCCCTAACTGTGTCTAGCAACTATATTTAGCATGATTAATATTGGATGATTAAAGATATTATTTAACTACATATTTTGTTGAAACTAAATTGAATCAAAAAGTACCTAGTAAATGTAAATTATGATAATAATTTTCTATTATAAGCCATTGAAATTACAATTATGCGTCAAGGAAGAAGGAAACCCGAGGCAACTGTTCAAATTATTTATTATATATTTGATATGCTATTAACTTTTAATTGAAGAAAATACTTATTGATATGAAACTTAACAGCAGCAAACGTGGTTAGTGATTCGGATACTATAATAGGAGACCCATACACATACATACATATATAATACATATGATCTAATATCTAATACTAATCGAAAACCAATTCTAGAAAATGTATTTAATTGTCTAATACACATATGGATGTATGTAGAAATGTGCGAGTCTTATCCGTACAGAATTCTGTATTGTTAAATATTCATAATATTTGTGGTCAATCTTTTAATTAACATAAGCATATGGAATTTAAAGCATGCGACAAACCAAATACTCAACTCTCAAACCAAAAACCAAAAGTTAATGAACTTAACTTAGAAATCTCGTAACTTGTTAGTTTAGATTTGGTGTCATTTTGTTTGCCATTCAAATGGAATTCCATATATATCTGATTGTTTTAGTTGTAACTGATTAATTATGTTGTTCCTCAATAACAGAGATAACAGAGAAAATAACAATTGAAAACTGGTCGAAAGATAACAATTTTAATAAACATCAACATTTAATAATATAGTTTTGGCATTTTTATTAAAATTAATGAGAGGCTATCAGAGGCAGTTCTTTTCCAGAACTCTGGGCCAGACGTCAAGGGTTCATTTGTGTTAAGGATGTGGCAGGCTTGGATCAGGGCCACCAGCACAGGGTGGGTGATGCCCCCTCCCCCTCCAAGGGTTCTCTTTGGCCGCTTGACGGAGGGGACAAAAGCTTTTGGCCTGTCGGGAATGATTTCCCGAAACAACATTGGGAAGACGACCGGCCTTGGCTCTCTTGGATCTCGTTGCTCCTGCTCCTTCGGTTGCTGCTTTGTGCAGCTGTTGCGATGCTGGCTAACACTAGTTTGTCGGCACCTGGTTTGCTGCGAGAATCCTCAGTCCGGGGTAATCCACTAGCGCGCACAGCGAGATTCAGCTCTGGTAGCGAATTAATGGATGAGGAGACCGCACGTCTACGATGGCATGACCATAATATCTTTGATTGTAGACAGTGCGTCCATGAAGGCTCTAACCGTTTGTGGTGGTTACATCTGGTATTTGTTGGTAGGAATATCAGACTCAGCATTGTTTGCCAACATGGTCCGTCCATCAAAGATATCTTGGTCATGCCATCCCTGACGTGCGTGCACCTACATTCCTCTGTTCAGTTGGGATGAGGTTTATTCAACTGATCTACCGGACTCGGGGGCGATGTTTTAAGAGCAGTCTCAAGCTCTTCTTTTAGCGAGGAGGGGAAGGTCGCGCTTGTCGCGGGATGTCTAAAATTTCATTAAAATGTCTTCACCCAACTCATCAATGACGAGCTTCACTATTTTCCTCACATTTGCGAAACTATAAGCCACATGTCTACACAAGGTAATTGGACAGGACACACTTACCTGTATTTATTCAACAAGAACCGTCTAACACAGGCTGAACTAATGCAAAAAAATCAATACAATCAATTATTAAGAAAGGAAAAGGCTTAATTACATTGCGTCTTCGAATTGAATTAGAAGACACTTCCAAATATTTGTTAAATAGATGTTTATTTAGTTTTGAAATATCAATAATATGTCACTGCTTAAATACATTCTTTTGAATGTATTATATTCATGTTTTGAATTCTGCAATTATGCATCTGGCTGTGAATATCTATACTTAATAATTTATTGCGATTTTTGAGCATCCATATTTCTATGGACTTCTAAATATTGCTTCCATTGCTATTTTGTGCTCAGATATAAAGCAACAATATTTGGTTGTGACTGAAGACATTCCAAATGGGCTTTACATTGCCAGCATTCGAATTTGATTAATGCAATATGATTTATGTATTTTGATGTATTGATTTTGATTCTTAATGGTTTATGAGCTTGAGGTTTTTATGACATTTATGTTATGTGTTAAATCGTTTTACTTGAGTGGTTCATTAAATTTCTATATATATTTGTTTATAAAAATGTTTTGCTACAATTTGAACGCATTAATTTTGTTACTTGGATTTGTTATACATATATGTATGTTGTGTTGTGTGTGAAATTGTTCACTTAGGCTACATTTTTTCAAATTTAACTCCATTTGCACGAACATTTTTAGTTCACTAAATCAAAAATTGGCTTAACTACTATAAAATGTAAATAAATGTTTACTTTTTTTTTGTATGTGTAAATTTAAATATATATTTATTTATTTAGGTTTATTTGTAAAGTAATGTAAATTTAATTTAATTTTGTCATTGGATTGGTTGTAGATTTGATTTATTTAAACGTTGTGAAGGGTACAAAGTATGACGCTCAGCTACGTTTAACTAACAACAAAATTCATATAACAACAATAAAAATACAAAATTCGTTTAGTTTCGCATGTATGAGAAATAAAAATACATGGTTAAAATATATATATATATATATATATATATATATATGAATATATATATATGTATGTATATGTAAGAATATATATATGTGGCTGTGTGTGTAGATGCATGTATATTTGTATGAGTTTATATGGGGTTTCGAGTGTAATAAGTATACAAAATATAAAAAATACGTTTCGTACAGCTAGTAAAAATAAATTCATGATGTACTTTCATTAATGTTTGTTTAAGTTACATATTAATTGTACTTTGATTAATTAATAATAAATAATATTTTGATTCGAAAACTTATTAGTATGTGTATTCGTGTGCGCGTAAATGTATGTGTGTGTGAGTAAATGTTGTTTCGAGCGTATTTAATAAATGGCAGGGTATTGTACAGAGAGCTGCTAATTAACAGCATATTCAACAGTGCTTGAACTACAGCGCGCCAACATCGGCTACAAATGTTAATTAGTTAACAGTGCGCTGTCAGTTAACATTCGAGTTAAAAACAAATTTTGTAAATAGATAAAATATTTGGCATTTAATTTCGCGAAGCTCAACGAATTTCATTTAATAATTACTTATTCCTTTAGCACATGATTTCACACAAGAGAAATGATAAGAGTTTTTGGGCTTGGATCTTTGGATGGCAACGCCGAATCAGAACTAAACTGTGTGGGCATTTAATCATTTGTCACTTGTGGAATGCTCATTAGATTGATTCTTACCAAATAATGCGTACGAGTCAAGAGTGTTTTACGAACATTAAGGTTGAAAAAAAAAGAGCTATGATTGCATTTATAATTCCGTGTTTTTGGCAAATAAGTTTTACTGTTGTGCTTAAATTGCTAATGTATGATTTCTATATAGTACGAGTGTCTTACTATATTTATGTATTCATAAAACGTTTTTATTTTTTTTTTTAATTTGAAACTTTTTGCCTTACGCGGTCGGACTTTTCTAATATTTAGGTGTTTACTGCTGTGTATAGAGTTATGTTTGTTGCTAATATAAAATGTGATTTGTTTTCTGTTTGTTTATGTAGAAATATTTTAGAAAAGTTGCTGCGTATCAAGTTCATATAAAGTTCATTCAATTTCTTATTTCTTTCATTAATTGCGTATATTTATTAAATGGCTTTTAAGGTCACTGCAACCTCATGCGCCATTTCAATTTCTTTAACTCTTTGTCGATTTCAAATCTTCCACAATTGCTCAGTTGTTTGTTAAAGTACTACAAAAGTGTTTTAAAGTATTCGCAAGGACTGACAGCCTTCAAATGTAGCCCGCTACAGCTGTTGTTGCCGTTGTTGTTGCTATTGTTGTCAGTGCTAAATGCATTTCATTCGCACCAATTGTTGTTGTTTTTAGTAACGCTTATGCTTTAGTTTACATTTGGTTTGTTAGTACTTCTCATCGTCCGTTATTTCCCTATGGGAATTCTGTAATTCTCAGGCCTTGTAGTGCTGATTCCTCACCGCACAGCACAGGCTCAGGGCAAAGGTCAGCGACAGCAGCTCCAACAGTATCACAGCGGCGGTAATGGCAAATATGGTAACCCAATTCTCGTAAATGATCTCAATCAGCTTATCAACGCAGCCCTGTAAAGCAGAAATTAAAAAACCTAATATTATTACTATGAACGACAGTGTATAAACACACGCTGTGTGTGTGTGTGTGTGTATCTGCTTCTCATTTTCATTAAAAATGTTTATTGATTGTTTATTAAACGAATTCCTCTATAGAGGAAGTTTCTGCACAGACATTAAAAGTGCGTGCGGAATATCAATAATAATTAATACATTTTTATCGTCTTTTGTGTCAGGCGTAGAATTTTGATTGCCTTGAGCGTTGAGAAGCAAAACAATTAACGAAAGGGATTATTAATTTTCATGCTCAAGCGCTTGACGGTGCTTAAAAACCTCAGATAACCGTCAATGGTTAAAGATATATTTATATATACCACAAAAAAAATATAAAGAGATGGCAAATAAACAATATATTCGCCATGTAATATTCGTTTATAAATAAAGCTTATAGCCAAAATGTGAGTTTTTATTGGAATGTTTCAAATTAGTCATTTAATATTTTGAAGCCCTAGATGGATAGAGAAATCCGAAAGATTCCCGTTCATATCTTTCCTCAGATTATTTCAAATGCTGTCAAGCGAAAAAAAAAAAACAAAATGAAATTCTCACTCATTGTCATTCGATTTTACCTGCTGATAAATGTACGTATTCAAGGGACCTCCGAATTTTAAGATACGCCACTTTTCACACTCGTTATCCTTGATATCCTCTTTGCAACACGATTCAGGTATATTGTAAAGCACATTCATGGAAGAGACGGCAATATCAACTATATTGGTGCGATCCACATTATTAAAACGACTCGTGGCCCAATCGCCGGGTCCATCTGCGCCGCAGCACTTCAACTGCAAACAGAAAATAAAGTAAATCAGTTGAGATATGAAGTAATACCTATGATAATATTTACATTCTTTTGCAGCGTATCAAAGGTCACGGTGCGCGAACTCATGCTCGACTGTCCGTACTCCTCCTGCACAGATGATTTAACCGCCGCACGCACAATGTCATCCAGTTTGTCTTTGTTGTGGAAGGCCCAAGCACCGGCTGCAATTTGCGCCACCATCACGATGAGTATGACACAGAAGAACTGCAAAGAATTGGCAATTAATGAATGAGATCTGTGCGTAAGTGCATATGGGTGTAAATATGCTAAAGCATGCAGTCGGAATAATTTAATCAAGAGGCTGGTGGGCGAGCCAGTGCAGACGTTGTGGGATGTGTGGGTAGATTTTCAATGCAATCTGCGAATCTGGGCTCCACTTACCGAGACAAGCAGACACTGGGACTCGCGACATACGCCCAAGCAGCCAAAGAATGCGCCCAGGGTGATCAGTATGCCAATGGCCAGGAAGACATAGAGCGCTATATGATAATGATTATACGATTGTGTCATCGACAGCATAAACGTGGGATCCGTTAGCATCCACAGCGAGGTGATCACAATGGTCAGGCCGATGAGCTGTAAAAGGAATGCAAAAGATTCAAAATTGGATAATTAGCTTTCGTTCTTCTTCTTTTTTTTTTTAAATAGGTCATGCGTTCATTAGTTTACTTAGTGAAGTAACGTCATGTTTTGCTCAATCTCATCAATCGAAATGCTTCAATGACGCCATACATGTGTGTGTGTGTGTGTGTGTGTATAACTGTGCGGCACGCCCCACTAGAGAGGGCGGCAATTAAAGCGGGAGGCAAAAGTCGTGCCAACTATTTGAACGTATTACCCCCCGCCAGCCATTAAGACATGGGCATTATGAAACATGGTTCGTTTGTAACTCATGATGTCAGCAGACAGCCAAATTTTATATTTTTCATCATTTCATGACGCTACGTTCCTGTTTATTTGTTTGTGCAAATGTCTGTGTTTACGTTTTAATAAAATTAAGAGCCACATTTTATTTCCTTTTTTCTGTTTTGTTTTGTTTTGTTTCGTTTTGTTTTTTACTTGGCAACATTTGCCAAGACATTGAACCAAGCCCCGAAGCCGATGAGAGGCCATAACCTTATCTACGGGCTGGGGGATTATCAAGAAGGCGACGGGAATCTCTTAATACGCCAGCTAATATGTTCAGCTGTGTACTCATATTACTTGTGTACTATATACCACGCTCCAAGCTGATTATATTCATTCCTAATAAGCACTCGCACATGTACATAAATTTGCATATTGTGTTACTCATTTCTCTCCGATTGGCACTGAAACTGTGGTCATGTTCATCTGTAGACTATTAGGAAATGCACTATGCGGGCATGCCGATAAGTAAATACCCTTTATTATACCAACATTATACCAGGCATTGCTCGATCCCTGGTTTAACATCTTACAAATTAAGTATTTAAAGTACATTTTTGGCGTGAGAATAATCTCTCTTAATGCGTTATATATTTGAAGATAAATGTAAAGAGAGATAAATCATTCATCGTTACTTAGAACAGAGTTAGGGTTAATATAAAAGCACCATTTATTTTATCTTAATGGTTATGAATGCCGTTCACATAAAATGAATGTTACATTTCTATGGAAATTGGAGACGTTCTTAGATTTGATCTGATATCAAAATGAATTCATTTAAGGAATTTAAGTACAAATATACAGTATATTGTTTTTAAGTGAATGCACGACGTATGCATTTGTGTATTTTAAATGGGAATCTACAGAGCTCACATAATAAATTGTAAATATTTATATGCACAAATGTATGTAGACAGTAGAAGATATTTCCACAAAGGCAGTGTTTGCTTCATTTATCTGCATTTTAGCCCCAACTTTGTACACATTAATATTAAAGTTTTTTTTTAAAAAAGCAAACTAAAGTTGCCACTGGAACAGGTTGGAGCTGAGCTGCATTTGCAATGTTGCACTTTGCCTCACACTATGTTGCCGCATTGTGACATATGAGGCATACGAATACTGCAACAATCGCAAAGCACACAATAACTCAACCGCTAAAATGTTTAAATGTTTGACTATTAAATAAGTCATAATGCAGTCCAGTGCGTAGTTAGAGATGCGTCAATCTCTCAGCTGTACCCATTCGCTTTCACTTTTATTACACCTTCTACTAAATTTATGATTATAGAGCAAAGAACACCTGAAACGGAAACACCTGCCTAACGGAAATAACAATTTTCCGCTAACAATGGTCTGGTGCAAAAAACAAATACGAATGATATGCAACATTTCGTTTCGTCATGCCACAGATGAACTACCGTAAATATGGAAAACTTATAATATATATTTAATACTATGTTGTTTTGTTTACAGCTAAATTTGCGTTTGTTTTTAATACTTTGACAAATTGTTGCTATTTAGTATTTAATGAAAGCTTTCAGTCATTGGAATTGTTAAGAGAATAATACATTTAAAAACCATAAAACGTCTTAAATAAAATATTATATGCTTTATTGAGACCGTTTTTAAAGTTTGCTGTTTTTTAAACGCTTTTGAATAAAGTGCTACTGTTTGCAACTTAAAAAATTTAATTGTAATAGAAATATTTGAAAACAATGTAATTTTCTCAATATTGTCATAAATATGTCGTGCAGTTTTAAGGTCTTTCAGAACACACAGCTTTATTTTTTTCCTTAATATAAAGAATAATGTACTTTTCTAACTTTAACCTTGTACATGCGCATATCCATTGGTAGGGTATACAAACTACCCAAAAATATCCCAAAATGCCGTTATTACATTACATCAAATGAAAACATTTGTACTTCTTTGGTTTTAAGCTGCGGTAAAATGAACCAGTTAGTTGAACCAAAGTTAGGCTTAAAAACCGTGTCTCCAAATTGATATTTGTAGAAATTGTATAAATGGGAAAAGACGTTCAAATAAAAAGACAAACTTGTTCTGCGTATGATATACCAGAATATCTATTACAAGAATGTTTATGCTTTATGTAGTCGGATACACTTTTTGCTACCCATCTTATACACAATCAATGGTCTTACGGTACACAAATATAAGCCCAGCTCTGCGTGCGGGTGGTCTTCGAGTTGCGCTCTTAGGCACCTTAAGAGCGAGTTGAAGAGTCGGACAGAGTTTGCGCGAAGACAAGAGAACAAGAGAATCGTTGAAAAATAGGCCAAAGCAAAGTGCATTCTGGGGGCCAGTTTGTAAGTGTGAGTGTCTGAATGAAGGAAAAAACAACAAAACACTTACAGTTGTAATACAAACGTTGTAATTGCCAGAAAATTTATTGCATATGTATGCACACACACACACACACACACATGATCGCATGCATGTAAGTACATGATGCATACAAAAGTGACAAAATGTCGCGTGCAGGCAAAATGTATGTCAAATATTTAATAAAATGTGCAAACTCCTTACATGACCTACATCACTGTGGGGCAAAAAGCTCAGAGGCAGAATCGTGGATAAGTGTCCTCGGTTAGCTTTCCTCCTTATGCAATATTTATCGCAAATTGGCCACACGTAATTTTCTATATGATGCAAGCAAACGTATGAATAATTGTGCGAAAAATAGCACAATGAATTATGAGCAAAAAGAATAAGGAGGAGAGCAAATCATCTAAATTAATTGCCGGGCAGGCAAGAGACGCAAGCGATGTCCACCAGCAACACAGCGGATGATCATAGCTTCTAACTAAATGGCGGCATCTGTGGCGGCCAGACGGGCAGTCAGTCGGTCGGTCGGTTGGTCGGTCGATCGGTCGCGCAGTATCAATGGAACGTCAGAGCATTAGCGTCAACTGAAATCGTGGCGCTTGATCACGATCACGCAGCCCCGCAGCGATGTTGATGAAAATGGAAATGCTATGGAAAACTATGTCACAGTGTTGCAAATATGCATGGAAAAACTAAAATAAAAAATGCCGCCAATGCAAGCAAAATCTATATAATTCGGATTTACTCCAACTGTTATTAAACATATTTAATTCTCTAAATCATAAATGGGCATCTCTCTCGAAAAGTCCGCCAAGGCCAAAGTCTAAAACAGCTAATCTTTTCTTATAAAATCCAGCAATATTCACTCAAAAATATTCATTAAATTGCGAATATGAGATAAAGGCTTTCTATTGGAAAGATGTGTACGAAACGTTGATCTCAAATCCATCCAAAATCGATATTTAAACTAGAATCACATTCAACAAATCTTAACGATAATATTGATGTTTAACGTTAAGTAAGATTAAAGATATATAACTGTACAAAACATAGTATGGTTATATTCATTTATATTTAGACAAAAAAAAGATGAAAGATACATGTAAATGTAATATCTGATAACTTAAATTTGTCAATTTCTGAAAGTATTTATATTTATATATATTTATAAATTTATACATATATATTTTTTTTAAATTTTATAAAGCGTACACGAGTGTTATGTGCATGCATTAATGAATAAATTTCACCACTGTGGCCAACAAGAAGATTCTCCCACCTCCTACCAATGGCTGAAGCAACACCAAGAGAAAAATCAACATCCACACGGAACGAAAGCAAAACGTTTTTGTTGGTTTGTTCGAAAATAGATTTGACTAATAAATACTATAGGGAAAAATCGAAATAGCAACAACAAAATAACAAAAACTAAAAACAAAATTGAAAATGAAAATTTTACCCGAAAAGCAAGAACAACATAAAACACAAACAGAAAGGAAATAACAATTAAAGCGACGTCTCGATGTGGAAATAGTAAATTGCGTAAAACGAAAAAAAAAAATACACACAATTCGTTGAACCCTTTCAACGAGAAGTAACTGTTGAAAAGAGAGAACTTTTAGTGGGGAGTGGCGCACCCGAAAGGCGCCAAATGTAGGTCCTGCCCATACACAACAAATGTACATGTGAGTGTGTATACAGATACATACACGGGCGTCAAAGCAATGAATGAGCAGTTGCTTCATTTTTTTTTGTTGATAAGAAGAGAAGAAAACGAGGTGTAGCAAGAAGCAGAACTCAATCTTAACAACAAGGCACGCATATAAAAATAAAAAACCAACAGGAAAAGGCCAACAAGAAAACAAGAAAAACAACACAACTCAATGTGTGGGAGCAGCACAAAGGAGGGGGCAAAAAAGAGCGCGATGCTTTCGCTGCCTGTCTATCTGCCGTGTGCGTGTGTGCGCGTGTGGGTGTGTGTCGCATAATCTCCACCCACAGCGGAACTTCTATTGTTTTTTGAAGTAGGGTGTGAGCAGCAGCAGTTGAGAGCGTGCGCGCAAGCAAAGGCATCGGCGTAGGGAACGCGCACGCATACACTGAAAAACGCGCCATGCAAGTTTCTATTGATGTGTTCCAGTTGCTGTTTGTATTAGTGAGCTGGCTGATTCTATGGTTGTGTTGTTGTTTTCAGTGTTGTTGCTGTCTTCTTGCATACCTACCCAAAATAAGATGTTTATAAGGACCATCAAATATTTGACACACGAACAGCACCCGTTGAGACCCATTTTATGGCTTTAATTTAATTTTTTCGCACAGTTTGCGTTTACTTTGACGGCTTTTTCACCACCGTTGACTTCCTGCCGTATGAAACTGAGAAGCTGCGTTTGCCCCTTGCAGCCTTTAATGCAATTTCTCTACTCGTTGCACTTGCACACTTTTTAAAACAATTCGGTTGGCGCCCGATTTTTCGAAATCGGTTAAAAACACTTTTAGTTTAAATCATTAAAATCCGTTTTATTTCCGTTAAGCGCGTTGCATTTAGCAATAATTTAAATTTTTATTTGTACATCGAAGCAGCAGCGGCGCTCTCTCAATCGCGTCTGAATCAGTGTGGCCGTTTATAATATTATTGATAATCCACTTATCGCTTGAATATGTAAAATCGTTATCGATTGAACAACTCGTTTTGAACATTGTACAACACTGCTTTAAACATTTATACACTTTTAATACGATAATTTTAGAATGATTCCACGTTTTGATGAGGTAAAAAATATGGCAAGCCCCTATTTAATAATTGGCCGTACATTGTTGAATATATCGATGATTGCACAAAATCAAATTGTTTACTATAATCGATACACAAATATCGTTAAAGAATTGGGAACATTTATGGCTTCGCGGTGTTGGGTCACACTCGCAGTTCGTTGTTTTTCTTACAGAAAAAAAACAGTAAAAGAGTGCAGAGAGAAATAGTGAAAAAATGCATTATTAGTTACAAATCTGCAATTGAATAATCAGTGAATTGTGCATTACCCTGCAGCTATTTCACAAAAATTCAAAATGCGTACGCAAATTATGTAGCTGCTGTGGCTTTTCCACCAAATCAAAAGAATATCGGTACAAAAGGAAAACAAAATACACAGCCAAACGCGAATGTAAATGTGAAGCACAGGGCAAAGTAAGCAAAAGCAATACCCCAAACAGGCGTCCGCTCACAGCCGCCCCCACCCACCCATTGGTGCCACAAATACTGTACACCACATCGAGGTGCACTGAATTCGAAACAGGCTGCTGCTGCCGCTTGCCTCTAAGTTTTAAGTAATTAAAGACCTGCACCCTGATACCCCCCGCCCCTATCCCAGCCATCAATATACACATGCCCCCACAGTGAGTGTTTGTGTTTGTGTGTGTGTGTGTGTGTGTCTTGTAATTTTGTTACGCAGTGGAGCGGTGCGGCAGCCGTTCAAGTGAAGTCTAAGCATTTTGTATACGAGAAAAACGTATAAGCTTTGCCTGCGCTTTAAGGTTTGTTGTTGTTACGGTATTTGATGTTGTACATATAAAATTTCACAAGTGTTGCATTTGAAGCCAGTTGCGGGGCCACTTCTCGCTTTAAGCCGTGTTGTTGTTATGCTTTGCGTGCATGTGTGTGTGTGTGTATTGGCTAAAAAACAATACATTGAAGTAGTATAAAAGCCAAACAGCAAAACTCAGCAACTTGCATTGCATACATATATGTACATATGTATGTAAAAGAAAAACATATATGCACATGTATATGTATTAAGTGATGACCATATAATTAGTGATATTTTTTTTTTTTATTTAAACTTAATGTTTGTGTAAGGCAAATATCATTAAAGATAGCTGTGTTGATTAACATGCAAGTTATAAATTGATAAAAATAAAACAAAAATAAACTATGTGGACAGAAAGCTTTAATAAAAAAAATAGTGTTCCTAATTATTTGGCCCACACTGTGTACATTGCTTTTGGGTTTTCCGCTCTGCGTTTGAGCGTGCCTCATAAGTAAATTTCACTTTCACCTTCGATGTGGGCAGTTTATAGTTGCGGCCACGGCTGACCAATTACTTTGTACTTTATATTAAAATTGGGCGAGTTTTAAATTAGAAAGTGAACTCTTTCTGCGTGTGTTTGAGTGTTGAGTGTTTGTGTGTGGCTTCTTAATTTGCGTTAATTAATTAATGATTGCCTCCATTGGAGTATGTGTGTATGCCCACACTTTACTCTTCTGCCTGTCTGCCATATAATTTAATTCTAATTAGCCCCATTCTGACCCACCAGAAGATTGCATCTAATTATCTGACTGTCTGACCGTTGCCTCGCTCTGACAACTTTAACAAGCGTGCAACGTGTGGGAACTGTTAAATTGTTGCATTGAAAAGGGGGACACACATTCAGATATTTCAATCATTTGCAAGCCACACACACACACACACACACACTCTCCCATGCACACAGACAGCATGTAACACTTTGCATTTCGAACAATGCACATAATATAGAGCGCGCAACGACAACATGCGGCAACATCAACAATAAGAGGCAACTAGGAAGTTGTTGGCAATTGTTTCGCTTTTGTTTAGTGCTTCATTTCTCTATTAACGAACTGCTTGATTATCATTAACAGCTTGCTGCACACGACATTAACAGTAACATAACGTTAACATAGCAGAAGTGCAACAACCCAACAACAGCAGCAGACGCAATTACATGTCATATCTTGCTAGACCATGATATACCCTGTTTTTTTTAGTTGTACTCATATGCTTAAAAGTATGCTATGCGTGCATTACGAATTTGGCATAGAGAAATTTGAACAAATCGTTCTTCAGATTGTGCATGATTATACTATTCGCATCCTTGATTGTTTTCTTCTTCTTAATTAAGCTTTCAATCAGTATACAATAAACAAATATACCTGTCTGCAATGTTGGTATTTGTTGGCTTCAAAATTTGAGTTTTTGAAAGTTAAAAAAGTTAAACATATTAAAATACAATTTACATGTTCACTCATCCAAGCATAATATAATTAAGATCTCTCATCATGCATACCCTATGAGCCTTTCTAATACAATGGGTATCTAAACAGCAGGAGGTGTGGTGAGGGGGGGGCATGTGTAAATATGCCATAGAATTTGTTGCAATGATAACAATAGACTACAACAACAACAACCGCAAGTGGGCAAAGCATAACAGAAACTAGGTAATACTTTTATAATTTATTCTAGCTACTTTTTATGGCCTTCTTTTTTGTGCTGAGACCCGTTTTTATTTTCACACACTGGCTTTGCTCTGTTCCGCTTTTGTAGTAGGGTGTAAATCTTGAGCCAGCATGAAAGTTAACCTTTCTGTTAAACTTTGGGACTTAAAGGTCTTTCAAGCGTGTACTCAGCATAAATCATAAAATTTGTTGTTTGTTTTTTGATTGAGTGTGTGTGTGTGTTTGTGCGTGTGTGTGTGTACAACTACTGTCGCAGGGCAGCTGTTTAAAGTTCTACCAGAAACAAAGGCAAATAGATGAACGCAAACAAGGAAAAATAACAAGAATAACAGCGAACAATATTTGGGGTTTACCAAAGCAGGTCTCGAGCAGACCGCACCGCAAGCTTATCACTATCCCAATAAACCAAAACAAATTTCAGTTTCATTGCAGCCAGCAGCGTCGCAGAGACAACAACCTAGCAGCAGCAGCAGCAGTTGACGGAGATAAGCAGCAACGCAGCAAGGCAGCACTGACAGCAGGGGCAGCTGCACGCACTGATAACAATTGATACTGATTACCGAATACTCAATACTGGTCCCGATTCAACCCGCGTGTCTCCTGCGCAGCGGCAGCGGCCACCTTCTCGCTTATCATTGACCGAGCATGTCGCACGGCAGCGCCGGCGCGCAAACTGTTGGCGGTGGCGTTGGCGGCGGCAGTGTCGGCGGCGGCAGCTTGGGCGGAGCAGCGGCAGCAGCAGCAGCGGCAGGAGCTGGCTCTGAATATCGCGAACTGCATTGGACTGTATCGAGCGTGATGGACTCCTCTCGCGTATCCACCTGCCTAATATCAATGCTGCTGATTGTCTATGGCAGCTTTCGCAGTCTCAACATTGAGCAGGAAGCGCGGGAGCGAGAGCAAAAGAAACGCAATGAATCTATGACGAATCTGCTAACCGGCGACCACGTCGAGAAGGATCCAAGTAAGTCAACCCCGTCACTACAAACCCGTCCACATGCTCCGTACTTATCGGATCTCTATATCATATAGGTCGGTTGATAATTTTATTACTATAGGAAGAAATTTTATATTTTTTCAATATATATATTAACCGTTTCCCAACCATGCTACTATATCATAAATATCTATAGTAATAATCGGTCGACAAATTAGTTATTGTAGGGAAAAGTGTTTTGTTTTTTTGTAAATATATATCATTTATATAAAACTATTATAAAGATATTCTTTTGTCCGAACGTACTATATTTTAGCCGTTGCTCTGAACTTGACCGATTATCTGATATTTTGACAACATTTTTTATAGATACTTCGCTTAATTTACTTTATAATATAGCTCTTATATGAAAAATCGTTCAAATTTCCCTAAAAACAATTAAATTTCAAGTTCAAGGAACATTTAAGTAGCATTAAATTGGTTTGGGTTTAACCTTTTTAATTAGCGTAAAGAAAATTGTTAATAATATAGCTTGATTACCTCCACTCTGTTGCAGCGGATAAGTTTGCCACGTTGGATACGATGCATGCGCTGTGCTTGCCACTGGGTGCTTCCATATCGCTGCTCATCATGTTCTTCTTTTTTGACTCAATGCAGCTGCTCTTTGCCGTGTGTACAGCCAGTAAGTGGAACATGTTGTTTTTTATGTGCCCACCTGCTCACATTATCCGTATATTCACAGTTATTGCCACTGTGGCGCTGGCATTTCTGCTCTTGCCCATGTGCCAGTATATAATACGCCCCTGCTCGGATGGTAAACGCTTCTCCTTTGGCATCTGTGGACGTTTTACGGCAGCGGAGCTATTTAGCTTTACACTCTCCGTCTCAATTGTGTGCGTTTGGGTGCTTACTGGGCACTGGCTGCTTATGGATGGTAAACATAATTTCAGCATCTGGAATTTGTGTTTAAATGTACTTAACTATCTATTCATTTTAGCCATGGGCATGGGTCTGTGTGTCGCCTTTATTGCGTTCGTGCGATTGCCCAGCTTGAAGGTGTCGACGCTGCTGTTAACCGGTCTGCTGATCTATGACGTTTTTTGGGTATTCCTTTCATCGTACATATTTAGCACAAATGTGATGGTCAAGGTGGCCACACGACCCGCCGAGAATCCCGTTGGCATTGTGGCGCGCAAATTGAATTTGGGCGGCATTGTGCGGGACACACCGAAGCTAAACTTACCGGGCAAACTGGTTTTCCCCAGCATTCACAACACGGGTCATTTCTCGATGCTCGGCCTGGGCGATGTGGTTATGCCAGGTCTACTGTTGTGCTTTGTGCTACGTTATGATGCCTATAAAAAGTCACAGGGCTTTACATCGGACCCAACACTATCACCGCCAAGGGGTGTTGGCTCCAGGTTGACATATTTTCATTGTTCCTTATTGGGGTAAGTGGGACGCAAGTGTTGATGCAAGTGAAAGGTTTTTCAATTAAGTACTCGGTCTTCTTTAGTTATTTCCTCGGTCTGTTAACGGCAACGGTCAGTTCGGAGGTCTTTAAGGCCGCACAACCCGCCTTACTCTATTTGGTGCCGTTCACGTTATTGCCACTGCTGCTGATGGCCTATTTAAAGGTATGTATAAGCCGTCCTAATACGTATTAAATATGCTCTAACTATTATGTCTCCCGTAGGGCGATCTGCGACGCATGTGGAGCGAACCGTTTATAGCGCATCCACCATCAAAACAATTGGAAGTCTGAGTGTACTCTATCTTAAATCAGAATTAATGAAAAACTTAAAAAACTAAAAACAAACACGAGAAAAAATCGAAAAGGGAAACAGAAAACAGAAAATGAATTCTCTCTCGATAACATACGTATGGTTTACTTATACGTATCAAGGTTATTTTAAGTTAGGTGATCCACTTTTTAGTGAAGTAACAGCAAAACCGAATAATAAATGTACGTAGTTTTAGTATAAGTGGGAAAGTTTTTTTGAAAACCACACAAATGTACATGTATGTATATGTTAATGTAATTTGGCTTTACGCTACGCAAAGCAAAAATTAGAAACAGTTTATGCTGGCCGTAATATTCAATTTGATGCATAAGAAAGAATGATTTCAGATGCGCTTCAATCTCATACAGACTCAAGCTGCATTCTTACTTACATACTAACCTGCATATACTTTAGTAAGGGTTTAGTATAATAGTTTTTTTTCATTTAGCCACTACTGTTGAGATTTGATTTTGTTCATTTAGATTTAATGCATTTTCAACATTTCCAATCACATGATAAACAAGCATAAAGTTCACCAAATTTCAAATTCGAATCAATTATCAAACTGTATGACAATTTCTGTAAATACTTAATTTTAATATCACAATCACAAATAATAGTTAGTAAGTGCGCCGCATTTTATATTCACATTTCGGTGTTCTTTCAACAAACACATTTGCGTCCCCATTTCCATTTCCATTTTCTGCATTCGAATTTTCACACATACATACATAAATGATAATTTGCCAAAATGCATGTGTTCGTTTTAAACAATAAATATTAAAAGGAGAAAAACAAAGAAACAAAAAAATGTTGCACTCGGGTGTTTCACAGATTAAGTTTCGAGAATTTTAATTATTTATAACGATCAAGCAAAACTAACAATAATACATAAATATAAATATATGCATAGTAGTTACATTTTAATTGTAAGTAAATGCAATTTCGAAACATATAGAAACAATAAAAATGTGAGATTTGAACATAAACTATTTAAATTAATGTGTTTACTTAAATACTGGGACATTCAAGGTCTGACTACTGCGGCTGTAATTCCCTATTTGTTGTCAGATAGGGTGAAATCGTGATAATCTATTTATTGAAATCAAACAATATTGGGAATAAAAGTTATGATTTTTGTAAGACATTTGAATGAAATAAACATCAGATCTAATTATATCCCTGCCCGAAAGCAACAGTTTAGTATCTATTAAACGCAAATTCAAAATAGCGCTTAAAACACGAAATACTAAACACCAAATATTCGACTAATCGACTTATTCGATAATTAGGGCGTAATGGAGGTGTACCGATAAATTTATAAATAACGATTGATAATATTGGTGGTGTCTGGACGATAGACGATTATATTGCGTTGTGTTTTTCTTCTGGAAAATAAAATTATAGTAGGAGAAATAGTGAATAAGTGCAACAAAAAAATAAGTGAAATACCTCATTTTATAGTTATTGTGTTCGCCTGTTAATAGCTACATAAACAACGGGCAAATGTAAGTTGAATCACTACAAAAAATTTAACGCCGAGAACGAATGTGTAGGTGTGCTACGCACACATACACACGCTGAGCGTAAAACAAGTTGCATTTCAATCACAAAGTGGCAAGAAATATTATAAATGACATTAAAATTGTGTTTTCTTTGAATCCGCTGACTCCAGCTTATCATCAAATTTGCAAAACAAAAACAAAACAGCAGACATCACACACCAACACGCATACTACATATTTCATATGTATGTGTGTAGAACGTAATACGCCTACGCTTTACGAAAAGTCCCATTTACTACAAACCGAGCACGTAAAAACAAACACGCAACATACACGCAAAATGAGCAACGTAAACGCGAAATGAGTAACGTTGCACATTTCAGGAGTTTGTTCATAAGTACCCAGTGGGAACTTGATCAAAGGGCCCCGAAGCGTAATATATAAACCCACCAAAGAATTTTCAGAATGGTATCGCGATTTGAAGATAAATATATCTTTTAATTAAAACAATTTAGATATTGATTGCCGTTAGAGCCTCGTTTTACTTACTTCAATTTAAATGTTTAACAAAAGCAATAGTATGAATTCTTATTAGAAGACGACTCCCATATAGTTTTTGGAGCATATCTCAGTGAGAGATTCTATTTTGTCTGTTTTCATACAATTAACCACATCATTTGATATTAAACAATTGATAAGCAAAATCTTTGGGGCTAATGTGTAAGTAAATACATATATTACAATTTCTTTTAATCCATGTTTTGAAAGAAATTAGCAGTTTTCTTACCTACAACGGGAGATTTATTAAACCGAGAATTCATTTTTATTGCAGCACCACGGATTTCAACTGGGTAACTCTTGCGCCAAACTGAATATAAACGGGAATAGCGGGCCGGAGCCGCGCCACCACCCACACAGACAACAGCAGACCTTTGGCCACATGGGTGGAAACAGCGCAGCTGCCAATTCGAACGCTTTCAGCGCCGGCGGCTACATTGGACCGACCACAAGTCTGGGTGCCGCCGGTGGTAGCGATTTGATACCAGCGCCAATGGGCACTGGCAATGCATTGGGCAGCACAACCTTTACATACGGCGGGACTAGCTGGGAGGAATTCTGCGATCGTCATGCGCGAGTGGCCGCTAGCGACTTTGCCAAAGCGTGTATTAACTACATTAATGGCAATCTGCCACCGGAGGTGGCTCGTAGCATACCACATCGCAGCTTTGCTGTAAAGTTTGTCGAATACTTCTCAGAGCACTACGATACAGAGTTCTTTCGACGACGCAGTAATCTGAAGACAGACATTGGATCCCTGTTTTGTGAAGGCGGCGGTGATGGCGGTGGCGGTTTCGATACGGAGGAGCACGAGGTGTCCAGACTATTTCCCAAGTCGCTGCTACGGCGCCTCTCCTTCAAGGGACTGCGCAAGGGCAAGGTGAGCGTACTCCGAGTGGACGATGCTCGGTGGGGTGATAAATCAATGTTTAATTTTAGAAGCTCTTCTTTTTGCAGGCGTTCTTTCACAAGAACTCGGACGATGTGGACGGCGTGGGTAGCAGCAAGCAGAGCAGCAAAACGAAGTTGGCTAAAATAGTGGTCGAGTGCCGCAAGGAGGGCATTGTCAACAATTTGACTGCCGAGAGCTTGGACCAGACGACGGGCACACAAAAGTGGGAGAAATGCCGCCTGGCGCTGGTCAAGGCTGTGGGCGGTTACATGCTTGAATTTTATACGCCACCTAAGGCACCAAAGCCACACAGCGGCGTCTTCTGCTTCCTCATTTCGGAGGCACGCGAAACAACCACCCTGGAGATGCCCGATCGCCTGAACACGTTTGTGCTCAAGGCCGACAACAACATGGAGTACGTTATTGAGGCAGCGAGTGCTGACGAAATGCGCAGTTGGCTGGCCACAATACGTTATTGCATGCGAACACCGCCAACACAGCAACCGATGCTCAATTCTGATGTCATTGCGGTGGCCATGCAAACCTCACCGGTGACTACCAATCCGAATCCAACAACAGGCGGTCCCAGTGGTGCATTGGGAGGTATACAAAATCCTCAATATCAGCAGCAAGGTGGTCTTGTCTTGGGCGGTTCCAATGGAAATTTGGTTAACTCACAGTCAGCGGATAGCGCATTGGCCGCCATCTCGTCGAGTAATAGTAACGCGAATGCACCTGCCGGCAATGATGTGAATGCCATTTCTCAGGCTAGCATCGAGCTGAGTAGCACGCCACCCGAAATACCATCACGTCCATCGCGAGGCGAGCGGGGAGAACAGCGTTTGTCAGCCTCCAGTAATTTCGATGGCACCGAGCTGGTTGAAACAGAATCCGACGTGAATGTAGCCGATCTGACAGCGGAGATGCGTCAGTTTCCCTGGTTCCATGGCACGTTACCGCGCGCTGAAGCCGCTCGCATGGTCCTGCAATCGGAGGCAGCGGGCCATGGTTACTTTTTGGTCCGCCAAAGCGAAACACGACGTGGCGAGTTTGTGTTAACATTCAATTTTCAAGGACGTGCCAAGCATCTGCGGCTGACAATCTCCGAAAAGGGCCAGTGCCGAGTGCAACATCTTTGGTTCCCCACCATACAAGAGATGCTTGAACATTTTCGACACAATCCCATACCGCTCGAGTCGGGCGGCACATCCGATGTGACGCTCACGGATTGGGTGCATCACACTAGTAGACTGAACGATGGAGCCCCCATAACAACAATTGCCGCCGCAGCGCATGAGCCGGGCGCCGATGCGTCCGCTGGAGCGAGCAACGCTGCCGGCAGCTCTGGCCATGCGAATGGCAATGGCAATGGACATCCATCGCCGAGACATGTGAGATAGCCAAAATTTTGGAGTCAATTCAGTGTCAGTGATGGTTTTTATTTTCCTTTATTTGATTTTGCAACTTTCTCATTTCATAATCAAGAATCCAGGCAACTACCTCAGCGTAGTATTCCAGTTTAGACTTCAAACTTATTATTAAAAATTAAATGTCGATTTAATATTCAAAACTGCCCATTGAATGTGTAAAAATATACAACAATTGTCCGAAAACATCTATACATTTCCGACACTATGTAAAATGTCTTCTTTTTCATCCAGTTGTCCGTCTACATAATATCATTAATTAGTGAGACTAAACAAATAGAAAAAACAAATTAAAAAAAAAAGGAAGATATTTAACTGTTTTAAGTAGTCAAGCATAGTAATAATGAAATTAGGTAATGAAATGTTACTGATCTCAAAAGTTTTAGTTTATGTTAATTTGAAAATTATTTGTTTAGTAGTTCTTTTTGGGAAATACAAATCTTTTCTTTCATGTTCATTGTGTTTAGTTTGAATGCGTTACCAATTGTCGCATGCTTTATGTTTAACCTGTTCACCCAAAAAGTAAACAATTGAATTTTGCAACGAAACCTAATTGGGATCTGCTTTTAACCATTTACAGCGCAACGAAGTGATTACCATGAATCTAAGTGTTCGCCTAAAGACAAACGAAATCGAACTGCCACAAGAGCCAACACACGTCTATTTTCCGGAGCAAGTCTACTTTCATTTGGATCCCACAACGCTGACCGTGCACAATTCGCCACCGGCAGGTCAAGGTTTTCTAGATCAGCCGCACCTGCGTGCATCGAACGCTTCACTGCAGGCAACCCATCCGGGCGTGGGGACGACACGCCATGCCGCTGACACCGGATCCAATAGTGGTGCACCCGGCAGCGGTGGAGCAACTGGAGCTGAGTGCAGCGGACGCGCCATTGATAATCAGTATAGCTTCACTTAGGCAAATGTCGCCAGTGGATTGATTTTGAACTTCTTTCGCGGAATTTTTTTTTTTTGTGCCATTGCATAGCAGCAGCAGCGAAAATTATTTGTATTTGTTTTTATCCTTTTCTGTATCTTCACTTGTGTTTGCTAAAAGATGTGTAAGTCGTATATTTCTTGTTTCTATTAGTTTTAGAGCCTTTTTGGAAGACATAAAGTAACTGAATATTATTACGATTATGATTGTATACATTAAATAGCTAAATATGTGTGTTCATTTTAAGTAAATATGTAAGTGTTGTATGTATAACAAAAACAAAACAAAAATTGTAAATTTGGTGGCACCAAAGGTGCAACATTTGCGAATCCTAAAACTTCCTGCTTTACAAAAAAAAAATACATACATATATACATAATATATATAGAAAAATATATATATATATATCTATATACATATACTACACTTATAAATATAAAATCATATATATATTTAAATTATATCAAAACTGATAAACTACAATAAATGAAGTTATATGAATGCAAATGGTTTAAGCTCTCCAGCCAATATTTAACAGAATACCTGCAAATAACATTTTCTGTTATCGCTTGGGTCAGCCATGTGACCTGAAATGTTAACATTCCACTAAATTGACTTTAAGCAGGGAGCGTTACTTTCCAGTGAAAGAAAGTAACTATCTCTAAATGTAAAACTTTTTGTGCTGAATGATCAGTTATAAACTCATTTACAAAAAATTTCGCTAAATCCATATGAGGACCTTTATTTCAGTTCGTGCTTCATAAATCGATGAACGTCAAACGAATTTTGATACGCTTATGATGGGTTAAAGATAGTACGAGTTGATTCGAATATTACACGGCTGGGAAATGGAAGGATAAATGCTACAGTCTAAAATTAGAAGCAAGAAACTTGCACAGGGCAAGGCCGTTTAGAGAGCGTTTACTGTATTTTCTTTACATTAAATTCGACTTAGCATTTAACACGATAACGGGAGTACATTTCAAATTTAGACTTGTTTAAATTCAAATATCTCCCAAACATATGCATATGTACAAATGTTGGACATGCTACGGTTGAGCTTTGTTAATATTTAATTGCGTTCTGCGTAGCAGGTAAATAACCCGTTTGAGTACATATGAGTATATTTAAATTTATGTAAATGTATTGCGCTTGTTATTGTGTATGTATCGCATCTGTAACTGTATCGGCTGTATCTAGTATAACTGTGTTTCTTCCACTATTCAGTAATGCTGGCAGAACCAAGCTAGCACTTGTGAATGCGTAGATGGTTTTGTAGGGTACTCTTTTGCCGGAATTGCTTGGGGCAGTAGGAACAGTTGTAGGGTTTCTCCCCGGTGTGGATCTTCATATGGTTGTTGAGCGTGGCCACCTGCCGGAAACTAGCATCACAGATCTTACACTTGTACGGCTTCTCGCCCGTATGCGTTTTAATGTGGTTAATCAGGGTGCTCTGCTGTGAGAAGAAGCGCCGACAGACGCTGCAGCCAAACGGTCGATCCGGATTATCGCTCCTTAACATATTAATGTTGCCCACACTTATCCGAGGACTTTGCTCGGCCTGGCTGGGTTCGGGTTTTGGGTGAGCCGCCGCTGTTCCCGCTGATGCCGCAGACGCCGCCGCCGCCGCCGCATTGCTGGCTACCAAAGAGCTTACTGTTGTGCTGCCTTCAAGGAAATGCAGCAGCGGATGGTGATCCAGCTGGAGGAAGTTGGGTGTTGTGTTGTGCAGGTTGTTGGGCAACAGACCGTTTGTCAGCTGCTGTGCACCGTGTCCGAGATGTGCTGGCATGGCCGAGTGCTCAAATCTTGCTGGCTGGCTGGCGAGATTCGTGTGCGTCCTTATGTGGCTGATGAGCGAGCCCTGCTGCCTGAACTGCATATGGCAGTAGGAGCACGTATACGGCTTGTCGCCGGTATGAATTTTTTTGTAATTGGCCAGCGTCGTAAGCTGGCTTTAATTCTTATCACATAAATATATATAAAAATATATTTATTTAACACCCTAGTTTCTCAAGTCGAAGTTAGCCGAGCAGCTGCAATAATCGAATGATATCGATTAGCCACCACATGCATAAGTGGAGGTTGTGGATAAAATTTGGTTATCAAGAAATCAGTGGCAACATACATCTGCATTGGTTATTTTAGACAACTAGAAAATGCGGCTCTGTACTATTAATGATTTATTATTTGCGATTTCGCAACATGATAATTCAAAGTAAATTTTAAAGTAGCGCTGCCAACCATCCAGTATATCGATATGAAATGCATTTGGAGCGGATGATATGGATCGAGTTATTTTGTGAGTAATGTTGGCAACCAGTGCCATACTTGATTCACAAAAATAACCGATTCGGTTATCGCACAACAAGTTTGGCGCTTTTGTTTAAATTTGATTGAAAGCTAATTTACAATTGGAAATGGTCAATGTAAGCAAAACCAGAATTTTAACCCAATCCGCTACTTTTAAAATAGCAATTTAACTTTAATTCTCTTAACATAAATAACAATTGCACTCATGCACGTACTTATTGACAAAATCCCATTGAACGTGAAGTGTAATTAAATACACACATTCTTGATCTTAGTGCCAATAGTTGTTTATTCGCACAATGGTAATTATTATATTATTACACAATAGCCTATTCTGAATTCAAATAAAATTGATGTTTTGTTCATGCATTCCACTTCCGCCTTACAAAGTGTGAGGTTTGCAACTGTTGATGTTCAGTTTCCGCATTAAAATCTTAAATGCATTTGAGTTTCTTTATTAGCGTTTGTATCTTGTTCCCTACATAAATATAAAACCTTGTAATTTTATGAACCTTATCATTTTATGACACTACCTTTATCCCAGCGCTATTAACTGACAGGCGTGATTCAATCAATAGCTGTTGTTTCTCCATATCATCACCGCATTATGAAAACAAACAAAGCCCCGGCGAGGCCACCAAAAAACGAAAACAACATCGACGGTGCCACCTTACAACCGGTGCCTGTTCTGCGAGACAAATGGCACGTAGCAACAGTTGGGACGCTGAACTAAAATCCAAATTTGTTTTTTATGCTGTTGTTTACCAGATTATTCTGGGAATATTTCGTTGTACGGTTACCTGAATATGGTCAGCGGGCAACAGTTTTTAATTTGAATAATCAATCTGTTGAAAAATACCCTACAAGTATTTGAAATGCTCAAGACAATTGACTGCTGCAGGCGGAGGCGGAGGCGGAGGCGGATGCAGTGGGTGTCTAAAAATAACTTCAATTATGCTATTTATTGTTGCAGCTGGCGCAAAAACCGGCAAAGCCGACAAACAACAATTCACCCCCAGATTGTGTGAACGAAAATGTGCAGATGTAAATATGAATGCAAGGCTTAGCTCGTCAAACCAGTTGCTTGCAAACTGTTGATCGATTTCTAACTGTTTTTACATGAAAATTTCAAAAATGTAGGAGTACACAAACACAGCGTAATCGCAACAACTTTGTACATTTTTGGGCTTATCGGTGTTGTATTTTTTATTTATTTATTTTTTGCTGTAGCTGCCCATTTTAGGCGTTTGCTTATCAAGCAATTTCGAAATGGCTTTATATGTACATACATATGTATATGCTTACAGTGCTTTTCATTCGTATAGCGGTTTTTTGTTGTCCATTTTTAATGCCCAAATTATTCAGCGGCACGTGAATATCATCAAAATACGCTTATCATTTGATCAGCAGCGTCGTGGGGAGGGGGCGTGAAAATTAGCAAACAAACGTAATGTGTGAAACTTTTTATATTAAATTTCGATTGAAAAAAAAGTAAAGGTATTAAAATTTAAAAATTTATTTTCAATCATGATCTGTACAAGGATTGAAGATCTGTGAAATAAGTGCCTGAGTGCACGAGCCACCCATGCCCCTGGATGAATTAATAACAATTGAATTTGATTTAGGTGGGTGCAAAATTGAGAGTCAGCCCACCAATCAGATATGCATAAAACTTTCCAGGCCGCCGGATGCGAGCTTCTCAACTGACGTCGCGTTGGCGCGTGCAACCTTAGTGGGGAGGGGTACCAAAGAGGAGCGCAGTGGTTGCTGTGCGAAACCAATTACCATATACGCAAGCACGCATGAGTGTGTATACATTTATGTATGCAATACATACATACATACATATGCATAAGTATACACTGTTGAGTAAGGTTGGCGTCTGGCCGTTTTACACAGCCAAAGTCGAAGTCTACGACAAAGCTAATGGCAGAAATCACTTCGCTTGGCAACAGCGAAACAAAGACAAAAAATATTTGTGCATGCATATGTATGGCTAACAGGTGATATGTGCATTACCAATGACCTGTTGGGCGCGACGGTCACACCGAAAGTTTCTCAACCCACTACCAGCAGCTGGGCAAACTTGCCTGAGCACCCCCGCGCATTTAAAGGCGCCACTGAGTAGTGCACACACATGTGCACTAACATGTGTATAAATGTATATGTATGAGTTTAAGGCACTCGAAATTAATAGCAATTTAGCAAAACAGCAGATAAGGTGTAGCAAAACAAAAAAGGCAATAGTATTACTAATACTTACATACAAGCACAACTGCTTATATATACTGCATATATTGTATGTGTACGTTTAAAAATAAAACTATTTAACCTTAGGTATGTCGTTGCCACAGTGACGTTAATTCTACATGGAGATAAAAAAACAACATTTTGCAATGCACTCTCGAGCACTTGTCGAGAAAAAAGCAATACAGAACAGATGCCGAAAAGAAAATACCCTTTCTGCTGACACTTCACCTGCGGTATATTTCTATATATATATGTTTATATTTTCATACAAATACTCAACTTCCTTGAAATCAAAAATGTTTTAGCCCTATGTTTTGAGTTTTCCGAGTTAAATACCAAGTCAAGATTTTTTGCTCCGACTCGGACAACATTCACATTATGTACTGTCCGCACCATAAATGTCAATCTATGTAAAGTTTTATTAAATAGAAATAGATCAATAAAGTTGTATCCATTCAACTACTCTTCCTGATCAATACATACATACTTTTAATTTGTGAGATCGGAGATGGATCTTTCAACGCATCACATTTCGTGACAAATTTATAATGCCCATTACAAGGGTATAAAAAGATTGATGCGGAGGCACTGGGGCGGGCTGTGGGAATTGTAATCGCGCCTTTTTACTAATTTTGTTGTTATTGCTCAATGCTGGCAGCTAAGTGCAGCCGGACTTGACCGGTAGCAGCTGCAACCACAACAACTCTGACGTTTATTATACAATATTTAATTGCAACAAACTACACTTAGGAAAAGAGCCGAGCAAAAGCAATAAAAATCGCCTGAAACAAGCGCCAATCAGTTAAGCCTTTTGCATTATCTTATCGAGAGAAAAGTTCAAAAATAAACTCATATATACTAAGAAGTTAGTTATAAAAATACACACGTGATGAATCAGATGAAAACTTGGATAAAGTTAAGCATACGATCTTTGTGCATCTATGGTTATGATAGTTTGTCGGCTGGATCAATGCCAAGTTTCAAGGTGATTTGTAGGGCAGCTTCTATAAGCCATTATTACTATTTACATATTTGATATTTATATTTGTACACACATATAATCAAGATCAGTCAGCGTTGATAATCTGCTTTTGTGTCAGTCTCGTGATCAGTGACACTCTTGGGAAGGCATTTATAAATAAATAAACCATTTGTGTTCTGATTAACAATTTCGTTTAATTTTACATATTTTCCTTTATTCATTTTGCTTGATGTATACCAATGAATATGTATATACTATATGTTTAAATTTGATTAGGATGTATAACCTTGCAGTTTCTGGAACCAATAAATAACAAAGCGCGACATTACAAATAGTTAGAATAGAATGCATTCATTGTATATTTTACAATTGTTTTTGCAGCTGCTTTTATTCTCTCTCCCATGCTATTTACAAATTATCAAACAAATATGTACGATATCTTGTTAAACTAATTTTTAAGTCTTTCGTTTGACACATTCATACACATTTAGTTAAGCTAATAGTTTTTTTCTTTCAATCTTAAATAGTTGATAAACAAAAGGCAACTCACACTGGGACTTAAAACTAAATTTGATGAAATTTACAATCGCTTTCAATATTTAAGTGAGGCATTTACAGAAACGTTAGCTTAAAAACATAATGTATGCATGAATATAATTTGATACTTGTATATATGTACATATATGTAGTTCCAATCGTATTTGAAGGCACATGAACAAAGAGGAAAATAAACAACCAAGCGATGAGTACGCTCCAATCTAATGACATATATGTGGGTGTGGGTATTCGTATTTAAATCGTTGCACTGAAAACGTGAAACGGGATGAGCTTCCTACTCGATAGCTATATAAAACTAGAGCCCATATAATTAGCCTATATCTAAACATTTGTTTCCTGCTATATGTATGCAATGAGACATGAATTTGATAATATCATAATAACTTAAAGCCAGTTTAAACATTTTGAAGACAGCACAATTAACGACAAGCCGAAGAAAATCCAAATTTAGAGCCTAACACTGATGCATGAATTAGTATGAACTATTATTAAAAAGACCCTCGTTCGCGATCGCTGTTCAATTGCTCATCTGGAGGCCGCCACTACTGCGACTGCCCGTGGATGAGGAGCCGCTCAGTCCAAACTGTGAGACGAGTTTATCGTAATCTTCCAGCGATGTCTCAAATTGTTCCAGCTGGCGCGACAAATCATCCATGCTCCCATCGACTGTGACTGCGGCTGTGCTGGCCAAAGCAGATGCCGCGGCAGTCGCGGATGCTGCTGCTGTGGCGCCACAGCTGGTTAAGTTGGGGACTTGCAACTCGCTGAGGCCGCGCAGTGGCGGCGCATGGTAACATTCCCGATAGAATTTGGCCAGATCGTTGACATGGGATGTGGGCGAGGCGAAGGGAAAATGCAACTCCTTGAGCAGACTATCATCATCTGGAGGGGGCTGCTGTGCTGGCGCCTGTTGTTCCTGCAACGTGGGTGCAGAATTGTGACGCAAAGTGGAGCTGCTGGCGGGTATTAGGAGACTCTTGATTGGTGATGTGGCACAGGGGACTGCAACAGTTGGCTTCTCAAAGCTTTTAAACGCTGTCGAGTTGTTGTTGTTATTGTGGTTGTGGTTAATGTTGTTGTTGCTTCCATTAACGTTGTTGTTGATGTTGTTGTTGTTGTTATTATTATTGTTGTTGACTGGCGATTCACATTTTCGATTCAGCGACTCAATTGAGCCGCTGCCGTTGCTCTCATGCCGCGTACGCCGCAGCATCCACTCAAACGGCGGCGTCTCTGGCAGCACAAAATCATGCTCCGTAAACTGGCGCAGCTTGCCTAGGTCCGTAAACGCACCCGGGCGCAATGGCTTCTCGATATCTATGAAACGCTTATCGGTCGCTGCTCCAGTGCCCGCGCCACCCACGCCCGCTCCAAACTTAACCGTTGCCAACTGCTGCGTGGGTGAACTGGCATCGCTGGCGGGCCGAAAGTGATCTGACTTCAGCATAATAGTGTTTTGCTGCTCTCCTTGATGGGCTGCCGCCGCCACCTGATGACCAGCCGTAGGTGAAATGGTCAGCTTGGTGCGATAGGCAACCGACATGGTTAGAGAGCCCAAAATTGTATTGAGCTGCCCAATCTTGACCTGTTTGTGCCCCTCGCCCAGTGTATGCACCTTCGGTCGATCCACATAGATGAGATAAAAGATGCTATATGAGTCCGGGCACTGACGCCGTGACAATTTATAGGCAGGCGTTGTGCGGGTGAGCGAAATGAGGGACTTTAGCATAATGCTCATCCGATTATAGATAGCATGGGGGGCCTTTAGTGTTTGGCTGTCATTGCAGATGTTTGTGTTGCAGCCTTCGCCCTTGCAATCCTCACCAGCTGCAGCTTTATTGTTTTCAACTGGAAGCAGATCCAACGACCACACCTCAAGTATCATTTTGTCGCCTTCGCTTGTCTTTAGCGAGATCTCAATGCACAGAGGCAGGCGTTGCAATATGCTATCACCTGGCTTCAGCGCCAGGGCACGTTTCGTCTCGTCCAGCACATCAGGATGATCCTGTACGACAATGTTGAACCAATCGTTGCCACCCAGTGGATTGCATTGAGTTTGTATCTTCTCGCCAAGGCGCGACTGCACCACAACTTGTGCTGATTTGAGCGCCAGGAATTTTATGTATTTTTCCAATTCTTTGTCGACCGCGTTTAAACGTTGTGCAGACATTTTCTGATTTTTTTTTTTTCAATTTATAAATTCACTTTTGTGTACTCGCAACAGCGTACAAAGTTCGTTTTTACGTTGCTTTTCCTATTTTACACTGCTTCCGCGTATTGTCTGTCTATGCCCATTCGCAGTATTTTGCGGAATTTTTTTCCTTTTTTGTTTGTTGTTTGTTCACTTTATCTCATTCCACTGTGATTCGCGATTACCACTAGCTTGTGCATTTTATAAAACACTGCAACTTATTATTTGCCTGAATTTTTCGTCTATTGTCATTTTTTTAAAACAGTTGTTCTACTAAATTCTTTGATTTTAAAGCAAAACAAAGATCACTCCCACTTTTTTCATTACCGTCCGCCATTGAACTAAAACGAATGCGACGTCGTGCTGATGTTGCCGTACTCCATGCGTTGCGTGGGCAACAGGCAGAGTTGCCAGACAGTCGTCAAAGAACAGACAAGATAATCCAAAGATACGATTCGAAACTGTGATTTAAAAAATGTATCTACTGTTGCTAAAAAATATCAGGAGAATTTATCGAAGGCTTAAATAAACACATCTAATTGTAACATATTTCGGCAGCCAATTTCAAAGTTATACCACTAAATATGCCGAAATATAAAACAATCAAAAATTTAAATAAGAATTACATATATTCAAATTGATAGAACGTATTAAAATTTTAAACAAACGCATTGTGTTATCACTAAATTTATTTTCTTTGGATGAAGGGACAACGATTTTAGATGAACTTAACATTTTTTATTGATGCGTACGAATTTCTATGGACTAAGAGTCTATTAGTGAAATCTTTGGCTTTTATACTCCAAACTATTTGTCTCAATTTTGCATAGTGAGATGAGAAATAATGCGCGTTAAAAGTGATTATATTTTCTTCTATACCGTGATTAGCGTACTAGCCTTAAATTTGGTTTCCTATTTGTGAAAAGTACGGCAACACCATGCAATGAATGCGACACGTCACGTAGGCACAGGGGGCGGGTTGGGTGCCTGTATTTAAAATGCCAGCTCAGGATTTTCCTATAAAGTAATTATCCTCATATCCATATTGTTGTACTACAATATTCAATTTAAAATAAATTTGGGCCAATATTGCTTCTCCAAGTGATCAATTACGCTGTTGATTAAACGTTTTATGTTTCCTCGGTATGTTAAAATACTTTCGGTCCGATTCCGAAAGCGTTTGTTTTGGAAGATATTGCAGAACCGTAGCCGGCACAGAGCCCAGCATCTGCAGTCGCTCTTCCTGAATGCGCTCTTGCCGCTCGGCTTCTGCCTTGGCTTTTGAATCAAAGAACTGCATATTTTCAGCAGCTGCCTCAGCACGTTTGCGATTATTGTCCTCAATCATAGACAGCAGTAGGACACCATGCTCCTTCCGCCGTTGACGTTCCTGGAAGTCCCTTTCGTTAATGCCTTCGGGTCCCTCATCGGGGCACATAAGGTTTCTTTCAACTATTTGTTCGTGCTTTTTGCGTGCTTTTTTGATGTTGCGCTCAAGTACTTGGGCGCGATAAAGTTCTAGCTCCTGCCGTGCAAGCTGCCGCTTGAATTCCTCCTGCTTGAGCTGCTGCCGGTAGAGTTCATCGTCTTTCGCTTTGTACTCTGCCTGCAGCAGTTCGATCAACAGATTGTTGTGTTGGCGTTTGCGATCCTGCGGTTATAAGGAAACAAATCTTTTATCTTTCAGTGCATTCCTCTAGATTCCAGAACACTTACCTCAATTTCAAACACCTGATGACCAATTCGCGTACTAATCTCTGCTTGCTTACGTTGAGCTTCCTTTTTTGCCTCCTCCATTTGGCGCTCACGCTCAGCTATCTGCGATTGTTTCTCAAGTACTTTTATGATATCCTCGTCAGACTTAGCCCTTTGCATTTCTTTGTATTCCCTTTGCTCCTTAATAAATGTAATCATTTCGTCGCGCTTTTTGTGTTTTAAGCGGTTTAGCTCCAGTTGCTCTGCTCTGTCTTCATCCTCAATTTGCTGCTGCATGGCCATGCGCACCTCCCGCTCTGTCAGCGTCTCTACATATTGAAGCTGGCGCCGTTGCCGCCTCTCTTCAATTTGTGTTGACAACGTCTTGCGGAGCTCTTCTTGCTGTTCCTTCTTGTGCAACTCCTCCTGTTCTTGCTCCGCCAAGTGCTGCTGTCTTTCAGCCTCGGCACGCTGCAAACCCACCGCTTTGGCGTTTTTGGCCAGTTCTCGGTTTCTTTTGATTTCCATCATATTCTCTTCGAGCTCCTTTGTAATTGATGCCAATCGGAGCTGCTCAGCCAATTCCCGAAGTTCCTCGCAATCGTTGCGCAGTTGTTGGCGCCGCTTGCGATCTATGAACTCCTGATTCTTTAGTTGCTTAAGCTCATCAGACATTAGAGCCTCCGTGTTGGAGGCCTGTCTACGAAGACGATTTTCCATTAGCTGCTGTTTACTTTTACGATCGGTTTCGTTTATTGTATCACAAAAATATTTGGCGTTCTTGAAAACAAGAGTATCGTCAACCGATACGAAATACTTGGGCCTCCCTGTGATATGAATCGCGGGGGATGCGTCCCTAGCATACATGTATGTCCCTGTTAGCGTTGTCATGGTAGCGAATCGACGTAAAAACAAACTATATAAAATGTGTTAAGTAAAATGATGTAGCAATATATAAAATATAGAAACAAATGATGCTTTAAAAGTAATAAACACATTTACTGTAGTAACGACATTTATCATGTTTATATCGATATTTCAGTATCGATAGATTTTATCAAAAAAGGATTGATCAAGGAAAATAGGTACAGTGGGCACCGTTGATAACGACTGTTCCCTTCTTAAGCATTAATTAATATCTGCAATCTAAAATGTTTTTTAAAAAAAAAAAAACAGAGTTTGGCAGTAAAAATATTATAAAGATATTTAATATATATTTTCAGAGTCAACATGTATATGCAAATTTCAGCCGTTTTACTTTGAATAAGCAATAGGGAAGTACTTCTTATCCTGCTCTACAATATTCTCTAGTACATCATCAATATCAGTAGTGGGATAACGATCTACCCAAGACTGTATGTAGCCCTCATGAGTAGCATCATAGGTCTTCAATTCGACTTTGTTACCATTGATAAATGTGTTAGCCTGCACCAGAATAATGCGCGGCTTTTTGTGCGCCAGACATATATCACGCCACTTAGCCCAAGGATGCGATCCACCTTCGTTCACGTTCGAGTAGTGTTCGTACATTTTCGAAGCGGCTTCGATGTCGGCTGTGGATTTATACACCTGCAGCTTAGTCAAGAATTCGCCCAGCGCTTTCTTGCCAACGGTATGGATTTTACTACGGTCCAATGTGAGCAAAAGATTTTTGCCATCCTCGGTCTCTTTAACGGTAACAAATCCTTCGCCTGCTTCGAGCAATACTTTCATGATAACGAAACGTGCACGCGAATGAGCTTGCAGCCACAGTTTGGATTTCGGATTGTACATTTCCAGGGCAACACCCATGCCGTTCCAAATAAGGCTAAGCCAATTGATGTAAATGATATCGTCCTGCTCTGCAGCGTCCTTAAAACCAAATATTTTCAGTATATCCCGCTGCAGAGATAAATAAAGGCCCACTGCTTCAGCGCGGCACTCTTCGTAGGATGAACCAATGGCGCCGAATTTTGTATCGTACGTCTCGCCAGGCTTATACCAACTTTTAATAGGTTCGCCAGTTATGAGGTTCTTTACTGTCTCCACGTCAAAGTTGTAGGTACCATTTTCATCGATGCGGAACAATTTGCCACTGCCATGTCCCAACAGCTCATGCAAACCAACTTGCACCTCAAAAGCCTTCACCTTATATTCCTTCATAAGTGTTTGATCCTCATCGGATAGAAAAGGTATGGGGTCCTTCCGATTTATATTGGCCAGCACGTTGCCCAGCGACACGTTTTTAAAGCCCTCATCCTGACGAATTTCGTCATCTGATAGACATAATACATTATATATTGACTCCTATCTATATAGTATTACTTACAATTGGGTATATTAATGCCAGCAGGAACGCCGCTTCCAGCAAAAGTCAGCACATCCAGCGATGTAAAATCTGGCTTTAAATATGAGTCCTTCTCATAGGGCTCAGTCCATGGCAAATACTCCACAAGTTTCTCGGCACGATTGACCAGTTCGGAAAATTTAGCCGAACTTTCCTTGTTGACCATGGCCACAAAGCCCTCGAATTCGGCACGTCCGCCAGCCGGATCGCGGTATGTTTCAATGAAACCAATGTAGGTTTCAATAACGGGTCCCTTGTCCTTGATCCACCATCTGGAGCCATCCTTATGCTCGGCCAAAGAGCCTTCCTCAAAGGATTTGACATAATGCTCAATCATTTTTGCCTCATTATCATTGGCAGCATATTTTTTTGCTTGAAGCAAATTCTCGTTAACACGTTTCAGCAACGGTTGATAGTCGCCACGTGTAACGCGAAAATGATTGCCTTCGTACTCCTCCAGAGCCAAGGTTATGCCCTCCTTGCTAGATTGCTCCACGGAACCGAGCTTGATGTCGTAAAATGTTTTTCCGTTTTCGGTCACTTTAAATGTGCGACACATGTATGGCTCAATACGCTTCGTTGTCAGCCAGGCATTGACTATTTCCGAATCCTCCTTAGTGCAGTTGTCCGACCAATATGTAGTTACACCATTTGGTGCAAAGCCAAGAACTTCATTACGTGCTTCCAGAGCATAAATCAGATCTTTGACCTTCTCATAAATCTTAGACACACGCGGCTCAGCTGCATAGGCAGCCGAAGAGCGCACAATCGCCTCAAATTTGTCCTCCGACAAGTTGGGCACGATTTTGCTATCACCCATGCCCTTATAGTTGCCGGAATTGGCGAACACGCCACATGCGTAAACTAGGAATGCCTACAAATGTACAAAAGGTAATATTATTTTAAAGGTCAATACACATTTTATAAGAAATAAGTTTAATAAAGGAAGGCTGGTGATATTTTGACAAAAAAAAAGCTCCAAAGAAACCAGATTTTGCTTCTTGGAAAACCAATTGTTAAAAAAGTTGTGGGACCATTTATGGCTCATTTAGCTTGTACTTGATAAAATCTTAAAATAGTTGTCTTTTCTGGGACTCACAGTAAAATCATCTTCAGTAGCGCCCGCTTTCAAGGCTTTGACTTTCAGCTCGGCGGGTTTTTCGGCAACAAAAATGCGATGCAACAGCGAAAATATAAGGGGCGCCTCCGGGCTGGATTGGATGAGGGAAACGAGACCACCATCCCACGATGCCTTGCTAAAATAGTGAGCGTACAGCTTTTCCTTGTCGGTTAAATTTTCAAATGCGTTTTTGCAATCCAAATCGGCAATGGGCTGCGTATTTGGCAACACGAAATGCGAAGTTTTGCTGGCCATTACGCTTGGTTGGGGCAAATTAACACGTGTGCTGCAACAAACAGAGAAATCAGACATTAGTTAAGATAAGTGCTGAACGCATAACCATGGAATACCTGTAATTGACGGCTGTAAATGCAGATGTTGTTCTTAGCTGACCGAAATTCAGAAGTCGCGTTGCCTGCTTTTGGAAATGTTGCGCTACAGTGTAACTGCTGGCCGTTCGAAAACGTAATCGGCAAAGCTGGCCCAGTTGACGGCACCTACGAATTTTCTGAACTAGCAACATGACTGACAATTTTGACTGACGATTTTGAAATATTATATACAACGTACTATCAAATAATCAACCGAATTACTGCAGCACAACTGTAAAATGTAAAATGCTTTAATTTCGAAATTATTTCAAATACTACCAAACATGAAATTGTGATTTTATGAATGTCGAACGCGTTGAAACTGTAAAGTACACACATACAAATGTTTGTATTGTATGAATATATGTAGGTGCCCTTTTAGAAGCTATGAAATCGTTTGATTCTTAAGCATATTACGCGGTGCGTGCATAGCGAAACAAAGAAAAAAAAAGCTACAAAATAATACCACAAAGCTATAATATGATGTGTTACGTACCTTACAAATAAGAAATGCAATTAATGAAATCAAAATGCCGACAAAGTGCAAGTTGTTACTAGAGATGAGCGATATTTGCAGCTTACCGATATTTCTGTAAGCTTTGGCATTTGAGAAATGTTATTTACAGGAGTATTATCAATAACATAAACTGTTAAATGTACTTAGCAGTAAACAATGAAAAACTATTGAAACAATGCAAACCAAAAATTGTTTTAGGTAGTGGAAAAGTATACCCACTTTTAAAATTTTTAATTTGATTGCTGCGAATTCACTTTAATATTAAATGTTAGAATTCTTGTGGAAAAGCTTTATTTAACCGTTTGCGGTCACACTGTCTGGCACTTTTCAAATATGTAGTTCAAATATTTTTAAAAAAATAATCCAAAAAATTCATTATCTTTATGTTGAGGTGTGGGCGTGATTATCAAATAACAATTGGCACGTATGCGACTACTATTCGGAAGCTGAAGCTGTTATCGAATCCACACGCAATTGTGTGGGGCTAACCACCCACTCAAACAGCTGTCTAAATCATATGTTTATTTTCTTATCACCTTCAGGTTGACCCTAGTTGGGCAGTAAAAGTTTTTTCGCAAACGGTAACGAAATGGAACTGGCTGGCTGGGTGAAAAACTATGAATGGGGTAAACGTGGCATTAATTCGGCTGTGGCCCAAATGGCAATGGCCAACGATCCAGACTTTGTCCTGAACGAGAATGAAACATATGCCGAAATGTGGATGGGCACCCATTTTTGTGGTGTTTCCATTGTCAAGGAGACTGGGGAAACTCTTGACCGTGTTCTTAAGAAGGATCTGCCATATCTGTTCAAGGTGCTGAGCATTAAAAAAGCACTCAGCATACAAGTGCATCCAAATAAATGCGAAGCAGAGCGTCTGCACAAGGAGAGACCACTTATTTATAAGGACGATAATCATAAGCCAGAGCTGAGCATAGCCCTAACACCGTTCCTAGCGCTAGTGGGATTCCAGCCAGTCGAAGATATAATCGACAATATTGATGAGTTCCAACCGTTATCCAAGCTCATCGGCAAAGACGCTGTCCATGCGCTTCACCAGAATCGAAACGCTGAGGGCGTAAAGGAATGCTACGAGATCTTAATGAAATCGGATGAAACTGTCGTTGCCAATTGCGTCAAGGAGATAGCCAAAAATTACAAAAAAGGCAAGGCGGCGTTATCCCTTTTGCATTGCAATTTAATCCATGTCATTTGTTTATGTAGAGCTCAAGCAGGATGGATTGCTGGAAATATTCAACACAGTGAATGGGGATTTTCCTGGTGACGTGGGTGTACTGTCTCTATTCTTTCTGAATCTGGTGCGTCTGCAACCTGGTCAGGCCATTTACTTGGGCGCCAACGAGATTCATGCATATTTGGATGGTGATTGTGTCGAATGCATGGCCTGTTCTGATAATGTTATTCGTGCCGGACTTACGCCCAAATACAAAGATGTGGAGCAGCTTATTGCCTCTGTAATATTTGAGGGCAAACCCGCGAGCTGCAAGCTCTTTATGCCGTATCGCATCGATGATACCGTACAGGTGTTCGTTCCACCTGTTGACGACTTCGCTGTGATGCATGTGGCCATAAAACACACTGTAGACACATACAAACTGCAGATACAGCCATATGGGTCCATAATGTTGACATTGGCAGGTGTCCGCACCTTGAAGCTAAACACCAAGCAGGGTCCCAAAGAAATTACCGTTACGCGCGGAAGCGTCGTCTACATTCCAGTTGAGGCAGCGCCCGAAATTGAATTCATGCATGCCGAAGACTGCGGAGATGATTTTACCGCTTACATCGCAACATATAATTATTTTAGGCGTGCCTAGAGTGTAAATTTGTAGAGCCCTTCAAAATTTGAAATAAATGAAACACGTTTCTTTCGTGACGAATTAATTTCAATTTTAATTATTGCAATTTATAACAGCTAAAATAGAAACTAAAGTGGCAATTTTAATCGTTTAAAGCGGGGTTAACGCGTGAGTTTATATATCTAATTAAATACCATATTATGTAATATACAATAAACATATCAATGATTAATATTTTGTGCATAGATAATTTCAGATAAATACAAACAACAAAATACGTTGCACCGACTTAACCTAATGCAAAAACTGGGCTTACAATCTGGTTGACGTATATATGTATATGTGTTTTATATAGAAAGGGGGGTACATAAACATACATAAAGTTAGTACGTTTCTTGTATAGTATTAACAAACTGGCGTACACAAAGAATGCACATAAATTGGCTACAATATGACACTACCCTTAAATATTTAATTGTTCTCAACCATCCGTTCGTTCCGTTGACTCCTTATAAATGCCTCACCACAGCTTGCACAAGTTGTAAATATTTTATCATATAGATTACATACAAAGTAGCTTAGTTTGAATCATAAAGGTCATAAAATGCCTCAAAAAGTTTGTACCAAAAACTTGAGTACATTTATACGAAATATCTCATTATAAAATTTTGGGATTTTTCTTTTGCTTGCGTGTAAAGGTTGTTAGTTGATAGACGATAGGTATAAGTGTAGATACATTATATAGATGGGTTATTCGTAATTATTAATTTCTCCCCATTTTTGTTTTAGTAAGTATATACGTATAATATAGTTTGATATCGCAGTAGCAACAAATAAATCAATTAATAATGCCGCTACTGCTAGTATATTTGTGCCCACAACATGTGTTCCCTGTTGTTGTAGTTGGTGGTGGCGTTTGTGAAAGTTAATGTGAGATAGTAAGTTGTTTCGAGTATATGGAGAGTGGGAGGAGCCTTTGATTAGGTTAATCATTTTCGTTTTGAGTGCCTTCAATTGTGCAGTTTAGCTCTTGAGCAGATTGTTTGCGCGCTTATTAACACCATCCATGCGAGTGTTATTCGCATCACCTTTGGCATTAATGCGATCAACTTGCTTGTTTTGATTCTCCAACTCGGATCCCATGTCCAAGGCCATGTTGCGCAAGTTTCCTAGCATTGAGTTTACTTGTCCCAAATTCTCATCCATTTCGTCCTCGCGCGCATCGTTGGTTATGCGAGCTACATACCCAGATTGTGGTGGTGCTCCCATGCCTCCACGCTCGCGCTCATCAATGACACGTTGCGGCTGACTGGCCACCACTTTTCCATCATCATTGGCCTTCCAAGCGCTATCACCGTCATCCTTTATGTTGACCTTCTTCCACGGCAGAACACAGACACCGCAGCATTTCTCCATGCCACTAAGATTCTTTTCTGCCTCTCGCATATCTGCATTGATGCGATCCATGCCCTCCTCAATGCGATCTAGCTGCTCGCCCTGATCGTCCAGGGCTACCAGAGTGCGTATGCCTGCTTCCTTAGATTCATCCATCAAACCAAGCATGCGACGAGTGCTTTCCAACGACTCGTCGGCCACTTGAGCGGATTTAAGCTGCAGTTCCTGCAACTCCGTGCGCGGCTCATTTTCCACGATTGCAGCCATTGCGTGATTATTGATATGCGGTGTTTATGGCGAACTGATGACTTAGCAAGTGGTTGCGAGTTTTTTTTGTAGCAGGTTTGGGAAATTTTCGCAAGTGACTCACAATCACTGCTGCTGACGCCACCACAAGGGGTTGACACAATCGTTTTTTTAAGCTCGTTTATTTGCAAAAGCAGGAACTTGAATTTAAGTTAAAAATTAAAATCGGAAGATTTATTTAATTTGTACAATATTTTGGCAAGTCTTTTTATGCAAATACAAGTACCAATTGTGTATATACAAGAATTATCGAAAATTGATACACTCACGATACCGATATACGATAAGTCAGGGCTGTTAAATCTTCAATCAGTGTGAGCAAATTTTATTCAAAGCAAGCCTCTAAAATTGAAAATTTCTACAAAATATAGCCAAACGATAAGAATTTCTTAAAAAGAACTAAACTTTTTAAATTGCAGTAAATAAAATATAGAAAAAACTCTTTACTGAGCACTGCGAAGCTGCAATATATTTATAACGCCGTTCGTAACTGGTTGGCGCGTTTAGTGTTGTATAATACATTTGAAATATTAACGAATAGTTGTTGGTACAGCCAAGGCCGAGCGTCAGTGATCTTCAGCGGAATTTTTTTCTTATTCAATATCAATTAAATTTAACGTTCGCATTTTGTGCTGCACACAAACGGATTAAGTGAAAATAACTTTTTAGCAGTGTAATTATGGACAATTCGCGCCGCTCGCTTGCACCCGGGGAGGACAGCATTAGCATGTATTTGTCCTTTGACGCCGAAGCCGACGACACGCTGGCCAGCAAATGGCAATCGGTGATGGCTACCCAAACAAGTCAATATTTGGAAATGCAAAGCATGGAACTGGACCTTAAGCATGATGACACCCTAGAGGAAAAGAAAAAAGATGTGAAAACCGTACTCCAGGCTCTAATTAAGAATGACATTTCGAAAGACCAAGCCTCACCCTTGCGCCCCTTCGACAAAAGTATTTTGAACAAGCACAACGCCCTGTGCTCGACACCAACAAAAAATATAACATTATCTGACGTGCGTCAGGATGTGACTGCTACAGACGCTGATAATAAGGAGAACACGCAGCCAGATGAAGAAAATTCCACGCTATCGTCAACCATAGACGCCACTGCCTCGACGGTGAAGACAAATACAATTTTTAATGCGACGCTTGAGGAAAATTCAGTAAAGGAAAATAACAATAAGACTAATATTTATCCTTTAAGCGCCAACGTTGTGCTTGAAAATATTACCGAAGGTAAACTCTAACATGTAATTTATTTGATTTCGGCTCTTAACCGATCAGTTTGATTTATTTTTCCAGTATCGACTGAGGAGCCGTCACAGAATGTGCCATCTCCATTATCTGCAGTTACCCAAGACAGAAAGGAAACAGAAATTGTGGTCTCTGAGATGGTTAATGAAGTGTCCGAGCTGATTGTTAAGGCTCTAAAACTAACCGACGGCTCAACAAAAGAAAAACAAACAAAACCGCCGACAGTTGCCTTGCCACGGCCGCGTCGCTCGCATCTGCCCACAGCTAGTGGGACAACATTTAAGCAACGCATGTCGATTGTGGTCAAAACCACATTGAACAGCCCAGCACGCAAACTGGCTACAGGTAATCCCATTACTCGCCGCAGCTGCCTGCCCGCGGCCAAGACTAGCCTTTTGGGGAATACTGGATATCGCAAGTCCATGCTGCCACGATCCGCTGAAAGCGCCACTAGCAATGCAAGCACTTCACAGACCACACAAGCAGCTGGAGAATTAGCTGCTGGAAAAGCCCGTCCCATTATACATAAGTTTAAATGCCAATTATGCAGTGCCAGCTTTCGAGAGAAGAACTCGCTCGATACGCACATGGATTCGCACTGGAAATGTAGGACAGCAAATAGAAATAAGAATTCGTTTTTCTGTAAATATTGTGACAAGAAATTTGTGCTAGAACGCGCGTTGCACATACACCTAATGCAGAATTGTGACAAAATACCGCCAGGCGAGAAGCGTAAGCTTCAATTTACGGAGCTTAATCATGAAAAGAAAGCAAAGCTGCCAAAATTGACATGCACCTCACCAGCTGTTAGCAGTGAGAGCTTGAAGCCACGTGAGAGCACAATGCCAGAGATGGAGAAAGAGCAGCCCATTGGTAAGTTTAGACACAGGCTAGCCAGAAAAACCTTTGTTACATTTTCTGCGTTTGTAGCCACCAACGGAGGTACAAAAGGCGTTGAAATGGCGCCGCCATCGGTAAAGAAGATCCCCAAGAAGGTTGCCCATGCAGGCGTCTTTCGTACACCCACTAAAACTGTGCCTTGCCACACCTGTAAGATGTCATTTAAGAGCATTCTTGACTATACTAACCACTGCCTGACAGTGCACTCGAAAAACAAGAAGCAGAACACAGCAAATGCACTGAGTGCTCGATATGAAGATTAAATCAAATACCTTAGTTTAGGTTGTGTTTACTTTAATGCTAATACGGTTAATATGAAATATACGATTAAACTGCAACGAAGTTCACTTGGTTTTTTTCTCGGGCGGCGGCTTCATATCTATGCTTTCCGTTGCTATATCTAATGGCCCAGTGGCATGAATATCCGTTGGGTTCGACCCCGTACTACCATCAGTGCCCGCGGCAGCTGGCAGTTGTCCAGCTTGTAGTGGCTGCTGAAAATTCTGTAGCATTGGAGGTATAGGCGGTGGAAATTTACGTAGTAGCTCGGCTAGCAACATGTCAACACGTTGCTTTTGAAATAACGTGCCACTGTTGTCATCCTTGGCTGCATTTGAATCCTTCTTGTCAGACTTTTTGTCAGATACTGCGAAACATCAGAGACCACAATTTAATTGGAATATATAAAAGTTACAGCAAGCAGCCTTCGAGAATATGCATTTTACTTACAAACTTTGTTAGACGAAAAATCCCAGGTGTATCCTTTGTTAGGATGATAGCGGGCATAGCTGCTGGCTTCCTCGAATGCCGACTGCAGATTAACGACTGTGTTGAGCTGCAAGCAGATTGGAATATTTGAGCACTATACTGATGTGTTCATGAGTTCACTTACAATACGCGCATTTATCACGTTTGCCAGATCAGGCGCCTTGTACACAGTGCCTCCAATTATATAGTAATCGGCAATTGGTGTCGCCTCCGAGGGATTGTGTCGATGCTGTTTGCGTATGACATAGAGAATTGGTTCGGCTACGTGCAGTAAAATATACTCCATGCCAAGCATATTACTGCAAAGAACGGGATTTTTACAAAACTTAATCTCTAATGAGCTTCTTTAGAAACCTACTGCAGATGTTCAACTCCCAGACGCTGCATGCGTATGGTTTCATTGTTACACATGTGATCGTAGAACGGATTGCTCTTGCGGCAAAAGTAGTCCATAACGGTCTGTGGACTCAATGTGGCCATCATCTGAGTATCGTGCCAAGATAAGCGTAGATGATTTTCTGGCGCTTGCGTTATTTGTCGGTTCGCCATTGTTGCGGCTGCTGCACGTGAATATATTGGGTCTGCGAAATACTCGTCTTTTTTTGCGCCGGCTGACGACAGAAAATAATTGCTAATCAATCAGTGGGTCAGTGTCAATGCCTGGCCGCTATTTGCTTGCTCGAGCGTCTTTCCTCTTTCTCAGTTTGTTTACAAATTATTTATAGACTGTACGCTGCCAATTTTATAATGTTGCACTTTTTCGATATGTCTTTATTTGATTTATTTGTTGTGTAATAAATATTTCAGTGTCGTGAACAGGAAAATTCATCAGCTGCTACTAAGCAATAAGTACGGCGCTGAGGGCACTGTAAGTCCACCGTTATACTGTTAATTTTAGTATGTGTGGATTGTCATTAGTGCGTTATGTACCTGCGACTAATGCAAGTAGTACACTTTTTTTGTTATTCATATTTTGTTTATAATTTCCGATATATTTCAAAATGTCCGATAGCTTGTGGTGGCTAGCCGATATATTTTGAAAGGAAGTTGGCAGAGCGGGCCATTTATAAACAAGGTGGCAATACATTACCATCGCTCCACACATGAAAATATTAAACAAAATGTTTAAAAATAAAACAAAACGTAACGGCTTCAGTTTAAACTAACTCATATTTAAAATAAAGCATATAGACATAGCTGGCACACACATATCAATCCAATTTTCTTGTATAAAATCAACGAAGCGTGCATTGTTGTTGCCGTCAACGTCGTCACTGCCGCCACAAATACAAATACACTAAATTTATCATCAACATCAATTGTATATTAAACATTTTGCTCGGTCAGCGGAACTTGGCCCATTTTTTCGGATTGTCAGAATTGGAAACTATATCAGTCTGCTTTGTACATTTCGTCGTGGCGCCCGTGAGAAAATACAACGGAAAGAGCAACGAGTGCTCGCAATGGTAAACAGCAGGAAAAAAAATCAATAATTATTACGCATTGTTGAACAATTAAATCGACCTTAGCTGTGTGTGTGTGCAGTTTTTTTTACTAGCGCATACTACCTATTTTATTACTGCATCTGTATGTATACATACTGGTTACAAATTAAATGTCATGCCTTAATCATAACCAAGTAATCCCCAAGAATGTGTGTAAATATGTTTGTGCCTAATATTTGCCGCCGTTTTGACAGTCAAGGTCGCGCAAGTGTCGTTAGCGTTTAGAAAAACTGTTCTCCTTTTTTATGGCTCACCTTGATTTTCGCGGACAAAATTATACGAATATATATATATGTGTACATTTATAGCTTCGTACATAAATATGTACATATTATCCATGACTTACCGCCTCCACAGTCTCGGGCACTAAAACTAAATACATATACTTCGTAAATATGTGGAAATAAATTATTTGTTTATATGTATGTAGCCGAAAAACTTTTTACCCTTAACCCAAGGCTACATTTTTTCAAGTAGTTGTCTTCTCAGTTTTAAATCTGTCGCTTAAAAAATGTGAACTAAAAATAATTATTATAAACTACCTGTTTCTTATATACACTAACGAAAATCTCTCTGGACATTATTTTATTTTAAAATGGTAAATGAAAGCTAAATATGGAAAGGTTTCCCTTTATCAAAACATGTAGAAATTTTGAAATGTATACAGGAATATATATATATATATAAATTTTTTTTATCGTTTCAACATGTTTTTAAGCACACATCGCTGTACCTATATAAACCATACCATATGTTTATTGTTCTACGGAATTTTTATTATATGTTATATAGTCTTTAGTCCAATGTGTTAAATGTGAAATATTTTAATTGGTATTCATGGCCGCTGTGTTATTAATACATATTTCAATTTATCCAGTGTACATAAATCAGAACTATTTTAACAAGTTGTTGTCTAGTTGCCCCTCGATTAGAATTTAATTTATTCTTTTTTAGATATTGAGGTACTTTCGTAGCCTGATGGTGGCACAACAACAGTCGGCCCAGTTAGTTTGTCAGTTAAAGCGATATGCGCTATATTAAACCGGAGCCGTACTATGAGGTAGCTGGACCACACATAGGCAAACGCACTTTTTAATAGACGAGACTCCTATTGGCATGTTGCTAACATATTTTGTATATTTACAGGGGCTTCCACCGTTCAATGTTTCTGGCAGTCCGTTCAATGTGGTGCCAATACACAACTTTCCGGAGCTAATGAAGGATACGTGCGCGCTCATTAACTCCGAATGGCCGCGCTCCGAAACTGCACGCATGCGCTCCCTGGAAGCCTCTTGTGATACGCTGCCTTGCAGCCTGGTGCTAACCACGGAGGGCATGTGTCGTGTGATAGCGCACCTGAAGCTTAGCCCGATAACATCTAAAAAGAAGGCCTGCTTTGTGGAGTCTGTTGTCGTGGACAAAACCTATCGTGGTCAGGGCTTTGGAAAGCTGATCATGAAGTTTGCCGAGGACTACTGCCGTGTGGTTCTCGATTTAAACACCATTTATCTGTCGACCATAGATCAGGATGGGTTCTATGAACGCATTGGGTATGAATACTGCGCACCAATTTCCATGTATGGACCGCGCCACTGCGAGCTGCCTAGTTTACAAAATATTAGTAAGAAATACATGAGGAAGGTCTTATAGACATCAGCACCAGTAGTAGTAGTAGTGTTGGCTTAACCAAGCTGCGAACGCTCCAAGCTTGATCGGAGCGTGCCAGTTAAACTAGTCAAATTAGGTAAACGCTCTTAGGGCTGAATATATAATCTAATACTGCCCAGCGGCAGAGCCGTACTATGCATAAGTATATACCCTATGAGCGTTTGCTTCTGATTCCATTACGATTACACAAACAAACATTCATATTACGCTCGTGTTGATTTTTAAATATTACTTTCCGCATGTATTTTTTGTTATCTTTTCGGAAAATGCTTGGATATACAAGCACGTTAATTGCCGTGTTATATGATATATTGCTCATAATATATTCATGTTAATTTAGTTATGTATTATTATTAATTTATAATTCATATTCTTATGATTTGTTGTGGCGTTTGCTCGAATGCTTACTAGACAATATCTACCTACATATGATAGATCAATTATCTTCCAAATAAACTGTAGCATAGGTATACATATCGAGATCGGAAACATAGCATTAAGCAACAAATGAAAGGCAATAAATTATATTAAAGTTGTAGATATTTTAAATGCTCTATTTGTAATTTTATTAGCGGAAGAAAGCAACGGAAACATCCGTCTGCAATCTGTCAGAAAAATCTATGACAAGTTCAAGTTCATGGTGCTGCAGCAAGCCAAAAATTGATGTGCGCCCGGCAATGTTATTTTTATTACAGCTGCATCATACACTGTCGGGCCAGCCCAACGAGCGCGGAAAGCTTGAAAAAGTTTTATTTGACACAAAAATAACACAAACGGCAAGACACTTGCTTATCAAATACTACATGCAAATGCTCTTGCATACGTATGTGCGTACCCATAAAGTAAACTGCCGATAGAAAGTATACTTTTATAAAAAGAATTGTAATTATAATTTTTTTAGATTAACAAAAATCAATTTCAAGTTATACCGAAAAATACGTATTACTCGAATTAGATTTTTATTGCACTAAAATTGCGTTCAACTTGTTGAAATTTTAATATCTTTTAATACAAAACCTAGGTTCACTATATCGAAGGCGCTCTGTACCGTCAGGTATATGCAGTTCCCTCTCATATAATGCTCTCGCTATTTTCTTAATGAAATTTTTGGCATTGGGCCTGAAAGCGGAAGCAGGTTGATCTCTGGTATTTTTTGTTAGTTTCTGTAAAATTTCTACAGGTGCACATTTTCGAAATGCTTGCATGACGTGATATACGACAGCTGCTAATGGCTTGAAATTTCAGGTGTCTGACCGAACATGCGCTGATTGCCAATTGATACCACACGTAATTGAAATTAAAATTTGTTTATTCTTTATATCAAAATGGAAAGTTTATAGTGCGCATACGTAATACACACCCATAAATGTACATAGGTATGGTTATACATAAAGATGGTTAGTTTGACTTTTAAAGGCTTTAATAGCATTGCTAATTGTACGTTTAGATAGAACCGATTGCAATTTGGCTCCAATTTATATGCGATAGGGACAATCTTTTGCTGATGTCATTGTGATCATCCATTGTAGAGTATACCTTAAGCGCTTTTGGCAATACCGCAAACCTTGCCATAATGCTCAGGCTGTTCCAAGGAATCTACAATGAATTTAGCCAAGTCGTCTTTGGAAACCAGGCGACCAGGTGCTTCGTCATGCACTACGGTATAGCTACTGGCCGGCTCATCGGCGATATGCGGCGGCAGTATAGCAATATAGTCCAAGCCTGAGGCTTTTGTTAAATCCAACATGCGTTTGTGTTCCTCGTTGAGTTTGTGAAATACAGCGGGCACCTCGTTAAGGGAACGCAATAGGAACGACGACATGACAATAGAAAGTTTGGTAAGCTTTGCTTCCTTCATGGCCTTTATAACGTTCTCAGTGCCGCGTGACAGCTCCGTTGTGGCCTCCAGCTTATTGCGTGTGCCCAGTATAACGCAAACGCCATCCACACCTCCGTCGCCCTCAATCAGTCGTTTAACGTCCTCAATATTGGTCGCATCGCCTTGAACTAATTGAACCTTGCTCTTGAAACGCTCCGGAACGGTGGGTTCTGTGCGGTAAAGTAAACGCACCTTCAGACCTAAAAAAGTGTTAAATTAATACATTTGAAGGATATCGCGGAGTTAATTGCACGCTACCCTTCTCCAAGGCGTAATCCACCACACATTGACCGGTCATGCCGGTGCCACCAATGACAGCAATCCGTTGCATAATTTTCTTTTTTTATTTTTAATTCGTGCTGAAATGAAAACCAGATGTATTACAACTGAACTAAGGTCAGCTATTGAACAGAAAATTGCAATATCACTAAAGCAGTTCCAGACTTATCGAGCACCAATCAGAATCAAAAATGATTGTTGTTTTTGCACCGCCGCCGACTTCGCTCACCTGAAACGTCCAGCTGATTGTGTCTTACACACGCACGAGTAGTTGTGTGCAGTGTTCATAAGCGCCAACAGCTTTAAAAACTATTAATACTAATAAAGAAGATACGTTATCAACTCCTCTCTATACATACATATATTTACAAATTTCACATTAAATATAAATTGTCATGAAGACATTTCAAAATCGAGTAGCGCTACCTACGTGTTGATATTGCTATGTAGCATTGAATCAGTGCACATTAAAAGAAATATTAATAATGCGTAGTAGATAGATTATGACATTACATAGATTAATAAAATTATTTACTTTAAAATAATAAATTTTTGAATAACGATTGCAGGGTGGCCATGTTATTTGAAAAATCGATTTATTACTAGCAATCTGGTCAGCCTGGCCATCGAGTGAAGCGTTGCCCAATTAGTCATAAATTTTTAAAAATTACGCGCGGTTGCTTTACGCCTGCGATTCATCCAAATTGGCATTTGCCTCGGAATATGGATTATCTGCGGGATTTTTGACGCGTCTCAGCGTGATGCCTAGTTTTAGTTCGCTCAAGAAATCTGTTGTGGGTGGTTTCTTTTCAGCACGTGGTTTAATGCCACTTATTGTCGCAGCTTTCTTATCGATTTTCTGCAAGAATGTGTAACTATGAAGTTTTGAAGAGAAGAGTTAAGTTCGACTTTACCCTTACCTTCAATTGTACGCCGTTGCGTATGCTTTCCAAGAAAGCGTCGTGATTATCAACCGCGCCTGCGGCCACCTTTGGTTGTTCAGACTTTTTAATTGCCAAAGGCAGTGCGCCTCCACCCATTGGTGGCGGTGGTGGTGGCATTGGAGCACCCGTAGCAAAAGCAGGTGGGGGAGGCGGTGGCGGCGGTACTCCCGACGCAGCTGCCAAAACTAGGGGTGCTGGCGGTGCTGGCGGTGGAGGCGGAATGAACGCATTGTTACCAACAGGTGTTGTAGTCTTTGGTTTCTGTGGCACCTGCACAGGTACAGCTCGCGGCTGCACAGGCGCAGCCTTAACAGGCGGTGGAGGTGGCTGTTTAACCGGCGCATATTGCACAGTGTTCCTGTTCTCACTGGGCACAATCGTTGGCTTAGGCGGCGCCGGTGGAGCTATTCGCATTGTACCCACCTTCCGCTGTGTTTGAGGCGCAATTGTGGCATAAGTATCGTTCTGGGGCTTAGGCCGTGTGGGAGGCACTTCTATAGCCGCCGGATACATGTGCGTATTGGCCGCCGTGACAGCAGAGGGTGGTGGCGGTATTTTCGGTCTGTTTGGCTGTGACTGCTGCAACTGAACAGGGATAACTGTGCCAAGTTCCTGCTGCCTGTTATGACGCTGTGCGGGTGCCATGTCCATATCAGATATGTCCACAAAGCGGGAGGTGAGCGATGCATAATTGGAAAATGAGGTAGACGGAGCAGCTGTTGGCGGTGAAGGCGGCGGTGTTATTTCATTGTTGGTGGAGATGGTGGCATAAACGAGCTTTGGCGCTGTCGTCTTCGGCTTTTGCATGTTCTGCTTCGTGGGCTGTCGAGGGGATTGGAGTACAGTAAAATGGCAGTTATTGTTCAGCTAAAGTCTCCTCATACCATCCAGGTGAAATTGGAGTGGACAATTTTTTTGATCAGATCCTGCCGCCGTATGCCGGCAACGTCCTCCTCGGCAATGCCGCGCTCCATCATGTACTTTTTCAGCACATTGTCATTGGCGCCAGTATTCAAATCGAACGCATTTCGCGTTCTATCGCGCGTAACATCTCCGGAGACATGCTGGAAGTTGACGGGTCCGCTTATCTCGTACTTGGAGCCCTTGTTGCTGACGACGACGCTGGTGGCAAAACTGGGTCCTGGCACGGCGCCCGGTGCCCCTGTAAAGCTACCCAAGCTATTCGACGAGGAGGATTGGCTCATGCTGCGGCTGGCAACGTCACCGAAGTATCTGCGTTCGCTGCCGGGCGAGGCTCTCACTGTGGGTGGGGGCAGCACGGCGGGCGGGGGCTGGGCGAAGACGTCGCTGCTCACCTGCATGCACGGCGGCTATAAGAGATCAAGCCGAGAAACAGCAGCGAATTAAGTTGCGACTGACGAACACGATGATGATGACGAACATGATGATGATGTGTATGATGATTATATGAATGGCATTACCACCCAGTAACCGGGGCCTTTATTGCTTCTAATTATGTCATACACATAGGCCCGTCGCTGCAACGCCGGCATCTGCTCAACATCGTCGGCCAGGTGTGCCTTGCGCATATACAACTGCAGCATCTCGTCCGTGCCGATGCCCCGCACATCGAACGTCTTCCGAAAATCGATGGCCTTGCCCTCCAGCTGCCTAAACTCCACCGGCTCCGAGATATACGCATATGTCACACTATCCATATCCACGTTGGGATGCCGCCCCGTAAACAGCCTGAAATCGATACGGGTGGAGCTGCTATTAGAGGACGACTACCACGGGCAGCCGTACGTATCCGTATCCACGCTGGCGCATTATCTTCCAGCAATTTGCCGATAAGAAGTGTTTTTTTTTTTTGGGTTTTATCAATTTACGGATTTCTATTGTTGTTTTGCGGATGAATCATAGCGCCAAAGACAAAGACACGCAAAGCCAATTACACGGACGATATCAACATTTACATCTATGTAAAACATCACTCTATTCAATTACCGTAATTTCCAATTTCTTTACGGTAGAGCGTGGGGGGCCCTTGATGCAGTTAACCAATTGTCGGATTGTACTGGGAACTGGATGCAGCGGGAACTTAGCGTGGCGTCCGGCCCAAACCAAGGTATCGCACTGATTAGCACGGAGGTGGTATGTCACCGCGTTTACTCATTTCGCCAAGCTTGTTATCTAGAAACGCAGACACTGATAACCACACTCCACACTAATAATCACCTTCACCTGGGCGCTTCGACAGCTTGAGCCTGCAAGAAAATATAAACAACAGGCATAAAATATATATATATATATGCATGCATGTGTGTGTGGCCAAATATTTGGCCAAGTATTAGTTTGTATTAATATGATATAGTTTTAAATATACATATATTTATAATATTTTATATATATTTATATACATATGTATAGCTTTTATCTCAGCTATAAGGTGACTAACTGGACATAACTGACCGTATTTTTATACATAGGTTCTTTAAGCATTGGCCATTTCCACACATCAACAACTTTGTATACCCTGTACCAATGGAAAATGGGGTATAATGGTTTTGTGAAAATGTCGGCATCTATATATACATATATTCTTGACCAGGACAATGCGCTAAGTCGGACTCGGAAAATATTAAATATGTATCCGCAAACACGAGTTTACCTTATTTTTTGTCGATAGTTCGTCCCATTCCCAAAATATTGATAAGCGTAGATTTTGAAACCTCTGTTTTTTAAGCATTTTTGGAAAACTGCATAAGTATTCTGGAATTCATATTGGGCAGAAATTTAATGATTTGAAGAATTCAAAGCGTGCTCCTGAAAACCAAAATATTATACAGGAAATTCTGTAGTCGAGCATCTTGTGTAGACAACATTTATCTTACATTAATATGTAATGAATTCTCGCGGAATCGCAGCCTTCTGTGGGAGTAAGGTTATTAATTAATAAAAATAATTTAAAGTTATAAAGTAAAAAAAATATGATTTCTTTGCTTGCAGAAAATATATCTAACATAAATACATAATGATTTCTCGCGGAATCAAAGCCTTCAGTAGGATTAAGGTTATTTATTAATAAAAACTTCCCATAATTCGTATGCCAATTATAATAATAACAATGAAAGTACTAACAAAAGTACTAATAAAAGTTCTAAAGAAAGTACTAACAAAAATATGATTTTTTTTGTTTAGAGAAAAGAGTAGATAAAGTTCCCGTTCCACATATTTGTGGTGATATAGAAATCCAATTATTAATAGCACTCAGGTAATGACAGGAGTATCCGAAAGATAACATGGAGCGTTTGGAATGGTATTTGCTTACACATTAATATACTGATTCATCCAAAACCCCAATGACTATGTCATGGCTAGAAAAATGATATTGATGTAAGCTTGGCGAGCCTCCCTTTTACTCGAAAAGGGACGTGAATTCTTAAGATGAGCTCGAATTCCATTATTGAAATTCTCGTTGGATGGCGCGCTCTTGACAAGTTTTCAAATTTTGAACGTTGTGTGCAGCCCGAAATGTCATTTATTCTGACATCTTGCCAAGTGTAAAGCAACCTTTTTTCCTGATCCATTGACATGTTTGTCAACAAGGAGCAGAGCATTTGCCTGGAAAGTCATTCGCAATCGAGCTTTGAGGCAGGGCGCATCGAAATAGAATTAAAAAAAATAAATAAATAAAAATAAAACAAAAATGGATCAGAATATGGAGTTGTTCGTTAACGGTGAGTTCCTAATGGCCGAGTTCGAGTTCGATGGCGATTTGGTGGTGAACAGCGATGAACTGCAGCCGGGCGCCACTGTGCTGGTGTCCAATGAGACCGATGGCATTGTTAGCCACGAGGATTTGGCCAAATTCTTCGAGATGCAGGCCGGCGTTCAGATACCCACAGAGGAGGCCGTGGAGCGCACACTGGCCGATCCGGCTCTGAAGCAGATCCTGCAAGAGGCCGATGGCAAGGTCGATTTCGATCCGGAGGCGGAGCAAGAGAAGCTGCGTGAATTTCTGTCGGGAGTGAACAATAAGAAACTGGTCGCCGAGAAGAATGCCGTGCCCTCCGAGGTGGCCCAAAAGCATCTGCCAGCGCCGTCCCAGCCGCGCCCAGTGATGCCGCAATCGAACGCCTTTCGCTTCATCAAGTGCTCCAATTGCAATGGCCTCTTTGACACGCCCTCATTTCAGGATCACAGCTGTGAGTACGAGGCGGATCAGAAACCCACAGCCAGCAGTCGGGTGCTGCCGAATCAGGAGAAGAAGGCAGCGTCTTCGCCAACCAAGAAAACGCCCAGTGAGCGCATCATCGTGGAGAACCAGGTGCGCATACGTCGCTATATGAAGGATGAGCTCAAGTATGATCTGGAAACGGGTTTCGATAATTCCAAAAGCAAGAAGACCTCCACCAAGGGTCCCAACGAGTGCACCATCTGTGAGCGAAAGTTCGTGCACACCTCCGGATTGGTGCGTCACATGGAGAAGCATGCCCTCGACCTAATCCCCACCCAGGCAAACGTGCAGCAACAGCATGCGGCTCCATCGGCTATGGGGCTCCTCGTGGTGCTTAAATGCAATCATTGTGGCCGCATTTTCTACGATGTTAAGCTGGCGCTGGAGCATATATTTGTGCATCAACCAACCACGGAGGCAGTCGACCCAGAAGCTGTCGCTGCGGATGAGGTTGTTTTGAAGCAGCAGCTGGAACAGCTTCTGCTGGAGGGCGAGCAGCTGTTGGCCATTACCGCAGAGCTGGAGAGGATGTCGCTCAAGAGCGAGGACGAATATTTCACTACACTCGTGCTGGGCAATGTGCTGCAATGCGAATTTTGTGATTTCATCTTTGCCGATGTCTCCTTTCTGCTCGTCCACTCGGCCACGCATGTGCCGGAGCGTCGCTTCGAGTGCACCGCCTGCGATCTGCGCATGACCACCGCCAAGGAGGCCAGTGTGCACTATCAGACCGACTGCGTCTATATGCGCGAGGGACTCAAGCAGCTGCAGGCGCAGCCGAATCGCTACTTTGTGTGCAACGTGTGCGAGCTGAAGTTTGCCAATGTGGAGCTGCTCCAGGAGCATCGGTAAGTGCTTGGAATCTCCGCAGCACGCATATGTAACACATGTCCCTCTCGCACCTGAAGCTACAGCTGCTATCATTACTTTCCGCGGCTCAGCGAGAGCGGCAAGCGTCTGGTCTTGCCCTGCGAGTTCTGTGCCACAAACTTTGAGTACGCGCACGAGATTCAGCCGCACTACGAAGAGAAGCATCTCAATAAGAAGAAACGGGAGAAGGAGCTGCGGAACAGCGGCAATGCGGCCACCATGGGCCGACTGCGGCAGTATCTGTGCGACATTTGCGGCAAGTCGTACACGCAGTCCAGTCATTTGTGGCAACACCTGCGCTTCCACCAAGGTGAGTAGAGACGCAGTCACAACGGATTGGCCATAATCCTAGGTACTCATTGCTGCTCACAGGTGTGAAGCCGTTCGTTTGCCAGGAGGAGAACTGCGGCCGAAAGTTCACCATACGCCCAGACCTCAATGATCATATACGCAAGTGCCACACCGGCGAACGGCCGTATCATTGCCTGGTCTGTGGCAAGCGCTTTCTCACCGGATCCGTCTTCTATCAGCATCGACTCATCCATCGGGGCGAGCGGCGTTACGAGTGCGACGAGTGCGGCAAGCGTTTTTATCGTGCCGATGCCTTGAAGAACCATCAGCGTATACACACGGGCGAGAAGCCGTACGATTGTCCATTCTGCACCAAGACATTCCGGCAGCGAGGAGATCGGGACAAGCACGTGCGGGCGCGTCACTCGCACTTGGATGCTAATGCGCGGCTGATGATGCAAATGCAGAAATTTGAATTGGAAACGGCGGCTGCTTTAAAAGCTAAACAAATGCAGGATGGCGGAGTTGAATTTTTGGTTGAATCGACCTCAGCCCCGTCGGTTCCAGCATCTCCCATGACGCATGATCAACAATTTGATATGGTTGAGTTGGATCCCAGTGATTTTGGCGAGAGCTCTGAGTTCGTACAAAGTATGCCAATGCCTATTAGCAATGAGGAGCAAGAGATAATGTCCTATGTGGACCTAGAGGGAGCAGAACCAATCGAGCAGCAACCATTCCAATTGGAAAACAATGAAAATGTCAAGGTTGTTGTGGTTGAAAATAATACTTCACAGCCGTTTTATTTCTAATATACGTGCCTATTCATAAATATATAAATAGCTATATGTATTTTATCCATATTAGTAAATCAATTTTAAATTAAATCTGAAGACATTTAAACTGCCATTTGCGCGGCTGCACCTCTACATCTGGCAGCATTTCATTTTCTAGTGTTGTAAAACGGCGTTAACTGCCGCAATAGCTGGCAACGTTTGCAATTGACAGTCCAAGTGTCAAGTAGCCATTTTTTGCCATCTCCTTTCTTTTCGATTTTTCCATCGTATACGCCAACATGGGTTTCGCTACTTTATGGTACTCGCATCCTCGTAAATACGGTCAAGGCTCCCGTTGCTGGTAAGTTTTATGTAGTCCGTAAAGTTGCGCATCGAAAGCTGTATAATTAGCATGTATGCCTGTTGTTTAAAGCCGTATTTTGTTGCATAGTTGATTTGCTTTGAGTTATTGAGGTTAAGCACGCCTTAGTTTCGCATGGTGCTTGCCGCCCGTACCAATGTATAATTATTGATGTATGCAAATTCCCTGCTTAAATGTAAAATTGCCCCCGGTTGAGTACGGAAATATGTGACAATACATCTTTAACAATTTCCTTAATTAAGGGCGGCCAAAGCAAATGTTGCAGCTGGCCTCTGCCATTTGACAATCAAATGGCACCGCTTGCTGCAGCGACAGCTATGCAACTTAATCCTTTCGTAAAACAGTTGTCGATGTGAATTCTTTACCAGAGCAAATATCTAATGTGCAATCTTCTTTTAAAACTTTAGCCGTGCCTGCTCAAACCGTCATGGTTTGATCCGCAAATATGGACTGAACATTTGCCGTCAGTGCTTCAGGGAATACGCCAATGATATTGGCTTCAAGAAGGTAAGCTCCTAATCAAAACATTTGCACTGTGCTTTTTCGATGTTCTTATTGTCAATCCATTCATTTTACAGCTGGATTAAATGTCCGCTTCAATTTTTGGCGTTTCGCACGCCAATTAAGCATATTAATTTAGGCAGTCGCTAAAAAGAGACTACCTTTATTAATATGCTGGAACAACAACAACAACAAAGCAACAACAACATAATCATTTGGAGATTTAAATAACACCAGGGGCAAACACTTCTGAAACAAACATACAAGCCAGGAACATGCTAGGAGTGAGCCACATTTTATTCTATAAAAATAGTAAGATAATGCAACCAAAGCAATATCTCGAATGAGCATCCGCCGATGCAACCGAGTTGACGAACTCCGTGTTACCAACGCCGCACGACCATGTTCTTCAATACACTAGCGTAAATTCCTATTGCAGTTGTTACCTTCTAGGAAGGTTATTTGTTTAAATCTCCCTCTGATTAAATACATAACAAGTAATGTAAACATATTGTCTTGATTCAATGTTTAGCTTTGCATCCTTATTGAATGTCCATGTCACTTGAAATGCCGGAAGCATCTTAACAAGTGCAATATCGCTATCATTTACTTCCTCATTTCTATAATATTGGGTTAGTGGTGTCCAGTAGGTTGCATTCGAGCTGAGCTTGTGCGGAGAAGCATCAGCAGCTGGGGTAGAAAAACACTGCAAACCAGTTTGTTTAGTGGCCCACTAGGTAAAAGAGCGAGTTGGCGCTCTCTTAGCTGCCTACGCAGCTCGTGTCTCAGCTGACGCTGCTGCCGCTTTGGTATGCTGTCTTTTTGCCAAAACTTACAATTTTGCACATTCGCCTGTTGAGTTGGGTTCGGCCGTTTGAACTCGCAACAACGCGTCGCGTGTGCAGATAAAAAACACAAAAATCAAGTTGTTTGGATGTGAAAAATGTAAAGTTAATGCCATATACGCGACGTTTAACATTTGAAAGAGAAATATAAAAGAAATAAGTAGTAAACAAAAATCAATTTTCATAGATGTGCTTTGAGCTTGTTGACCTGGTTACGGTTTTTTTTATAATTAAATGAGAAATGGAATTGGCTGTATTTTTGTTGCTCTTGCCACTTCTAAGCAGCGTTTGCGTTGTAGCCACGATAAATGATGCAACAGCCGCAGCAGCAGCAGCAGCGAGGCATCGCAAAAATGCAACAGAGACGAGAGTAGCTCCAACAGAGGTCTTTATCCAAAACAGTAGCCGTGCCAACGGTTCCCGCGGCCATAGATCGCGCGCTGTTGCACAATACAAACTGCCGCTTGATGGTGCACAAGCGCCGCCGCCGGACAGCAGAGATGCCAGCGACCGAGTGCAGCCCATGCGCAGGCGTAACCAGGTGGTGCTGCGCCGCAGGCCTGCCAGCAGCACAACCACAACAACAACAACGTCGAGCACAACGACAACCACGTCGACGACGACAACGACAACAACAAGTGAGTTGAGTTAAGAGCGGACCTGCATTCAATTGACTTTAGCACAAGTCCATATGACCGCTGCAAAGGCGAGCAAGACTTGTCGCTGGCACTGACCTAGCTTTCGGTTTTTAAGATTGGTTAAGGCAGCTAGCAGCAGCCAAATGAGAAGCTGTCTGAATACCTAGTCGATAATTATGCGCCCGATAACTGGAGCAACTGCTGCTGCAAAGCTTTCAAATTTGTATTATTTGTGGTTTTGTGACCTTGATAAGCGTGGCGAGACACTTTAAACAGGCAACAGTTGCAATGTACTCGTTCAAGGCTTATTGCAGTGACATGCATTTTGGCACAGGTGCTAAATGATTTCGCTCTTATCAAGGATTTTAATTACTATCACCCATTCGGCAACAGAGTTAACTTTGTGGGCCTTGAACTTGGCTCACAATTAGCGCATTTTATGATGCGCGAATATTTGGTGCGTATTTTATTTGTCATTGAAGCTTGGAGGCAACATTTATAAAGCTAATCGAGGCAATTGGGTCAATCGATTTTCTTAGCCCATTGTGTTGGAGTCTGATTCAAAACTGTCGCAATTTCATGGAGCTTCACTTGAGATTCTCACGCTCGCAGACTCGTTAAAGCTTAATGTTGGAGTTGGCTCAGTGAGAAACTAGTGCAAATATACCTATTGTTTTCTTACTTGAGAGATATTATAATGCAAAACTAATGAGCCAAACGATTTTTATTAATATGATAAATATGCACATTTGAAAGCGATTGATTAATATATTAATGAATTAATATATTAACTATTTATCAGTGTGCTGACGCAATTAAGGTAGAAACTTAAATTCCGTAAAAATTTTAAAAAATTAAAAAATCCTCTGTTGCTCATCGCTGTCATTTTTAAAAAATTGTTTACACTTGTAACTTAGCTCATGTCGTTAAAAAAAACCCAAATTTATGGCAACTAAAAATGTTGTAAAAATTTAAAAGCTAATTACTTTTAATTACCCATGCATACGTCAAATTGTCAGGAAATATATATATATATTCTTACAACTTTACAATAATATTAGCGATTCTCCAGTTACTGTCAAATGCATTTGATAATAATCATTATGGCCTTTGCAGTGGAAAAGTAGGCCAATACAGTGAATGGGCATTTGTAATTGGTAACAGGTAATGCAGAGGGAGGGAGGGGAGGGGGGGGTACTGCTTTTCGCTCCAGCAGGTGCACAAAGATTCACTTTGAGCGCGGCATAAAAAGCACCTAGTTTTATGATTGTGCTAACTGGGTGGCGGGAACTGCGCTTGTTGTTGTCTTGCAATACGGGCTATTTGGAGCAGAACTAGTAATGGCCAATTGTTGACTAATCCGTCTATCGCACGCATATGTACATAGCTCCGCGTCCGAGTTTGGCCAACGGCTTCAATTTCTTCAATCCCAGCTTTTGGAGCTTTGGCCAGCAGAGCCTGGTGGCAGTGAGTGCACCCACAAAACATCCCCATCCGCCCAAGAAGTTCACACACTCAACAGGCGCAACCGGTTCCAAGGAGGAGAAACTCAATTATCGCAAGCAACAGAAAACAACACCGAATCCAAGGCACAGATCGAGTACCTCAACGACAACATCTACTACTACCACGGAGGGTCCATTCCGCATAGCACTGCCAACGCTTACGTTTCCCAGCGCTGCGGGCGGCGCTGCCGACAAGGAGAAGGATAAACGGGCTGCAGCCGATCTGCGCCAGCGTTTCAATTGTCCGCGAGAGAACGAGGTGCGTTTTCAGCTATTCCCAAAGATCTGCAAGTCCGACAAGGACTGCTTGGTCTGGCAACGAGACGAGATCTGCTGCGACATCTTTGGCGCCAGCAGCTGTGTGGCGGGAGTTGCCAAGCCGCTGGAGGAGACGGAGCACGCACGTTAGTCCATTGCACATTGAAGATGCAATCTGAGGTGCTATTAATTGATTTCCTTCTGCAGCCATATTGGGCCTGATACCACGCAAGTGTCCGGCGCGTCCACTGGCTGAGCTCTGGTGGGATGTGCAGGAATGCCGCACAGATATGGACTGCTGGCCACGTGTCTGCTGCCCGGATGGACGCCGGCGCTATTGCCGTACCTCCCAGCCGGAGCTGCAGACTGTTCCGGTGCCGGTCAAGCGCTCCTTTGACTACCGTACGTGAATCAGTTTACTGTTAATCCATCTGATTGCGGCCAACCCTGCTCTGTTCTCTCTATCTACAGTGACGGAGTACTTGGAATGCACGGCACCGCCGCCGACCATTTTTGATCTGCATCCAAAAGCGTGCACCTCCACGCTGGACTGCTTTCCAAATGTGTGCTGCCAGGAGGCGGGCCTGCGACACTGTCGTCCGCCCAAGAAGTCTGTGCTCACACTGATGGCCAATTTTCTGAACGTGGACTTTGTGAAGCGCTTGACCCAGAACATTGTTATCAAGTAGTTACATTTCAGCTAACACACACACACAGGCACATTCATCTGCACTCATGTACATATGTTACATACATAAATGTATTTATACATATACACAAATCGTTTATACGATCACAAATGCGTGAATTTAATTTTTATTTATTTTTAATAAAATGCACACATTTGAAAATTCTTAATAAACAGTTAACACTATTATTTATCCATTGCTAACAAAAAAATGTGTTTCTCAACAATCAAAATAACGTTTGTGATTTACGTATAAACGAGCTTTTTCATGCCAACATCTACAGATATGCGAGTGAGTACTTTTATTTACTCAATTTCGAAATTGTTGTTATTCTTTAACTGATAACTGTTATGTGTACACACGTAGATACAGTGGAACCAGCAATGAAAGCCACTTTAACTGTACTTTTAGTCTTAGATAATAAAAGTGATTTATCAACGCTTCCACTTTGAGTTTTTCTTGTTTTCTTGTCGTTTTTTTTTTTATGGCCAAACTGCGTCTCAGCAATTGGCAGCGAGTAGCTGAGCCAATGTCGATGTCGGAAAGTTTTGTACGGAAAAGGTTAAATGGTGTCTGGTTACCTCTTGGCCTATGGCATATACGTACAATTTTATTATACTGGAAATAGAATCAGCGAAGGCCTTGTTCTTACCTTGGCTCATTGTACACACTCAAATTTACACGCATATTTTATGCACAAACATTTGTGCATACAATTTATATACAAACAAATGTTTGTTTTATGTATGTCAAGCGGTGTCTCGTCTACTGAGCGAATCTTAAAGTTTTCATTTGCATTCAGCGCTTAATTGACTCCACGAATACGTTGCAAACATGGAAAGTTTGTGTAGAGCAGAAAACACAAACTGAGTTCGAGTGAGGTTAAGTCTGCCGAGGTACAGCTGCGTTTATGGATAAAGCATTCGGATACGGATTATGGATAAAGCGCTCGTAGCACTTTATCCGTCTCATACGTACTTCTACTTTAAAAGTGAACATTATTTATTAATATTTAAACAAAACTAAAAAAACAATACATATATTATAGTGAAAAGGGAAATCAGCTGGTACAGCTGGCAAATGTCGTCGAATCCAGGATGCATTAATAATCTAAACGAAACCTAAAATAAAAGTAAAAAATTCTTTATTTCAGCCTAGAATACGTTATGTTTTTGTTATTATTTTCTTTTATCAAACTCGTTGTGTTTTGACAGAAACATTTTTTACCTGCAATACTAAAAAGTATACTATAAACATATGTATGTACCGTATTTATACTGAATAACCAGCCTGCAACTGCAACGACAGCTTTTCCGACGCCCAAGTGAGACCTGGTTTCAAATTTCCCACAAACTGAGCAAGAAATAGAAAGACTGCCCAGTAAAAAGTCGCCCCACATAGAAAACAATTGAATTTGATTACATAAGCTGACATTTAGTTGAAATGACGCAGCGGAGCTTTAATTTAAATTTCGTTTATTGCACATTATTCAATTCATTGCGAGAAGCGCACATGAACTTTTCTTTATGCATGTGTAAGTGTGTAAGTGTATGTAGTTATTTTTGCCAGTGCAAAAAATACAAAAGAAGATTCTAATTTTAATTTAGTTTAAACTATGAACTGCTATGAACGGCGCGTTCACTTGGAGGAGCAGCCGCACTTGCTTTTGTTCTCGCCGCCGCACTTGCAATCGGTGCCGCAGTTGCAGGAACCCTTGTTGGTCTGGGAGGCGCATTTGCAACCTGAAAACAATAATTAATTATTATTAATAATCAGCAAATGGCATCAATTTCTATGCTTTTGTTAGCCATATTTTAGGTCCTTTGGATGACTTACCACTTCCGCATGGGCAAGGCATTTTGTATGTTATTGAAGGTTTAAACTTGTACAGAAGAAAAGAATACTTTGTTTTTCACTTAAGTGATGAGTCACTTTTACTTTGCTGCAGAATACAACTGATGCACAAACCACGGATGTTGCCCGATTTTATACACTTTCGAAACGAGGCTTTCCACACGGCTGCCGGTCGCTTTAATTCCAGTTTTGCACACGCCAACCGGCCGGCTAAACATGTTCGAGCCGTGTGCAAAATACACTTTCCGTTTGAAAGCTTTCAGAACTTTTTGGGTTCGAGTCTTGGCTAAGAGTTTTCTTTGCGGGTCTCGACTACGCTTAGTGGGCATCGAATGCACGGCGCATGCGTTTGTGTGGTGGATAAACGGGCGGCACTGAGCCCCTTATCGTATAACGTTCACAATGTGGGTCTCCTCTGTCTGTCTGTCCATTCATCATCGGCTTCGGCTGTGACTGTGACTGTGCCTGCGAGTGGGAATGTCAATGCGCGTACGCGCGGAGAGTCAGTGTTTTTCCGATTCCTGAGTGCGGCTGCAGCAGGCAAAGTCGTGCGACATTTTAGCAACGAATTCAAGTGCAACGAAATGCAAGAACTGAAAGTAAATAATAAGCGTTTTATTATCGTTATGGTTATTTTTAATGTTATCCTTGCTGACACGCAACCCATGAAACATTTTGTGTATTTTAATATTTGTTAGATTGGTGCGTGTCTGTGTGTCCGTGTATTATAGGTGAAAATGCAACACACAAAATCAATAAATCCAAGCCAAAATAAAATAAGGAAAAATCAACGACGCGTGTGCATGTGTGTGTCTGTTTGTGTGCGTGGGTGCGCGTGTGTGTATGGGCGTGGGAAAGAAAACAAAAGAGCAAAACAGCGAATGCGTAGCAAATTAAGGTGGTAACACTGGGGGACAGGATACAGTGTGCGGAAGTGAACAATTTAAAGTTTGTGGTCACCAAAGCAAATGACACAAATACATATACAGACACAAACTGACAGACATGTGTGGGTGTGTGTGTGTGTTCGCAGGAAAAGGCTGCAAGCGATTATTTGCTCACCCACGCATTAGACTGTTGTTGTTATTCCTGTTGTTGTAATCGCCTGCACTTCAAAGCTTCTATTTATACACAATGTGTGCGTGGGCGTGGGCGTATGTGGCGGCTGCCAAACTGCCCATAACGCGACCGACCTGATACCTGAGCCCAATCACAATCACAATATCATCAATTCCCTTCGTGCCCAGGCCGCCCACGCAGTAATAATAGTATGTAATCATAATTATAATGATGATGATGATGTTGATGATGATATTGCCAATGACGTTGGCACTGGCCACCAAAAGGCTAACGGCGCACAGATCTGTGCTTTCGTTTATTTTCATAATAATATGCACAACAAAAAAAATCAATACCGTTCCTTAACTTAAACCAGAATGCCACATGCCCAAAATTAGCCAGGCATCCATTCTATGTTGCTTTCATGTGGCCCTGAAAATCCAAGTGCAGACGCAATCCGACCGTGCCGTTAAAAGGTTGTGCGTGTGTGGGCGTAATATGACCAATTGATTTGCTCCTTAATCGTTTCAGATAAACCAAAGTATGGCGCTCAAGTAAAACACATACAAAGTTGACGACAACCTAACAAACAGGAAGCCTCCAATTTTGACAACTTGACCTACCAAACAGGGCCTCAACCTAATCAAGATGACGGAGCAAAAGAATCAAGTGACCCGCGCAGCGCCGGAGCAGAGCAACGACTATCGCGTTGTGGTCTTTGGCGCTGGCGGCGTTGGCAAAAGTTCACTGGTGTTGCGTTTCATAAAGGGCACGTTTCGCGAGAGTTATATACCCACCATTGAGGACACCTACAGGCAGGTGGGTGTCTATTTGGCAACTGTGTTAATACTTAATAAATTGTCATATTCATTTCCTCGTTGCTGCAGGTGATAAGCTGCAATAAGAACATTTGCACATTGCAAATCACGGATACGACAGGATCACATCAGTTTCCGGCTATGCAGCGATTGTCCATCTCCAAGGGCCACGCATTCATTTTGGTCTATTCCGTGTGCTCGAAACAGAGCCTAGAGGAACTGCGACCTATTTGGGCGCTAATCAAGGAGCTAAAGGTGGGCGTCATTATTTGGATTTTGTAGATGGATGATTAATGATATTATTTTTAGAGTGATGTGAACTCCATACCCGTCATGTTGGTGGGGAATAAATGTGACGAAAGCACCGAGCTGCGCGAGGTCTCGCAAATTGAGGGACAGGCACAGGCGACCACTTGGAGCATATCCTTTATGGAGACATCGGCCAAAACCAATCACAATGTGACCGAGCTGTTTCAGGAGCTGCTCAACATGGAAAAAACACGCACCGTCTCCTTGCAGCTAGACACGAAAAAGCAAAAGAAGCAGAAAAAGGAAAAGAAATGCAAGGAGACAAATGGCGCCATACCGGAGAACGGCGAGGCCAGTGCCAGTGGTGCCGGTGTGAAGGAGAAGTGCGGCGTTATGTAACGAGTTGGCAAGCAACATTGGTGACAGACAAATACTCGCATGGGGACAGTGGCAGTACTCGAAATGCATCCCACACACACACACACACACACAGACACACGAACTATGAAAACATATATGCATATACATATACCATATACCACTTCGGGACAGGTGTTATCAGAGAACGGCCGGCATACAAAAAACAAATATATTATTAATTATAGATGAAACTAATAAGACAGCATTATAAGTATATTTTGCATACATAGATTTTATCCGCAACGCCTTCTGATCTAGAAGAATAGAGAAGGCAACCGTCACAACCCCCCCCCCCCCCTCACGACCCCTCACACCCACACAACACAAAGATCACAAAATATATACATACATATATTTACGCATTAATTTCTTTGGATTCTGAAAACTGCATCTGAAACGTAACGGCATACATATCAAATACATAACATACTAACATTACATGCATACATACTCGCACTTACATACTAGATGTGTACATTACACAGATATCATAATGCTATAATATAAACTATACGAATGAATATATACATGCATATGTATGTATATCCCAAATGAAAAGCCAAAGTACCTACTTAAAAGACATACCATTTTATCTACTTACTACTAAAGCTAAATCAAATACAATGTGTATTTACATAAAAATCCATTTTCACTAATAGAGAAGACTCTGCATGGACAAGACAATTCTGAAGCATTTGTGGCATTGAATCGAGTGTCCTTATTAGATATGGATCTGTTTCGTTTGCTGCAATGTCTCCTATCTGACTATCAATCTATTGCTGTAAAACTATTTACCACCAAAAACGTTAAACAAATGAAATAATTGCCACTAACATCACTTATAATGTATAAATAATACTCACACAATCAGACCGACACGAGGATCCCGAGAAAATACACATGCAAATCGCGTGTAATATTTCTTTAAAATTGTTTCCACTTTGAAAGATTTTACAAACAAAAGAATTGTTTATGTACGTAAAATGTATTTGCTTACAATTATTTGCTGAACTTAATTAACATTTAAAGAACAGTGCATAAACAAATTAGCTTTAGTCAAAGATAATGCCACTCGTGAAGATCCGATGTTTAAAGCAGTCGCATTATACAATTTCCGGATCTTCATGCCACGAAACAAGCACAATTTTTGTCGCTCATTCGAAATTGTAGAGTTAGTGCTAATGAAAATAGAAATACATGTACATCGAAGGATATGTGCAAACTGGTATATAAGTTGCCTGTTTTAAACAAAACGAACACAATGTATGTTTAACTTAAAGTCAAAACAGTTCACAAATTGTGGTATTTGCTAAATTTTAATAGTTGGGTTGGCTTATAAGTAGGCGTAGGAGTTACAAGTCTATTAGACGGTTAAATAGTTTCGCGTCGTTTTGCTGTTGTTTGATATTAAAAGGGCATTAGTTTTTTAAATTTTTGTATACCCTATTCAGCTAGGAGGAGAATAATTCCAATTAACTGCTGTTAAACTAATGTAATTTTTTGCCAAATTCGTGGCGAACATGAAACAAGACAAGTAATTATATTAATTATGACTTTGCTCATTTCTTATGCACACAGTAAATACACAATAAAAATGCCACTTGATCGTTGTTTGGCACTAATTTAAATAAATAGTGATCAGCTAATAAAAGAAAACATACACACGCATATAAAAAATATAACATAGTACATACTTATCTACTATATTGTTGAATTTGTGTAGTGAAATTATTAACCAAGATTTTGATAGCGGACCAATTTGCGTATAAGATTTCAGAAATCAATTTAGATAAATTCTCTTAGTTTGCCATAGAAAACAATGCATAAATAGTATATTATATATAATTCTAATGCCAGCCTTAGTTAAATCTTATGTATGGTTAGCATTATCCTGCGTGCACTAGGTTTTTGCTTAGTTTCCCTAGATTTAATTAAGTTTGTTGGGCTCTTGACAGCGAAACTGGTTATGGCTTACATGTACGTGCCGTGTATTGGAGTACAATATAATACAATACATAAAATGGATAATTAGTTGCATAATAATATTAAGGAAATGTAATTTATATGTAATACAGCATCAATATGTATATGTAATATGTAATTCAAAAGTATAATTTAAAATACAACGAATGAATATATTTACACCGAATTATTTTTAATTTTTTTTATGAATATACATTACAATATAATTATTATACACACAACATATTAGTTGTATATTGAGCTAGTTTATTCATGATGAATATTTTATTACTGCTTACATTTCAAATATGCAGCTAACACAGACAGACACACTCAATGCTAATAAGATGTTGTAAATATGAACAAAAAATTCAGCAATTGGCATAATTGGTATATGTATATATACAGGTAATATATACTGATAATATATATACAGTTTTGGAGTGGCCGAAAGCAAAATATATACATGTAATAATAGACAGTTTTGGGAGGCCTATTAATGACACTTAAAAAATCTTATTGTTGGAGATTTAACTTATAATAATTATCGTGCAAAAATTAAATAATTACACGCAAAAATAATTAAAATAAAGAATAATTTAACTACGAAAAATATCAGCTGGTAACAAAATTATCTTTGACTGTAAAAACTTATGCCAATTAATTGGTAAAAAAAAATATATAGATCATCACGAACATTACACATAATACAGCTTAAGAAATATATAGCCAAACATTAAAAACTATCAATATGATCATCATCTTGGTTATCATCAACAACCGTAAAACCAGCTTCATGTGCGATGTCAGCTGAGGAACTACTGTTATTGGGATTATCGTTTGAAATTGGCTTTAAATTTAGTTTGCTTTTAGTTTGTGCTTCTTGTGGCGTTTGTGGGGGTGCTTCCAGTGGTTCCAGCAGCTCTTGGACACCCGACGGGGATATTTGTAGTTGTTGTTGGGATTGCGTTATGCTTGAAGTGCCTATGACATTTAACAGCATCTTAAGGTTTTCACCCGACAATCGATCTTCAGTTGTTTCATTTGCCAAGGCTTGTTGTTGCGTTTTTGTAGTAGATGCAGACGATCTGCTATGCACGAGTCCAATCCACGCCTTGGGGCTTATGACGTATTTGAAGGTTAACTTCAGTAAGTACCCAATCATGCAGACCAGTGCAAATGGAGCAATCAAGTTAAATGGAAATGATAATCCAGCTGCGGAAAAAATCCGTTAGAGTAAAAAAGGTTTATAAGACATTTTTTTAATACTTACTGGTTAAACTCGTCATGGTGTGAGTTGTTTTTTCTAGTATCAGTTCTATTTGTTTGAGGAATATGTCACTCGTATACATAACGAAAACGTGATCTGGTCGACAATAAGGCATATTTAATTTGCTTGATTTTCTGTAATGTGCATCAATTATATGCTTATTTTTAATTCAAAAAGATGAAAATAAATGGTACTAACAAAAGTTTCTGCTTTTGTTGCGCCTCTGGAGACTCGTTGAAAAGATAGCCAAACATACGTGAAAACCATGTTTTTTCAACATCATCCGTGGGCTTCTGATGACTTTCAATTACATCAATCAAAGCCTCAACTTCTAGTTTCTAAATGAAAGCAATCTGAATTCAGTTAAATACGATATATTTGTATTTTGTACGACATACCCTATTGCACTCCAAATAGGTTACAAAGTAGCCATACAGGAAAATGCCGCCAAGAATAATGGCTATGGCTGAAAATCGAAATCGTCTGTGCACAATCCACCCGGTAGTAATTGTGAGCAGCACTGTAAGCATAAATCTCACCTGGCAAGACAAGTTTTTGTTTGTATAGTACATACCAAATAAGTATGTGTATCGAGGCCAATAATGGCAATGCTCACCTCGGATATGTTGAGTAACTGTATAAGATCCTTGAATATGTCCATAACAAGCGCACGCACTCCCATTCCTTGTTGCCTGTAGGAATAGTCGTCGTCAGCCTGATCGGTCGACAGGGGCACATCTCTTGCCTCATCCACTATTTTCGTGAGCATGATATCAAGGTCACGCACATCCTGGACTGTTTCAAGCTCATCGACTTGTGACGGATTTAATGTAAATAGCAGCGATCGTTTAAAAAGTTGCGACGTTTTGCCATACTGAAATGTTGTAAAAAGTTATCTTTACAAACACCGACAATATGACGTCATATGACCATATTTAACAACGAAACGCCCGTGTACTTACCTTCAGTCTTTTGCGACTGAATAAAGTATTGACAAACTTTTTGAAATACGTTAATGCTAATTGATCTTCTATGGTTGCCAGTGATTTCTCTGCTGGCACCTGGGCCTGACATTGGCAGGAGTCTTCCCCTGGGTTATTAAATTGCGCTGATGTCAGTTCCGACCATGCATGTGGTTCAACCCAGTTGTCCTGGTAACAACACACATTGTGGAATAACAATAATAAACAACTAACTATTGCATTTGACTGCATTGTTTTTTTTTTGTTTTTTAATTATCAAAACTATAACAAAATTAAGCAAGAGTTAAACAAAATTAACAAGCCGAACACACATGATCACGATTGCGCGGTTGCAGCATTAGTGTTAAAAAGTGCCAACTTCCACAACTAGTACGGTGATCATATGAGCAAGCCGTTTATTGCTTGAACGAGTTGTTTGGTGCGAAGCAGTTCACGACTAACAATAAATATCGATAATAAATTGTGTCGGTTTTTGTTAAACATATCTTAAACTAATATATTTTATGGTAACACTTAAGTAATTATAAAAAAAAAATAAACCGAAAGGGGATATTATGTATGAATTTACAATAATGCGCTACCAAAAATATATTGAAGCTGCATACACAGCCTAAGCAAGCCTTGCCAGACTGTTTAAAATGAAATATAAACATTGGAAGAATGCTGCCACATTCAGAACAAAAATGACTCACAAGCAGTGTTAAGCTAAATAGTTTAAACAATATTATTATAACTAGCGAACCGCTATAAAAGTGCGAAATGGGCTTATTTGGCAAAACCCCCAGCAAAGACCCCAAAGAGCAGGTGAAACGTCATTCCGTTATGGTCAATCTTTTGCGCGTTAACAAGGCCACTTGGCAAAAAAATGATGTCATGTTCCAATTGTTTTGATTCTCGTTTTCAACATCTGTTTCTCCGCAACCGTAGGTGCAAGAATGGACGCACAAAATACGAAAAGAGGGTAATCAGCTCGATAGGCAGATACGCAGCATACAGCGAGAAGAGGACAAGGTGAAGCGCTCTCTTAAGCAGGCCGCCCAAAAGAACGACCGAGACACCTGTATCATTCTCGCTAAGGAGATAGTGAATGCGCGGAAAGCTATAAATCGTATTTACACATCTAAGGCGCATCTCAGTTCCATACAGATGCAGATGAAAAATCAATTGTGTACGTAAAATCTGCCACTGCAATGGATACATTACCTGACTTATGCTCTCCCGTTTTAGCTACTTTGCGGGTTGCTGGCTCTTTGCAGAAATCCACGGAAGTTATGCAGGCCATGCAGAGTCTTGTGCGATATCCGGAGCTGGCAGGCATTATGCGGGACATGTCAAAGGAAATGATGAAGGCAGGCATTATCGAGGAGATGCTGGATGAGACCATGGACTCGCTGGAAGAGTCTGAGGAGTTGGAGGAGGAGGCAGCAAAGGAGGTTGATAAAGTACTCTGGGAAATTACGGACGGCAAACTGGGAGAGGCTCCATTGCCACCAGAAGCAACGCCAGCAGACAAAACACCAGCAGCTCCGTCCCGAGTTGCGGTCGAGGACGATGACGACGAGGGTGAAGAGCTTGAGGAAATGCAGAGTCGCCTGGCTTCGTTGCGCTCATAAATTAATTTGCAGTAATAGAGCTGTATACGTAAAGCAATGTTTAGATTCGAATTTGGAAAATTTGGCTTGTGATTATTTATCATAGCACCTTGCGCCCCACGAAAATCCAAAATAATACATACTCCGGAACCCGACAGTGAATTATATAAACCAAAATAACAGTGAAAATCTATTAACAATTTTCGTAAGCTTAAGGTATACAATGTATTGGTTCATATTATGTTGAGCTGCACGTGTTTTAACGTTAAATTTAACAACTTTTACATATTATTTATTGCATAATTTAAACTTGTATTAAAAGTAATAGAAGACACCTAAGTTTATGGTTGGATTATAAGCAGGTCTAAGTATAGAGTATTCTACGCAGAACGCAGTTTAATTATCCCATACCTAATATGATATATGGCATATGTCACATGGTCTTTAGAGCAGTCTCACAATATTCGATATTGTAAAGCATAACCTTAGGCTGAACTGTTAAATAAATTTCCCCACAAAAGGAACAAGTCTTGCACACTGTAAATATGATATGACGCTCCTCTACCAGGAACTATAATTATACTTCTTGGGGATTGGCAATAGCTTCTTAGAATTATTAGAAAGGTTATTATTTTTCGGCATGGTCTTACCCTTGACTTCCGCTTGTCTTTAATAACAACTAAATTTAAGCTATTGAAATATTTTCATTGCTCCAGCGTAGACTGAATCCAGTCCACATAAGCCCCAACTCGACTGTATACGCCTGGCCAGCCGTTTAAGCCACATGGCGTGGGCCCAAATGAAACAACGCCTGCCAGAAAATAGTAAGTGTTCACTTTGTTTGTGTCCAGGCCAATAAGCGGGCCGCCAGAGTCGCCGCGACACGAATCTACACCCTCCATGCCGCCGGCGCACATTTGCGTATTCTCGAGCACAATGCTCTGGCGACTATAGACGGACTGGCATTCTTCCAGGGTGAAGCCATCCACAGCGGCCTTTAGCTTCAAATTGCTAGCCGATAACTCTTCTGTTTTACCCCAGCCGGCTACATCCATTGAGATGCCATCGAATGTAGCTGAACGCAGATTCGTGTCCAACGGCAAGCAAATGGGACGCACAAAGTCGGTGTACTCGATTTGGCGTGCCATGCGCAGCAGGGCTATATCGTTCACTTGATTCTTGGAGCCTGGATCATACGAGGGATGTGGTATAGCGCGTTCCACCGGCACATCCATATGCGGTGGCGCGCAGTCCTTCATGCCGCGCACGTCGACTTCACAATCCGGATCGGTGGCAGTGTCCCACTCGCCTAGACGCACGCCGGTTAGACGCCAGTCGGCAGGCAGGGATCTACCATTGACACAATGCGATGCTGTCACCACGTACCGAGTGCTGATCAGTGAGCCACCGCAATGGTGACCTTTGTTGCCGCTGCCTTTAAAAGCGAAAACATTTAACTAGAGGTCTCATATGTGCGGATCAAATACCTTTGGTGTACTCGATCAGCGCCATCCAGGGAAACTCGTCGATCTTTGTCTTGACGCCGCCATAAATGCGATTCGATAGTATATTTCCGCACTGGCCCGGTAGAGGTAATAAGTTTGTGTTCGTCTTATTTGCGGGCGGTCGTGCTGTAGTTGCCGGCGTGCTATCCCGATAACGATCCGGACAGCAAATCTGTAAGTTGTGCAATTGCCCAATTAGTCAAACATTACTTTATCAACAATTTTACAACTTACCAGAACCTTCTGATTAAAATAGCCACACTGGCTGCGGCTAAGATATAGTTTGTCGGCGTCCCGCAGGGGTGTCGTTGTCAGTACTCCATATAGATACTTGCAATCCTCGAGATGGATGCAGAGCGCACGCTCCCGGTTGGGCGTAATGCAGCGGCCATAGTTGGGCACTTGGTTAGCCTCATTGGGAAAATAAAATTCTGCGTTGAAATCAAAAACAAATAATCAAAAAAATTGTATAATCGTATCGTAAGAATGTATTGAGTATTTAAATTAATAACTTTTATTTACTATCGGCTATAGAAACTGGTTTTTGAATAGCTAATCTTGCGAGAGATGTGAAGGCCCCCATATATACATACATACAAACACGCCTATTTATGTGCATAATTCATTATTCTTCGCGCTTCCATAACGATTCTATAAACTTTCCTTTTGCTTGTCTATTTATTCATATATTTTACTTACGCGCATTTGCCAAATTTACACTAAAAACCAAAATCGCACAGGCTGTAATTATTTGAAGCATCTTTACATTCGGTTAAAACGTCGTCAATTATTTTGCAATGTATGTATGTTGTTTTTCTTTTTAAATATCTTTCATAAGTACACGCCGCAATTAAGTAAATATGATGACTAAAACGGAATCTCGGCAAAACTCCAATCAGCCGTTAATTACAGTTGGAGAGGTCAGAGCAAGGCTTGGCGCACGACTGAGACGCGGCAGGCAATGAGCACAGCTTAACAGAGAACTTTGCCGAGCTTTGGCTTGAGCTTTTTGTTGTTGTTTTCTTGTCTGCTTTGAATATTAAGTGATAACAACATTCAGCTTAGATTCTGCAAGTATTTTAATATCTTTATTTTATTTATATTTTTAGTATTTTTTTTTGTATAGGAATAATACACAACGGTGTTAGTTCTACATATGTAGATATTTGGCTTTGGCGTCGAAAAGCTTTGGATAAAGTCGTGCCCCACGCAACTCTCCCGTTCATGTATTCAGCATTGACTTTGGAGATTCGCTATTGATGCTATCGAAAATCCAGTTCATGTAAGAGCTGACAGCCGTATAAACGCCCGGTACGGTGGTAACGCCGCATAGAGTTGGTCCAAAGGCGACAATCCCTAGCAGCGTATAACGCCCATCGGCGTTGAGTATGCCGGATGTGCCATCGTCCATGAAGGGACCGCCACTGTCGCCGCGACAAACATCGTTCATGGGCTGGCCCTGGGCGCACAGATGGCTCGGCGTGATGACAATCGGCTGCTGGAAGTTCTCGCTGAGCGTGGCATAGGTAATTGCGCAACTGGTCGTATTGACTATGGGCAATCTTATGAACCTCACAGAGGCTGTGCTGGCTGGGCTGCTCGAAGTATTATCTGTAACGGAGTAGGCGAATTAATCAGTATATACATATGTCGTCTGCTAACTGTTTTCATTCTATTCCGTTTATTTAATATTTTAACAACATACTCTCCATTTTTGTGCTCCAACCAGCCACCACGCCCATTTGCCCGATCAATCTATCTGCGAGAGCTGCTGTGCTGTTCAGAGGTAAGCATATTGGTGTGAAATTACCTGGAAAAACTCTAGAATGTACCGATTCTATATGTCGGCTGGGGGCGTGTGAAATCTTAGCTTACTCAGGCTATTGTTTAGGCTCAGCAGGGCAATATCATTCGCATATTTTGGTTGATCGTAGTTCGGATGCACCAGCACGCTTACAATATCAAATATATTTGGCCGACTGCAATTGGCTGCGTTTGGGCTGCAGTCCTGCGCGCCGGATACATCATCGCCGATACGCACCTGAAATCTTTAAATGGGTTTTGAAGGGGTGGGGCATAAAAATAAAGATTAAAGCTCGTGTTTGCTTGAAAGGCTAAAAATCAATTTACGATATTTATCTTTTTTTAGTAGAAAGTATAAAATGTATATTGCATTTCGAAAAATATTGAACAATTAGTTTCACTTACATCTGCAGATCGCTCACCAAGTTGACAACGCAGTGAGCGGCGGTGACAACATAATTATCGGAAATGAGGGAGCCCGAGCAGCGATAGCTGATGCGATTGTTGGCTGTGAACAGAATTGACAAAATAAATTAATCAATTACTTTTAATATTATTGCAGAGCTAGCAAAATGAGTAAAGGATGCCCCTGTAAAAGTGCGTCCGACTTAAGTACTAGTTGCGCTTACTGTCCTCCGGGCAAGGTTCCATATGTTCAGAATGATATTGGGAGCCAAGATCAAACCTATGGCGATTCTGGAAGCTATCAAAATTACAATCAATACAACAACCCTCCCTATAATAATAATAATCAATATAATAATCAATATCCATACAATAATCAATATAATAATGGCCAAAATAATAATTATCCATATAACAATCAAAACAATAACTATCCATATCCGTATAATAACAATCAATATCCTGACAATCAATATAACTACAGCCCGTATGGGCCAGCTAGCGAGTATTCCTATGGAAGCAACAAGGGGGGCCAGTTTACAGACGAGCCGCAAGGATTTGAACTTAGCGAAGGCGCGGTTTCACTTCTCAAGGCAGTTGCTGTTTTCTGCACTGGTTGTTTTCTCACCATGAAGATGACTGGTGTGGCAAACGAGCTGGGATAAACTGTTTTTTAAACTGTTTTGTTTTGTTTTGTGCCTAAATGTATTCTAATCCAAGGACGAGGACCATCTCCGAAAATACCACACACACTTACGAATTTATACACAAATTTCAATTGGATGTCATTAAAAATTGTTGCGTTTAAAATTGTGCTACTCACTGCGATTGCGGTAGGCGATTCGGGCGAACCACGGATATTGTCCGGGGGCAACCTCGTCACCTCCCAAGAGACGTGTGCTCACACTTATCCCACAATTGGGTGAGTTCATGCGCGCAGCCGGCGGCAATGTGGCCGTAGGCGTGGACATGGGCGTCAATGTTGTGGTGGGTGCTGTGTCACGTATAACCTGTTCCTGGCTTGCATCGGCCATTAGCTCGCCTTGTCCTCTTATCTCGATCGATTCCTGAAAACGCAAATCGCCAGGAAACACAATCGGTTTATCTGCAGGCTTTGGACGCGGCGCTTTCTCCATGGGCTCAATCTCGTGATCAATGTGGTATTGAAAGTGATGACCGCTGCCAAATCCAAACGGATGATCATCATAATCATCTTCAATTGGCTGGGGACAGTTGCGTTGCGCCTCGAAATCCCGATAGTCATGCAAACGCATTTCGGTCTCGTGTGCCACAAATCGATTGAAGCTATAGTTGAATCTGGGATTGCGCTTTGAGCCACTCGAGCTGTCCCAGACCCAGCGATCATTGGGCGCAAATCGCGAACTGCGACTGGTATGCGGAGATGCCGCCTGTTGCTGCGGACAGCAAGCGAGCGGATCGAGACCATGAAAACCACAGCCGGCTGAATGAACCATGGCGAACACAGACGCGCGCTCCTCTGGATTGTGACTGAGCAAAAGTCGACGAAAGGGCACGCAGTCCTTAATGCGTATGCAATGACAGACACTGGCGGGACAAACGTCTGCAAAAACGGGATTTGGTAACAAGTGAGCGCACGTGCAAAAAAAATAATCAAAAAAAATGTTTAAACAAAAATCAACCAAATAGCCAAGGTCAATATCTGCAAACCAGAAGTGCCCAAACCGCCAAGACTTGAGCCCAAACAAAAGTCCGGTTCAGCAATTACTGAGTCACTTTTGCCATCGTTTTCGTAATTATATTGTAGTAGTTTATTGCCCTTCGCTTTGCGGCTCGAAGCATGATGTTAGCATATTTGCTTGGGGAATTTCTAGACATTGACCTTGACCCAGTGCCGATTTGCGCCAAAGATGACGTCTGTTCTTTTGCTTTCAATTTGATATGTAATATACTAATTGTTCCCATCTCTGCGTTACTCAAGTTTGTTGTTTAAGTCGTTGGTTTTGTACTCACATTGAAAGCACAATGTGCTAATAACTGTAATGCATATTAACTTCAGCAACAACAAATGCATTTTGAGCTTTCGTTAAACCAGCTGCTTCAATTGATCCCGCACACACACACTCATACACACACACACTCGCGCACTCTTTAACTTGCGCACAATTCTTAACTGATCATTGAATGCCCGACGCGAACACAACATTTGTCGTCGAGGTGCGAAATAAAATTGAAATAAATTGGTTCAATATCTGAGTATATCTTATTTCCATTTCCATTTCGACGGCGGAGCGCTGCTTTGTTGTTTTTGCCTTTTTAATTTTTTTTATTATCAACAGCGAATCAAAACAAAGAGGGAGCACAAAAACAAATTATATGCCCCAAAAGCTGAGCTTATGAAATAGCAACCACTACACATGTATGCAAAGAAACACACACACACACACAGACACGTCTTATTGTAGGCCGATCTGGGCAAGGCAAAGCCAACGAGCGATCATAACTGGCCCGACATCCGAGTGGCACTGGCACCTCGTGCGTAAGTCAAAGTGCCGGCAACGCAATGTGTTGCTACACACATGCACACACACACACACACACACAAAAGAAAACATGTTTTTAAATACTGCGATGGCCCATTCTCAGCCCAGAGAGCGAAAACCTTTTAGATCCTTAAAAAGACGTTACATAGTTGCACTCAATTATGTTTGTAAATATATTTTGATCATATGTTGTACTTAAAATATTACTAACATATTTAGTAAGTCTGCTTAACGTTAATACAAATGCACATGACATGAAATGAACTTTAGCTTAAAATATGTATAAATTCTAACTTTCTAGAAATGTGTATATATGGAATGTATTGATTCTGATGGCGTACAATGCTATGCGTATGTGGTGCCCAACTGCTCCAATAAGCCTTCTTTTATTTCGCTCGCTTGCTCTCATAACAAGCGCCACAAGCAGCCGTGTATCTATGCCACCGGGACTACCTCTGGCGCGGCAGCAACAGAGACAATGACACTGGCTGAAACGTTATTCTCGACCTGTTCTACAGGTTCGATGCTCGGTTGCGACTGCTGTAACTGCTGCGACTGCGACTGCTCTGTTGGGGACGTATTCACCGCAATCGTTGTCACTGCAGCCGACGACGCATAAATGCCATTTGTATCAGCATTGCAATCATTGCCAGCGAGCTGGTCGTCATCATCATCAACTGGCGTTTCTTGACGCAATACCGCTGCTAAATGGTTATCATTAACTGTCTCCAAAGTCTGGTCAATAACATCGTTAACTGCAGCTGCTGCTGCTGCGACTGGCGCTGTCAGTGTTTCCATTGTAGTTGGCAATGTTTCTGGGTCTACCGTCGTTTGCTCCAATTCAGTGTGCCCGTTGCCGCTAGTTCCATTTACATTTAAAAGAACAGATACGTCACCATTGTGCATAGAATGTGGTGTTTTCAGTTCATTGAGGATTTTCTCTCCCACTTTTGGGTCCATTTCGTTGATTTTCTCTTGCAGTTGAGATTTGAATTCAATCGGCCATTTGGGACTCCATTGACGAAAAAGTTTAATCTGTTACAAAAATAATTTCAAGTTAGTAAATTCAATTTTATAACTAAGATTTTTTTAATAGTTACGCGGCATTGAAAAAGACTCATGGGCTTTTCCTGGACACTTGACGTGGCCAGGGAATTGACGACGCCATTTACATAGGTACTACCACCACGTCCATCTTCGCCTGCGTTATCAGACGTGTCTCTTGAGAGATACTCCACCATCACATAGACGAAATCATCGCGTTGCAGCTCGCTCCATTCGTTAAACCATTGAATAATATAACGGAACTCGCCGTCTACTGATAAATTGCTCATAGACATTTTTGCTTATTTTTGTGATGCCCACTTTCTCACACTGAAACACGCCCGCACAAGCACTTTTAAATGGTCAATTTGCAGTTGAATTTGTGAGCGCGACTGATGTTTACTGAAATTCTGGTTGTAGTTAACTGATCCTAGGTTCTGGTTGTGTGTCGCAATGCTGCTATTCGCCTGATAGTTTCTATACTCACAACAACCCGTTTCTAACTTTTCTCACCGCTTGATTACAAAGCCCAGCTCATAACAGCTGTTGCGGCCTATGGAGCATATCGATAATCTGATATGCAGCGTTGTGCAGCACCTGCATCTGTTCTAAAGAACAGATTAACATATGAACAAATATAATGAACGCAGTGCCCTAGCATTATTTTTATACATTGCCAACTTAAAATTATAACTGCGACATGTCACTTAAATACACCGTTATGCTACACTTATATATAATTATTATATCTTCGAATTGAGAAAAGTCATCTGAGTTTTAAAATTTAAGTATATCGATAAGTTGCGCCTACCCGCTTGTTGCACAGCACTAATCATTTTGGCGTTTCTCAACTCTTGAAAATTTGCAGACAGTAAATAATATTAGAGAACAACTAGGCAGAAAAAATCATCAATTAAAACAAAATATGTCGTCGTCAGAACTGGAAATCCAACAAAAATTTTCGGATAACCAGCAGGAACAAGTGCCCAATGCAGAGATTAATGCCATCAAACATGATTCAGCGCCGGAAGGAGGTCAACAAGATTTTGCCGCGGCCGAGCAGTACAAAAATAAAGGAAATGATTTGCTCAAAAGTAAGTTGTCATTCATCACATACACGGGAAACTAGATATTATGACATAGTCGGTAAAGCACATGAAACCCACTAAGAAATTGTATGCAACTCCAGAGCGTCCCGTGTTGTCTGTAAGCTGTATTCGACCTAACCTTAAAAGCAATTTACAGGCAGTTGCTCTATGGGCAAATTTGTGTAATTCTTGTGTGCTGTTTAAAGGGCAGCTAAAATGCTTCAAGCTGAAAGTTAATGTTCAATATGTAACTATGACTCATTTCGTCACTTTGCAGCCAAGGAATTCTCGAAAGCCATTGACATGTATTCCAAAGCCATAGAACTATACCCCAACAGTGCAATCTACTATGCCAATCGGGCGCTGGCGCATTTACGTCAGGAAAGCTTTGGTTTGGCTCTGCAGGATGGCGTTTCAGCAGTTAAAACGGATCCCAGCTACTTGAAAGGTTACTATCGACGTGCGGCGGCGCACATGTCCCTGGGCAAGTTCAAACAGGCCCTTTCTGATTTTGAATATGTAAGTGCAGTTATTATATAGAGAACCTGTTACGCATGATATTTGATAAGCTATCTTTCTAGGTGGCCAAATGCAGGCCCAATGATAAGGACGCAAAATTAAAATTTACCGAGTGCAGTAAAATTGTTAAAATGCGCGCATTTGAGCGTGCTATCGCTGTAGATAAGCCTGAGAAGACTCTCTCGGAGATGTATAGCGACATGGAGAACATTAGTAAGTAATCGATTGATCATCCACGCGTTGAAAAACCTATTTTCCCAAGGGGTATATTCTATGTATTTTTTTTTTTTTAATTTAGCCATTGAGGATGATTATAAGGGACCTCAACTGGAGGATGACAAGGTTACTTTACAATTTATGAAAGACCTTATGGAACACTATAAGGCACAAAAGAGACTGCACCGCAAGTTCGCCTATAAGGTATTGAATGTTTTTTTCAACCGCAATTGAACTTCAATTTCGTGTGACAATATATTTAACATACGTATGATTACAGATACTCCGTAACATTGATGAGTACATGCGTGAACAACCATCCCTAGTGGATATTAATGTTCCAGATGACGAGAAGTTCACAATTTGTGGAGATATACATGGCCAGTTTTATGATTTGATGAATATTTTTGATATAAACGGGCTACCCTCAGAAAAGAATCCGTATCTATTTAATGGAGATTTCGTGGATAGAGGTTCATTCTCTGTAGAATGCATATTTACGCTCTTCGGGTTCAAGTTGCTGTATCCCAATCATTTCTTCTTGTCTCGCGGTAAGTTACAATTTGTAATACCAATCATTAAGATCAAAACTCATTTAATATTGTTTATAGGCAATCACGAAAGCATTAACATGAATCAAATGTACGGATTCACGGGCGAAGTGACTGCCAAGTATAACAACACAATGGCGAATATATTTACGCAAGTATTCAACTGGCTGCCATTATGCCATTGCATAAATCAAAAGATTCTGGTTATGCATGGGGGCCTCTTCTCATCAGACAATGTTACATTGGATAACATAAGACGCATTGAACGCAACTGCCAGCCACCAGAGGAGGGACTCATGTGCGAGCTGCTCTGGTCCGATCCGCAGCAATGGATGGGGCGTGGACCATCCAAGCGCGGCGTGGGCATACAGTTTGGTCCGGACGTAACTGAAGCATTCTGTAACCTGAACAAGTTGGACTATATCATTCGCAGTCACGAGGTCAAAGATATGGGCTATGAGGTGGCCCACAATGGTCAATGCATAACTGTCTTCTCAGCGCCAAACTATTGGTAAGTACCACAAGTCTTAAGCTATCAAAGCCAAACAAATTGTAAACGTTTATTTATAGTGATACTATGGGCAACATGGGCGCATTTATAACAATTACTGGTAACAATTTAAAACCAAATTACAGATCCTTTGAGGCTGTCGTAAGTATTATTGCTACAAACCTATCTAATGTGTGCGCTAATTATAATATTGCACATTTTATTCACAGCCACATCCTGATGTCAAGCCTATGGCATATGCCAATAGTCTAATGAACTGGCTAGCGTAGTCATAGCAGCATGCTTCCTATGCATAACAATAGCTAAGAACACCATAAACTCCAGCACCCCTGCCCACGCTTAAGAACCCACAACCGCATAAGAACGAACAAAAACACATATTCAAAAATGCTCATATGACCTTTATGCACACAGCTTGCTAGTTACTCTAAGATATAAGTCAGAGTAAAGAACATAGTTGTGGTATATAGGGTTGAGGGCAGCAGAAAAGCAATCAATTCACAACAAATTCAGCTATATTTGATACAAAAACGTTGCATACAAGAATGATTATATAAAAATGGCTTTAGAAGTCAGATGCTAAGTTTTATTGGTGCTAAGCATCTGAGTATTCACTGTACAGTGTTTGTGCGATTTAAAAAAGAAAAAAAAAAAAACTTAAAACGTAAACAGTGAGCAAATTTATTATGTTTATGCATAGCATTTAGAAATTGGCAATAACGTGAGAAAACCATACTCCACAGCAAGCCCCTACCTTAAATTTTACTTCCAAAGGCTACAATTCTGTATAAATTAAATTTTTTGTTCAATCCTTGTTTATATAAACTTACACAAGTCATTTTAATAAAAAACAAAAACTATCCAATCGATAATCAATTTTAGCTTAAGCATTGATCAAACAAAGCGAACCATGTGCTTTGACAATTGAAAACAATAGAAATAGCAAAAGTCTAGAATGTAAAACAATGTAAAGTAATTGTTATAAAGACTCTAAACTTATATTAGTCAAGATTAGGTTCGAGTGGCGCTTCTAGGCGAAAGCCTAAGCTGTGAAAAATTCGGTCGATACTAGCTTTGTAGTCCTTGAGATGAGCACGTTGTAGCAGCGTCACATACACAAATGGTCCGTTGTAGGTAGCTAGGTTCTCATAGAATTCCACAGCCAGCGCTTGCATTTCTTTAGGTTGCGCCTGAGACAAATACAATACAACAATGCTAAGCAGATCATGAAGATGTTTGCCCTCAAGCTGCAGGCTGCGTATAAATGATGCCAGATGCCGCAGCAACTGTAACTGCAGCTTATATTCCTGGGTGGCCGCTCGTAAAGTTTCCGTGCTACTGTGGTGACTGGCCTCCTTCAAAAACTGCTTAAGCTGAGGTATCACATCGCTAAGACTGCGCTTTAAGATAAAATCTTTAGCATGCAGGACGAGAATGTGCAATAAGCTGAAACAGCGGCTTAGCACTATCGAGTCTTTCTGTCGAAATTTTTCGACCAGCGGCTGCCATAACAGATGGACTAGAGGCAGCAGCTCGTCCTCATAGTCGGCGAGCAGTGGCACACCAGTAATAAGGCATTCCAGTGCAAGAATTTGCTGTGCTTGCTCAGACTTTGAAAGAAACTTGATAGACTGACTTATAATCTCCTTGACAATTTCAATGTGTCGCGGCAGAATGGGCTTTGAAGGCGGCTCCGCTGAGGGATCCTCAATTTCTGCTTCGTGCATATTTATGTCTGGTTCTTCATTTGGCGCACTATTTAAATCAACAGGAGTGTCAGTTGACTGCTTATTGAGCACATTTAGCCAAGTGTTTAGAATACTCTGCTCCTCATCCACATGCATTTGAATGTCGGCGATCTCTGCCGCAGTAGCACTTTGCCAGCTGACCGCATGCCTCAGGAATGCATTGAAGACGCGCAAATATGAATGTATATTGTCCGTCTGATGTGACTTGGCGCATTCCTCGCATATTGTTTGGAAAATACTTTCCAAATGGGGCACATTCCCTCGCGTGCTGTACTGCAAAACAACTGAGAGTATATCTACGGCTTCACTGCTCTCGGGTGACTGCAATGGAAGATTTCCAAGTTGGGATTGTGGCTTCTGTGACCGGACATATTGCACTTACCTTTTTTAGCAACGCATTGAGATGAAAGGTTAGGTAGTCAGTGGAGCATTCTATGAAATGTGAGGGTGCTGCATATTTCAAGGCCAGCTGCATTGAAACGAATGCAAATGTAGCTGCTTCATGGACCATGGTGTTACTGCTGGCTGTATTAAAGGGTTGGCATGTACGATTACATATTAATGCATTGATATAATATTACTTACCCAACTTTAGCAGCACTTTGTGCAAGCTGCGAAATATATGACGATCAAACGTATCGCCAATAAATTTAGCACAATGCCCCAGGGCATCCAAAACCAGGCAAGTATGCAGCACATTGAACTGTGCATCCGCAATGGTCACGCGACTATTGACTGGCTCGCTCTCATCATCCGAATCACAATTCTGCGTGCGAACCTCTATAGCGGACGAGTAGAGACCAGGCGTGTGATCTTTAAACCAGGAGGAAGGCTGCGTAGTTTTATAACTTAAATAATTTATTAAGTAGCGTTCGCGCAAAATGCTTACCTTGTTGACCTTAAGTCGCCAGGCTGCATCCGGCTGAAGTGCCAAATGCCAGTGTTCTTCGGCAAGTAGTTGATCCACAAAAAGTTGTGCCAGCAATAAACGGCTTGCGCGCGCTTCTCTTTGCTGCGGCGTTATCATAAGCGTCATTAACAAGATCGACTCATTCATGGCTGAGCTGCGTCGTTCAATCAAATCCTGGCAAAAGTCAAAGATTAGGCGATTTAAAGACGGCTCAACGCCCAATAATGCAGCAATGTCATAAAGAACATCTAAGCAGCGTTTGGAGTTGAGATACTTGAACCGGCGCCAAGACAATGTGGAACACTGAGCCGCCAGTTCCTTAGCACTGCCCTCTTGGAGACGCCGTAGCGAGTATTCCTCATTAAGCAATTCCCGCGATGTATGCTGATCAAGCGCAGTCAGCAGACACATGACAAACAACTCCAAATTCTTTGGTAACAGCAGCATCAGCTGTAACTTATCAGCGCTGAGATTCCGCAAGAATCCCTTGAAAAAAAGCAGTTCCGATAACTGTTCGCTGTCATCACAGCGCTGTAGAATGCGTGGCCATTTGTTAAGATGCGCATCCAGAAGCATTTCTGCATTCTCGTCAAAGATGCTTGCACAGCTCAGCAGCTGCTGCAGCTGCACTAGGGTCTCACGGCACATTTTCGCTATATTCTTCTCCTCATCCTCCGACAATGCTAAAACACTCTCCAGCAAATGTATAAAATTATGTTTCAAGTTGTGCGTGCAATTCTTCAAGAGTAAACAGCACATTTCCGCATACATTTGACGCACTGCAACAGAACTGTGGGCGCGCAAAATACTCGTTTCGACGAAGATGATGCGCATATGTTTTAATGTGGTTGATACCCACTCTGCAGAGCGTGGACCAGCTTGGAGCTTCTTCAGGCGCTCGAATATGTTAACTTCATTCCGCAGCTCATTGCTCTCATCTTTGGGGATGCTAAAGAGTGATTGGAATGCATTCGCGTCGTAGCGTGCTTTGATAAGCTCCTCTGTGGTTCCCTCAAACATGACACAGGTGATGCGGCCCAGGGCCTTAATGCCCAACTAAAATATTTTTTAAAATCTTCCATTAGCAAGTTTGAATTGTAATTTCCTAGCACTTACGGATTTGGTTGATTCGCCAACCTTATCATCCGCCATCGCTGTTTTAAAGAGCACAGTAACGATTTTGGGTAGGAATATGAATATGGTGTTGGCTATCTGGTTGCGCAAAACCACATCGCCAGCATCGGCATCATCGTGCACATAGAAGACTACCATTAAGGCCTCCAGCGATGAATTGACCAACTTGCGATACCTTTCCTTTGAGATAAACTCAATCAACGTGAGTAAAATTTGGCCTAAGAGCACGACAGTCTCGTTTCCATAAAATGTTTCAAGCACATCGCTTGTGGAACGTTGCAGGGCCACAGTTATGCAGAGTACTGCCGCCAATTTGATTTCCTCGGAGAGATCGGGATGCATTGCAATGCCATTGCGATCACGGACCTGCTGCAAGACCACCACTAGAATGGAGCGTAAGGCTTTCTCCTCCGTCAAATAGAGCTTGGATATAATGTGTCGCAAGCAATCCAACAAGCTTGTTCGTAGTTCCTGACTTTCCCTGCACAGGACACATATGTAGTTGGGAAAACTCACATTTGTCTTTCTACTTACCCTGTAAGTTCGCCCAGTTTAATCACAAGCGGGACTACAATTTGTATTTGAAATATGCGTATTTGTCCAAAGTCAAATCCCATGACTTCTTTTTCTACTTCCGACAAGTTGGCTTTATTGGGCTGCTTTATGAAATTTTCTATGGCGGGCCTAATACGCGTTACATACGTCTCCACCGAGGACATTTTGGCCATAATTCATATATTTAAATAAACATATACTATGGCCAAAAAACAAACTGAAAATGTGTTAAGCAAGCCTAGAGTCGATCAACAGCTGGTTTTTCTGCTGAGTGCCAGTCACATGTTTACGTATGCGAAAAAGCCGTTAAATTAAAAAAGACATTTCGCGCCATTGAATGTAAAAAATGAAGTAGTTTTGCATTACGATGCATTTAATGGAAACAACTCAGTTTTTTTTTATAATAATTTTTGTATTAAGGATTTAATTATAAAATTCGTGCTGAGCCTCATCTTTGCGCACGCTTGTCTTGTAGCCTTTTTCAAAGTCCTTAGCGTGTGCGATATAACGATTTTCACGAACTGCATGCATTCCAGCTTCCTGGCAAATCGCGTTGATGTCAGCATTCGAAATTCTGTCCGGGCGAGCAATAAGCTCCTCTAGATCAACGTCTTCGGCAAGATTCATTTTGGCAGTTATGGTGGTGAAAACCAAACGCTTTTGACGGCGATCCGGCAACGGGAACTCGATCTTACGATCCAAGCGTCCAGGACGCAGAAGAGCCGGATCTAAGGTATCAGCGCGATTAGTAGCCATAATAACCTTAATGTTGGTTGTTTCATCGAATCCATCCATTTGATTCAAAAGCTCCAGCAAAATGCGCTGAACCTCACGATCGGCGCCTGTCTGAGCGTCAAAGCGTTTAGTTGCAATAGCATCAATTTCATCAATGAATATGACCGATGGAGCATTCTGCTTGGCCAGGCGGAACAGATCACGCACCATACGTGGTCCCTCGCCCAAGTACTTCTGCACAAACTCCGAGCCGACGACGCGAATGAAAGCGGCTGTTGTCTGATTAGCAACTGCTTTGGCCAACATAGTCTTACCGCAACCAGGAGGGCCATAGAGTAGTACCCCGCGAGGTGGGTCAATGCCTGGAGAGATAGATGTTTATTTAATCCGTTAAGTACACGTTAAATACTTACCAATTTGCTTATACAAATGAGCGTGTGTCAACGGCAACTCGACAGCCTCGCGTATTTCTTGCTTTTGCATATCAAGCCCTCCGATATCCGAATAGCTTACGTCAGGTTTCTCTTCCGGTGACAGCATTGATATGGTGCTATCTGCCTCCGGTGGTACCAAATCTACCAAACAGTTGCTCTGTTTATGCAATGCCACAGAAGCCGACGGCTTAAGCTGCTCTCTGTCAATTGTGGACAGCACGCGTACATAGTAGTTTGAGCCTGTGGTTGAGGCAACAATTCCGGTGTTCTCGTCAACGGCCTCTAAAAATTGACCAATAACCAGGGGCACCGCCTTGGCTCGCTTAACCTCTTCTTGAGCATGTAGGTACTCCTTTTTCAGATTGCGCTGCTCCTCCTTTATGTAGTCTTCCTGAACTTGTAGCAATTCCAGCTGCAGCTGTAATTTCTTATACACCACATAGCAGTCACTCTCATCTAAGATTTTTGGCTCAACGTTTTCCATATTCTCGTCTTTGGACACTAACATTTTTTCTATTTTCCGTGTTTGACAGAAGGCCGGCCGATGAGAATGACTTGAAATTTCAAATTGTATAAACAAAAGTGTTGTAAAGAGTTGTCAACGTTTGCCATTCACGTCGATTGCAGTCGTGTGATTGCGTGAGTCACGAGCAGCTGTTAGTGAGACCTGTTGTTGCTTTTGTTGTTATGTTCTTGTTGTTGGGTTCAACGTGGAACGGTTCTATTTTTAAATCAAATTTCGACTTTATTTTGGAAATGTAAATTCTGCTCCACAGAAAAACAAATACACATTGTATGTCTGGGTAATTGGACACACTTGGCAATGCTGAAAATTAAATAGCCTTTGATAAAAAGTACAAACATTGTTGACGCCGGCCGGGTTATTTGATGGTAAAAATACGTCACCAGTGAAATATACGTGAATTTACCAAAATACGTAGAATTTGGTGACAAAGCAATTATGGCAATTATGTAATATGCCAATTTGATATCCAGCCTAGCGGCAATATATATTTTGAATTCGTTTGCTTCGCCTGCAACTGTGAAAAATGGACAAGTTGGTGTTCCTGACGGCCGCGGCCCACCTCTTTTATACACCCTTCACTAAGGTCGAGGAGAGCTTCAATCTGCAGGCCATGCATGATATATTATATTTGCGCAATAATTTCACGCAATATGATCATCATGAATATCCAGGAGTTGTGCCACGCACATTCATAGGACCGCTCATCATATCAATATTGTCTGCGCCGTTTGTGCTACTCTTCGAGTCGCTGAACATCAATAAATTCTGGGCACAATATGTAGGTAAAAGACACTTGTAAATGAACTCTGCCTGCCCGATTCTAATGCTAACATATCATTCACAGTGCGCCTTGTCTTAGCTGCATCGATTTCATTTGCTTGGAATAACTTGCGTCGGGCTGTAACAAAGATTTATGGCGTCGAAGTTCGTCTGTGGTTTACGGCAATAACCATATCTCAATTTCACTATATTTTCTACATGACGCGTCCTCTGCCGAACGTCTTCGCACTGCCATTTGGTTTGTAGTTCCATCATTATATATAATTATTATTTTAATTTCGACTGATTTTAGTGCTCTATGCAATTGCTTATTGGATGCGTGGCCAAACTAAGCCCTTTATCATCTGCTCAGGCATTTCTATAATTGTATTTCGCTCTGAGTTGGCAATTTTTTTGGGCTTACTGCTTGCTTTGGACTTATTGCAGCAAAAGTTGACTATTGATGGGTATGGCTACTATATATGTATATCCTGTGTCTCTGTTTAATATTTGACCTTTCCCCACAGTTTGCTAAAGATTGCTTTGCCAGCTGGTGTGTGTATTTTGGCAAGCACAGTGTTGGTGGATTCGTTCTTTTGGCGTCGCCTACTGTGGCCCGAGGGTGAAGTGCTGTGGTACAATACGATACTTAACAAGAGCTCCAACTGGGGCACATCACCATTTTTGTGGTACTTTTACTCTGCTCTACCTCGTGCTATGGGCGCCTCGTTGGCCTTTGTGCCTATTGGCATTTACTTTGAGAGGCGTCTAAGGCCCTTGGCTCTTTCTGCAGTGGCGTTTGTTTTGTTGTATTCAATACTGCCCCACAAGGAGCTTCGCTTCATAATATATGTGTTTCCTGTTTTAAATATTGCAGCAGCGTGCGGTTGCGAACGCTTGTAAGTTCACATATTTTAAGTTTTTTGTCCAGATTGAAATGTCTATTTTATTTGAAAGGTGGATGAACAGGGCCAAATCGGCTTGGCACAGCTTTCTGGCGATCCTTGCAGTCGCACATTTGCTATTCAACATGGTCATAACCATATTCCTGCTTGTTGTTTCGGGCACTAACTATCCAGGTGGAGCAGCGCTTTCTCGATTACATCGCCTGGAGGTGGCCAATCCAAATGTTTCGGTGCACATTGCAAACTTAGCTGCGCAGAGCGGCGTATCGCGTTTTATGGAAATAAAAAGTAATTGGATCTACAGTAAGGATGAAACGATGAACTATACTCAAGCCGAAATTGCGAACTACAGTCACTTGTTGGTGGAAGCGAAAAATAAGAACAACGCGGAGCTGTGGGCAACGCTGCAGGACGATTTTGAAACATTAGAGTTTATTGATTGCTTCAATAGCATCGGCATACAATACAACTCCATCTTGCCAGTACGAATCAAGACTAAGCCGTGCATAGGCATTCTGAAGAAGCGATTGCATGTTGAGAAGGCTCCTGGACATCAAAGGAAGACAGCAAAGGATAAGAACTTAAAAGAAAATCCAAAAAATATACGCAAGAAAGACAAAATTGAAGCAGACAATTCTAAGCAAAATCAAGACGAAACTAAATTTGTTATTAAAGACCCTGAGCCGATTGAGATTTCTGAGCAAATGGCCAGTTTAGAGGACGATTACGACGATGGAATCGTAGCTACTGTGGAGGAAACATCATTGGAACAGAATGCAGATGGAGTTGAAGCAACAAAAGAAATCAATTTTCAGGAGTTGCGAAATCTTGCCTTAGATCATACAACACGTAAATCACGTGCTGCTACTAAACTCAAAATACGAAAAATAATTGAACAGCACTATAGGTCCAAGGGAAGACCTATCGAAAACGATTCTGCGGAACAGCATAAAACGACAGGAGCGCGCACTGGAATGCGTCAATCGGTAAAGTCAATTATTAAGCAAGAGAAGATCAAAGAGATGATTGAGCAGATCGCTACCATGGATCTGACACGCATCTGCGACTTGGAAACGACATCGACAAAGGAGTGTTTGAAGCAGGTTATTGATAAGATTGACGATGGAAGCATAAAAGCAAATTGACAAAAATATATTTACCCTTTTGAGTCTGGCCTTATTAGTAAAGCGTAAATGATTATTTATAATAAAGATATTACTAAAGTTAAATTCAATGGAAATGTAAATTTTATTCGCACTGAATGAAATGCTGCAGTCTTAACAATGTAAATTGCGGAAACGGTTGTGACATCAAAATGTTTAAATTTTTTTCTAATATATACCATACAGTAACATTACCTCATGTTGAGCTTCATCAACGTGTACTAAATATCTGATAAGCGTGTATATTATAAGCATTGAATGGCTGCTTAAGTTAATCCGAGTGTAGGCAGCCATCATTAAACAATTAGTAGCTCAGGCTAATATATAGCCGAACCATAGATATATATCGCCAAGCGTACCCACGAGGCAGAGCACAAGGGTGAGTCGATATAGAATGTTGTCCATGCCTCCACCCTTGAGGAACACGGGCTTCCCGTCGTTTTCCTGAAACTGCTTCTGCAGCTTGGCCATCTTGGGTGTTAGCTTTCCTGGACCACCACCGCATTTATTCATCTCAATCGGCGATGGTTGAATCGAACGATTCAATATAAGCAAGGGTGCAAGAGAGTTACATCCATTGACTTCACGCAAAAGGGGCTGTTCATATTTAATAAGATGGTGAACAAATTAAGGTAACTACAAATACTTACGCGAAATTTAGTAATAAAATTCCTCTGCATTTTGGAATAAAATTTTTAATAGCAGATAATTTTATTTGTTTGAATTAAAGTGAATTTTTCAGTAATGAGCCCGACAGCGAACCTAGCCTACTTACTAAGTTTTAAGACGAGAAACTGATTTACGTTTATACGTAGAAAAAAATAAAATAAAAGCCTACTATTTATTTTGTTCATCGAAGAAACTTAATTCAAAAATTTTAGTTTTCAATGTATTTTGAATGTCTGAAATTAGTTTCTGCAGATTATTTTGAAGAATTAACAAAAATTGATGATAAATTATCCGCAAGAATTTTCACGTCCAAAAGAAAAAGCCAAGTTCTTTTACCGAAAGTTTACTTCTTAGTTTTTACTGTTTGCGCTGTGTGTACAGTCAGTAAATCGCAAAACAATAAGTTTTATATACACATATAAAACAGATTTTTAAATTATAACGCCAGAAATATCGATAAATCTGGTACCTGATATCGATTGCCAATTATCATAAGTGTATTTGTGTAATATCGATTGCATACTAATCATCCATACGATATTAACAACAATTGGCGAAGCGTTTGCGAATTTGCTGTTTATCTGATTATATTTATTAAATCAATAAATATAATCAGAAAAGCAGTAATGTCTTTGGCAAAATATTTAAATCGCTTCGTGGGCAAAGCGAGTGTAGAGGTTGCCTCGCGAATCTGTACACTGAAACCCATGGAGGCCGAACATTGTGCTATACACTTGGCAAACGGCAAAAATGTTGTTGGACGCAGCAAGGAAACCGGCATCCGTGATACGCGCTGTTCCAAGAAACAAGTTCAGTTTCAAGTTGATTTAAAACTCGGACGCATTCAGTTAAAGGTGCTCGGGCTCAATCCTTGTGGCATTAATGGCGTCATGGCTATGCAGGACACGGAATGCGAGCTACAGCACGGCGACCTATTAGAAATTGTCTACGGGCGGCATCCATACGAGGTAGTCTTCAATCCTGCACCAGAAAATCAAAGCCAGTGCCAAGAAGGCAGCACAGAGGAGCAAACATCAGATCCAGTGGGTGCTCCCACTGAGGAAGAGAAGTGGGACGCGGTTGCGAGTGGTAAATTGGTAATTTACAGTAGCGCCGGTTTGACTGCTTCCGCGAAAATTGCTGGCTATGATATGGATGGCACCATTATTAAGACAAAGTCCGGGAATGTTTTTCCGAAGAACACAGACGACTGGCAAATTATCTATCCCGAGGTGCCCGAGAAGCTTCAGCGTTTGCACAAAGACGGCTTCAAAATTTGTTTCTTTACCAATCAGGGCGGCATAGCGCGCGGCAAAATCAAACTACAAGATTTTAAAGTAAAAATCATAAACATAGTAAAGAAATTGGGTGTACCCGTGCAGGTGTTCATAGCTATAGGCAATGGTTACTATCGGAAGCCGTTGCCAGGCATGTGGGAACATCTCAAGAATGAAATGAATGACAATGTGGCTATAAACCAGGATCGTTGCTTCTTTGTTGGCGATGCAGCTGGCAGACCAGAGACGGGCAAGGGTGTCACCAAGCAACGCAAGGATCATTCATTGGCTGATCGTCTATTTGCTACCAATATTGGCGTATCTTTCTACACGCCCGAGGTTCATTTTCTGAACAAGCGCGTAGAGCAGTGGAACAAGCCGGACTTCGATCCCAGCAGCGTGGATAACCACATACCACAGTTTGAGCCAGATGATCTACAGTTTAACACAGACAAATGCGAGATGATAATTATGGTTGGCCTACCCGGCTCGGGCAAGAGTCACTTTTGCGCCGAGGTGCTCGGTGCCAAAGGCTACAAAATCGCAAATGCAGACACTTTGGGTAGCACGCAGGCGTGTCTTAATGCTTGTCAGCGTGCGCTAAGCGCTGGTCGGTCATGTGTAGTGGATAATACCAGTGTGGACGTGGCATCGCGTAAAAAATTTGTAGATCTTGCCGTGGCAAAGAACATTCCTTGTCGTTGTTTCGTGATGAATGTGACGGCGGCGCAGGCGAAACATAATATTGTCTATCGGGAACTGTTGGACACTGAACACTCTTCAATTAATGACATAGTGTTCAACATGATGAAGAAAAAGTACCAAGTTCCTACTCTGGACGAAGGCTTTACCACAATTCACAAAGTTAATTTTAAGCCGCAGTTTTCCAATGATAAGGATGAAAAATTATACAAAATGTATTTGCTTGAGAAATAGCCATGGCCATTTATTCTAATCTAACGTAAATATTCGTTTGGCAATATCATCTATAAGCCAATCCATGGAACTTAACAGCTTCTCTCCGGTTACTGCGCTAACTCCAACTACTAACCAGTGATGTGTGGTGATATCATCCAAACATAGTATCTGTAAACCATAGTGTTAAAAATTTGATATCCTTAAAATAAATATATGTCGATGTACCTCTTTGATTTCGTTTGAATTTAAAGCGCCAGGCAAATCCTGTTTGTTGCACAGCACAAGTAACGTTGCGCCAGCCAAGCGCTCCTCCTGAAGCAGTATTTGCATCTCTTGCTTACAGGATTCCATGCGCATACGATCTGCACTATCCACGACCCAGACAAGACCATCAGTACACTCAAAATAGTTGCGCCAATAGGAACGCAACGATCGCTGTCCGCCCACATCCCACATGTTTAGTGTGTAGCCATTGTGCTCCAGTGTCTTAATATTAAAGCCCAAGGTGGGCGAGATTTCGTCAATGGACTCTCCATTAAAACGCTTGAGGATTGTTGTTTTTCCTGCGTTGTCCAGCCCACTGCAGATGTTCAATACCATGAATCACAATATCTCAAAACTGAAAGAATGTATGCACTTACAGCAGTAGAATACGCATCTCTTTTTCCTTTTGACGCATCTTTTTCAATACTGTTAAGAAGCCCATGGCGTCTTTTAGCTGTTTGCTGCCTTTTAAAATTTATACTGAACAGTTGCGGCAATACAGTTATAAATATATATTTGTTGCGAGTGGCGCCTACGAACAATGGTGAATGGCAAATCTACGAGAATGGCATTTTCGAAACGATGTGGCAACTATGTTCTCCATAGACGTCAAACAGCTGTCATAATCTGAGGCCCGTAAATTTTTCGGTTCAGCACTTCAGACCATTTGCATTTCGATTGCTAAAAATAAAAATATTTTGAGCAAAATGATGAACCTATCCAGAGTGAGTATAAAATGAGAATCATTATTATTTATGGACTATGAAGCTTCCAATTTATCCATGACATTCTCCTGGAAGAATGCATATATTATGATTTAATTACGTAAGATTGCTGGAGCACCCAAACTAACCGCAAATTTTGTTATCGTAGGCCGTTGTGCGCAGCTTTGCTACCACCAGCTCCCGTCGTGCAACTGCGACCAGCAAGGATCAGATTGAGAAGGGCTATTTTGAAATCCGTAAGGTCCAGGAGCACTTCCAAAAGAAGGATGGCAAGCCCGTTTTCCTGAAGGGCTCCGCTTTCGATAGTGTGCTGTACCGTATCACCATGGCGCTTGCCCTGGTCGGCATTGGTGGCATGGGCAAGCTTTTCTGGGAGCTCAGTGTGCCCCAGAAACAGGAGTAAGGCGCAAGCAGTATAGTCTAACCTTTAAGCTAAGCCATTACCAGCAAATCCGTATAACCATCCCCGGCACATTTGTTGCAGCATAGTTACCTTATATTTCTGTGTTTTGATAGTGTAAGTATTCAAGTTCATACCTATATATTTGTGTGAGGTTTTCTAATTCTAATATCTTGCAGAGCTGAGAGCCCACAAACCTCGTTTACAACCATATAGATTGTTGCTTGTGTTAGAATAATTAAGTTAAAAGTGTGTCTAAACATTCGCAAAAGCATTTCAAGCTTGGAAATATAAGAACTTGTCTGTAAAGTAATAAGATTACAAGAAGTTTTTCATCCAGTTTATTTCAGCAACTTAAAGGAATGCATCTTAAGCTCGGTTGGATTTTCTAAAATATTATTTGCCGAATCTTTGACTTGTCTGTATTATTTTGTTTTGTCGCGGGCTTACAAAGCAAACACACACTTTCAAACATTAAATTGCATTGACATTAAATAAACAAACAGAGCGACAAAACGAAAAAGGCCGCCGCTGTGTCAATGTGTCGGGTTGGATGTGGCGAGGAGTCCGATTTATAAATCAAAGGGCGGCAACTCGGCGCGTTGCCTTTGGCATGGAAATGTATTTTAAATCGAGCGAATCATGCTGCGCTTTAACACACATTGCCGAACACACACACACACACACACACATACACACACTCACGCACAACCAGCAACAACATGCATGTTGTGTGTTTATTAATAACTGAAAAAAGGAGGAACAAAAAAAAACGCACAGAAGTGCAGCGAAATGTGCAATTTAAGGCGTTTTCATTAGTTATTTCTCCATAAACACTTAAATAAAACTAAAGCATTTAAAATATAAAAAAGGGAAACACAAATATAGCCATTTTAAGAGTTTTCTGTGCAATTTACACATATTTTCACATATTTGTGTGTTTCCGTTGGCATCTGTGTGCTTGTGTGTGAGGGGGAGAAATAAGTCGAAGAACAACTATTTTGCTATTTCATTTGCCGTTACGGTACATTTAAAATTTGAGATGCGCACGCGAAGCGCATTAAAACGAACGCGAGTTTACCGTTAACATATTTGGGCGGATGGGCGGATGTGTGTAGGTGGTTCGGTACTTAGTTGAACTAGAACCGATTATTCCTTCTGGAGAACATTGTAAATTCGGTTTCCGTGAATTTTCTGTTTGCTCTGCAAAACTATCTTCTTTTTTTTTTGCTTAATTAATTAACCGCAAAGGGCCTTTGCTGTGGAAAAAATGTGCACTTGTCGTAAACTTATTATATTTCATAGACTGTGAAAAATGTGTATATGACAAAATTCCAAGGACCGGGTCGGAACGGGATCTGCAATATCATCAGCAGCAGCATCACCATCATGACGGCGAGCCCAACTCCGGCTAACTGCGACTGGCTGTCGTTCCACACGACTGCCCACAGCCAAATTACAATAATAACTCAAAACGCATAGAAGATGCGAAGCTAAATGTTTTGCTTCAATCCTTTGCCAAAAACAATATGAGAATGGGCAAACAAAAAGGGCGGGAAGTAGCGTGTAGAATCAAGAATCGAAAAATGTGTTTCATTAAATGTTATTTATAGTCAGCAATTTTATGCATTTAAAGCGCGTCTATCAACAGCAGCATCGCGCATCTGCATCTGAGCATCGCCATGCGGAAACGACGACGACGCCATATTGAAATTAACTGTGGCGCGCTCTGTTGGATGAAGGGTGCGAGAGTGAGATAGATGCAACGAGAGCGCCATTGCGACCCCAATAGATCCCGATCCTAATGCATACATATGTATGGCATGGAAACTTTCACCTTTTTCAGAATCGTTTTGCATTTGTTTGTTTTTACTACGGCATAGATAATTTTGTAGTTTTCTTTCCACGTAAAATATTGCCGGGCAAACGGCGCGCGCTCAGATCCAGGCCTTTGCCTGTGCCAATGCTCTGCAGTCGCAGTCGCAGCAGCCGCAGCCACAAATCAGAATGTCGTTGAAGCATTCAAGTGCAACCGGCGTGAAGCGAACTCGCTGCTGCTGCGGCTGCTGCGGCTGCCTCAGTCTCCGGCTACGTTGCGGCAAATCTCGGCAACTCTCAGATGAACGGCCGTTGAGTGAGCAGCGTCAACGTTCCGTCTATTGTCAGATTGTCGTCGCTGCCACTGGTCTTCACTGCCACTGGACAGGGAGGACGGGAGTAGACCTTCAAACGGTGCTTGTGTATCTATCGATCGATCGATCTATCCAGGCACGTCCCACACGTCGTAACATGCCCAAAACGAAACCAGTTTGGCCTATTAACACTTCGATTACAGCTCAACTTTTTGCCGCCGCTCGCACAGCAGTTTTCTGGGTGGTCTTGAGCGACGCTTTTAGTTAAATTTTGATTTATTTGAGCTTCAATTAGTCGTTGAACAAATCTGTTTATTTGCTTTTAATTATTGTTTGAAACCACAAAGCCGTGCCCCTGGCACAGGTTAGAGGGCGACCCATTCTCCCTAGCCCCCCAACATTGCCCCTTCCACGGACCCTGCCACATTTGGCAGCTCAGTCGGCAACTTTGTGGCTTCGTCGCTGCTTCCGAGTTATGTATAACTGGCCAGAGTAAACCCACGAAGAAGGTTTTTAATTAACACCAACAATATAATTTACGAAAAACATCAAATACGCGCGTATTATTAATGCATGTTTAAGTGATTTTATACACATTAAGATAACGTACAAATATTGCTAAAGTATTTGTTAAAAACCTCAAAAAAGATTTGGAATTGAAAAGTTCCGATGCATGCATTATTTTTCAAGTACAATTACTTTAAGCGATGCATTCACTAAAGATGTTTCCATATGTAGAACCATATCGAGAATTCCAAATTTAATTGTACACTTTGAATGTTAATTAACTTTATGAGCACCACTAAAATATACAGCTTATAAATAATACAATATTATGGTGCGCGTATTATTTATTTTTATATAAAACTCATACATGATTGAATCTGGGGATTGTGTTTGAATGAAAACAAACAAAAACAGACTGCATGCTTTACGGAAAAAGTAAACTCTTCAAAATATCGAAATGCATTTTTAAAATTTATAAACCATAACGCCCCCAGACAATGGGAATGGGATTGAGAATGGGAGCAGCGCCGCAAAGCGGCGGCAACAACAAAATCAAATCACCGTGAAAGATGCGCTTCCCATTTCCCGCCGCCTCAGCAAATAACATATATAGTGTAGAGCACAGCGATCCGTAGGAAAAGAGCGAGGAAGATATTTGGCCTGTGAAATTGAGACCGACGAGAAGTAGAAACATGTGTCCAAATCTTTCACACAGCCGATGACTTGTCCGGCAAAGCCTACCGCGCAATATTACAAACAACTTCATTGGGTCGTTAGCCGTGCCGTGCCCGGGTGCGAACCTCTCGGATCAGGTGACAGTTGCGGTGCGTTGCCTCTCAAGTGAGCCGCTTCAGGTTTATTCCAATAATTCATCGTTAACTGCAATTGCGCTGAGCCATTTTATGTCCTCGTCGGACGCAAGGACGCAACACTCAAGTGGCTGCCGACCGTTGTACAACATTTTCATCATCGCCTAGTTGATCCCGATCCCGATCCCGTCTAACGTGGTCCATCCCACCTTAAGTGCCTGCTCGTAGCTGGCGTAGACAATTCGACGCTTCCGTCCAGCGTTTACACCCTTTAGTTGGAGGAGTGTTATGTAAGTTGGGACGCCGACTTCGATTCTGCTCCGAATATGTCAGTTTTATAACACATTTTGCCCACTTTACGACACTTGAACTCCGTCCCTGCCCCCCCGACTCCACTCCACTCCACTTCCAAATCCGCGGACGCCTCTGTCACGGATGCGCCTTTTGTTTTCTCAAGTGTCGCGCATATTTTGTTCGACTTCGCGATGCTGCTGCCGTTGTTATTTTTGCTGGGTGTTATAACACAAAAATAAGAAAGGCAAAAACACATAATATTCATTTGTTATGCTTGTCATTTGTCGCCGCTGGCGGCAACTTCAAAGCATGTCACCCAATTTGTTAAACGCACATAATTTCGTCTCCATCTTCATCTGGGCTCGTCTTTACGGCATGCGGCTTTTAATTTTCGCATATGGCTAATTATTATAATTATTTCTTTGACTTATACATATGTATGTAACTTAATTCGTAAAATATTGGATCATATACTAAAAATTAAAAGGGTGAAATTTCCTACTTAGAAGACGAAAAATACATTCTTCCAAAAAATATTTCCACATCAAAAGAAGCGATCTACATTAGAAGGGTATTGAAATAAATATACAGAGAAGTACACATATAA